CAACATCCAGCGAGTTTCTTATTTCATTGCTTAGTAATGAATAATTCTTATTTCCAGTGACCTGCACAACAGATCGATAGATGGTAGAAAAATCACTTTGTTATCCGATCCAGTTCCTGCCTAAAGTAGTTCAGGGAAGATCAAAGACCGTGCATATAGCCGGGGTTATTCACCATAACAATTCCATTGGCACCATTGGTAATTGTCGTTATATAGGGTAGCATCCGCCCTCTGGCCGAATTTGTCCGGTCAACATGTCTTTGGCCATAGGGAATGGCTATCTGCAATACACCAAGCCTTCCGTAATCCATACTTGTCCTCTGCAATGTGCGACTCCCCATCTAGGCAAGCCATCCGGCAAAAGATATCAGATTATTGGAGTCATAAATACCGATTATACAAAATATTCCCTTTGTGGGTAACAGCAAATACACGTTGATATCTAAGCCAGTAAAGACACCTGATGCAATTTTGTTTTGAATTTCTCGACTAGGATCTAGTGTTCAATTTCTTGTCGACTTTCGTTTACCAATATCCAAGATGGTCTATACTGGAATCAGACACATTTTAATGCGTTGGTTGGTATCCACTGTACTGTCTCTAACTTGAACATCTGCAATCAATTAAAATTAAAAAACAATTAAGCCTCTACCACTTGGGTATTATTGTACAAACTGATACATTTGAACGCACTTTTGAGTGTTTCTTAAACCCTTTCGTAGGCTAAAGTCCCTCTTTTCATTGCAAAAGATGAAGACATTGCTTTCCATTGCTTCCTCTTGAAGCGTCGACTGTATTAAACTTTCCACTTTATTCAAATGCCTCACTTCACAGAATGCCTCCACTTTTCCCTCTCAGTCTTGAACGAGGCTAAGAGGCAGGTGTTCGATACTAGAGTCCATCGATCACAAACTGTCGAAGCATCGATTCCTGGCAGATGCTCCCTGCTAACGGTGCTGAAATCCACGCCTAATACGCCTCTAATAGACCCTCCCCACATGTTTGGAGACGTAAGATTGGATACCTCATAACACTGTCACTACAGGTCAATATCAACACCTTCTGGTCGTCACTGAAGACAAGAACTTATAATGACGGTCAAGAGCTTTATTTTATGGGTTAAAGGCCCTCTGGGCACAGGAGGGCTTTGATATGAATTTCGACTAAGCTCGAAAAATCCTCTCGGAGTGAGACAAAGCACGAACTTGGTCTTTGGGGAGTTCGATATTGCGGTATCCTCTCAAACCTTGAAGGATTCTACATTTTGAAAGCATGGTGTGATCATCTTTTACAAAAAAAATGCACGATACAATTACTTAATTGTTTATTTGAATGATGAAAATTCTGAGGAAATGACGGCCAAGAAAAGTGTGAAGGCTTAAGCTCGAAAATCAAATAGTGCTTACAAAACAGCCAAGTATAATACGAACAATTTGTCAAATTCCATTAAATATTTTGTTAACAGTCTGAGTTACTTACTTTGCGCCCTAAGAAAACGGAGTACAGATTTATCGTATAGTAAAAACACCGAAACGCAATCCTGCAAAACTCTAGCCGTATTACAATAAATTACCGTCGTCATAACGTATTCTTCAGACTGCTGTACGTGGGCAAAAAATAGAGAAATTCGTGACAGTGAATAAGAAGTGAATCTTAATTCAGCTGGGCCTATATAGAGACCGACGGAGCACAGCCATAAGTAACCGGATTTGTACTAAACGGCCCTCGATTTGCGAGTGCATGGACGACACGATTTGTCTGGAATCCCCAGTACGTTTCCTTGTATATCTCGCTCGTTTATTATCAGTAGTACGACTGTCTGCAGGCATGGGGATTTGCCTTTAGGAAAATCTTTGAAAGACCTCGAATTGATATCAGTTGGAAGTTCTAGTCTGGCGTTGTCTGGTGCCTTAGGCTATCTGGCCTAGCCTGATGCGTGCTTTGACGAAATGGTCAGCATGATGTATGACGTCATAAGGGTGTCAAACATCACGTCAACCCCTAAATTCCTGGAATGCGTGGTTCAATCAAAATCATATCAAATCAATTAATCCACAGTGACAATGCATTTACGTGCATGACCCGTTCCCCCTTAACTACTTTTAGATAAATAAACAATGTGTGGGGGAGTTTTTTGTGTATACCAAGGCAGTGGCGTTTCTTTTCACAACTGCCAATTTGTTCAACTATAAACGACAAAATACCCCGCTTGTAATTCATTTTGTGCATACACATCACGGCCACGTGGGTGATGGCGGGTTTCACATATTTTTCTTCACGAAGACTGAGTGAGATACAGTTTGTGAAATTGTAACTAGTGTGTTATTACACGCCCTGCAAAACTAGCTGTGTGGAACTAATATTATGCAATAACCATCGGTATACGGGAGTTGTAATTAAAGTGTTCGTTGGCATCACGTTTGTTTATTTTAAATATTCAATGAATTCTAAAACAGTATACATTCTATTAAATATATATGTTTTTCTGGATTAAAAATTCTGAAAAGCCAAGGACCTCTGCGGAAGTAAATAACGTGATTGGGTGTCCGCCTGACCTTTTGGAAGCCCGACTATCAAAATCCCCTCCTTATACCCAACCAAAATGTAGACCCACGAGAATAAAGAACAACGTATAGAATGAAGGATAATAGTTGACTGGTAATAATTCAATGAAGGCATTGACTATGCTCGGGCAGAGAGTTGGAGGAGAGACGCTTGAGATTGATTGAAACCCTTAGGTGTCACGTTTCCTCAGCTTTCAGGCCCCGAAATCACTCCATTCCTCGCCAATTCTCGCTTGATTGACAGACCAAGCCTACGTCATCGTAGCCTCACCAGACTGTGTTTGAGCTTGGAGTAGTCCGGACTAGTGTTATAAGGCCGAGACATTTTGCAATGAAGTGTCGGATTCTCAGGTTGAGAGAATGAAGAGTCTAAGGGAACGACGGAGCGATATGGGGTGGATTGGATGGTGCGGTTTGGGAGAGAGAGGTCGCGAGAGGGTTGGTTTAGACATGAAGACGTAGTATTGGGAGTTTGCGGATGGATGAGGCACTTGATTATTTTCCTGCTCTGTAATGTCAAGTTGGTTGTGGTGTTCGTCTTGCCTCCCCATATATCTCGAATTTCAAGGCACCTAAAAGGTTAAGGTCTTTATAAATGTGTTCTTAAAATCATGGATTTTCGCAAACATTATCCTCCCTGCGGATTGCCCTATACTAATGTGTTGATCCATAATCGAATGATTCATTTCTCGAGATGATTATGGATCATATAGACATAGATCTCCAATCTTCCATATTGTTTAAATCTGTTTGATTTAGTAAAACAGAAAATGATAGTCGCATCATTTGTTGATGTTAAAAGACAGGGCACATTGTACATCGTGACAGTGGCACTGACCAGTCTACAAATGTCGTCTCGTTAAGTCCTTCAAATGACATGAATTATTTTCACTTGCTTTGTAACAACAAGCTGAGGGGGAGTATATATTAAGACAAACTGACAATGAGAGATATATTAAAATAATCATCACAGCTACGTTGGTTTATGTTATGATCGTTTTAATTTTTATTCATTCACATGTTTTCCATTTTGTTTACTATTTCATTATTATTTTTCCGCTCTTGGGGAATAGAAACATTTATTTTTGAGCACATCTTCCTCCGATTTCACCCAAACGACACGGATGATCTCGCAACATCCGATGACAAATGAGCCATACGCCCGGATGGTATCTGTCTCGCTTTATTTAATTTCTGTGACAAATTTTACATTGGTTTTCATTCTCTCTTTTCTGCTCTTGTCCTTGAAACTGAATTTCAGAGGCAAAAGCCTAAAACGTCACCACGATGGTAAAACTAGGAGATCTCACAGCGAGGGGTAGATATACAACTACCAGAGACCAATTGGACCCCGTTCCCACTTGATCCACCAATTGGGGGCCATACGGAGAGGCAAAGGAAGGTAACTAACCAAGCAGACAGCGATGCGTACTGACGACTTCAAATCATTATTAAACTGCCCTTCTACAGGGTGAGTCGAAAAAAAAAAGCGAAACCCAAATTTCGGGACCATTGTTTTAGTAAATTTCTGCATGTAGCACTTTCAAAATCTAGGATATAAAAGCCCAATTCATAAGCTTTCTTTTAGTACAAGAATCAATCAAATCACTCATGTACTTTTCAAGTTACGGAATTTTAAATACAACCACCGTTTTAAACTTCTGTCCACGGATCGCAAGAAGGTAAGTGTTTTTTTCAGCAAAACTAAAACAGATAGGGATGTGTTTGAATTGTTTTGTTTTGCTGAAAAAAAACGCGCATCTTTTTTGTGGTCCGTGGACAGAACTTTAAAACGGTGGTTGTGTTTAAAATTTCGTAACTTGAAAAGTACATAAGTGATTTGAATGATTCTTGTACTAAAAGAAAGTTTATGAATTGGGCTTTCATATCCTAGATTTTGAAAGTGCTACATGCAGAACTTCACTAAAGCAATGGTCCCGACATTTGGGTTTCGTTTTTTTTTTACTCATCCTGTAGAACCCATGTAGGCCTACCATAATCAATTCGATTATATCCACAGAGTTTTCAATTTCGAAGGAATAATTTTGAAGACTGAAAACAACTTACGATTCCTGGTGTGAAATCCTCATTTTGTTCAAGGAATTGAATAGCTTGAGCATACTTTTTAACAGCAACAAACACAAAACAGTGTTAATATTAATCAATAGATGATGTATGTTCGCTGTTCGATCTTTCAAAAACATCAAAATCTATTTTATATTTGTTTACTGCTTCATCGTTAATGTTAAGCAAGGAGACAATTCCCCTATCCCGGAAATTCCAGATTTCTCCAAACAAGATCATGATATGCCAAGTGTTTAATCAACGTGATTCGTGATTAATCAACAGGTAATGAAGTTAATATCCAACCAACGGTCGTGCATTTTGAATTACATCTTTTGAATGAGTTTGTTGCTCATATCGAGTGAGTGCACTTTACACATAGACCAGTAGGTTAGGTGATCCCGCCGGCAGCGGTGTCTGAAGCACATTCGGTGTGGCATTGCTGAGAAGCTTGGCTTTCACTTGATCATGGGTCAAATCTTTCTGTGTCGACAGAAGAATAGCAGCAGCTCCTAAAATAAAAAGCAGGATAGAAAGACATGTAAAACAACATTAAATCAAACCTCATACACCTGTAGATGTTTGATAACTTATCTCAGGTACAAGGAATAGTGGGGTTTTCTTCACGCCGTTGCCGGCTGGATGGGATGGAGAGAACACTTACAAAAATATTTTCCGAACATTTTTTGGGAAACCACTGAAAAAAATGACATAAAATTTTCCACAAAGAACAACGCTGATTTTAAGTTTATTTCATGAGGAATTGCATGCTTCATAATCATCAATTTACATAATTGTTATATTCAACGAAAACTGAGTTACCTTGCGGTACTGAAACATAGTTTTGTTTGACATTAAGCAGTTTGAAGTGAATTATTTGAATATAGGGCGGGGCTTCATAACTAACAGTACACAAAGGGGCGGGGCTTATTAAAACAATACAAATTGTTACCTGCAACGATAGGCGTGGCTTCAGAGGTGCCACTCACTGTTTCTACCTTGTAATCGCTGCCAATATACGCCCCGGTGATATCCTTGCCAGGGGCAAAGATATCTACACAACTACCATGGTTGGAAGAGTACCAGCGAGTGTCAGTTTTTGTTGATGCGCCGACGGTTATGACCTGCAGGAAATAAAAACACATTCATTCATTCAAAATGTAACGTGAACTCGCGTGAATGGTGTTTTATTTAGGCCTACTATGCGAGGTTGATAAAGCCTTATATTATTAACTCATTTTTAAAAAAATCTCTCCCTCTAATTATATTCAAATGTCATCCAATTTTTTTATATGAAGCTAGTCCCACGTTGCTCCCCTTCCAGTCAAATCAAATCTTGCTCCTTTTCAAACTCTAGACACTTCACTCTGAAGTCACTTCATTCATGCGACCTTTACGGTAAAAATGTGAGCATTTTAAGGTTCGCGTTTTACGATCGGATTTTTTTACGCCAAATTTTACCCCAGGTGATTGACCAAGTGGACCAACTCTGCACCCATCGGTTTGTACATGATCTTTCCCACCATGAATCCCATCGGTGGATTTCAGTCACGTGATGGCAAGTTTCAGCCAATGAAACCCATGGAGTGATGCACCTTTTTACAAGTAGTTCATGCAAGCATAGGCCTACCCGTTTGAAGTTTGCAGGGTAAACCTGGCAGGCGTCGCTGTTCTCATTCCCGGCAGCCACTGCTACTGTGAATCCTTTATCCATGGTGCTTATGACGGCATCTTCAAGCACCTGGTTCGTGCCACCTTCACCCAATGAGATGGATGCTACAGCGGGCTTGACGGCCGTCTGTGTCATGATGTCAAGGGCTGCCATAATCACAATGATTATATCGATGTCATGATCTCATCCTTACATTATTAAAACAATAAGATCGCATTCAAAACGTTGTCAATAAAAACTCTTGTAGACTTAGGTAAGGTGCCTTTCTTCAGGCCATTTTTCACGATACTATAACCATCCCTCACCTGTATAACGACACATCCGGTAGTGTTGGATCATGGAAACAATCGCTAAGACGGCCTTGAAATATCAATTATCACTTCTTCTTTTTCTGTTTTAACTTAAAACGACCGTATTTCTTTAAACCACATGAAATGTCCTTAACCCCCTTTGTGAGACTGACAAGGCACCTTACTTGACTGATAATAATCCGTTTGATAACTCACCCTTCGTAGGAGCTGACTAGGTAGGCCTGTACACTTAACCCAATAGATTACTCATCCTTTAGGAGAGCTGACCAGGTGCCTATTAACCATTAGATAACTCGCTCTATGCAAGGGCGGATCAAGAACACAATTTTTTGGGGGCCCAAAAAATGGTTGGTTCCCCAAAAAGTGGGTCCAAAAAAATACGGCGTAGGGTAATTCGGGGCGCGGCCCGCTTAGGGGCCCCGAATTTTTTTTTTGATTCTAGATCCTCTGTGCCGAACTGAGGCAATTTCTGGCCACTTTGACAGCTTTATTTTGAGGAAAAGATGGTGGTGTACGCCGTGCCTGTTGGACAATTTACCATTCATTCATGAGAGTTGACCGGGTACCTATAAACCGTCATTACCCTTCAAGAGAGAGCTGGTCAGGTACCCAACCCATTTCAAACCTCACCCTTCATGAGAGCCGCCCAGGTACCAAGAGCACGATATTGCGAGATGACTTTGCCCACCACAATGTTAGCCTGATTGGCCGCTCCGTAGACATTGCCGGCAGCCACAGAAGTACACAACGTACCATGGCCCCATGGATCATCACCCTGAAAATGGCACAGAACAATCGAAATTCATATAAATACGTTATTTTAAAAAATCAATATAAAGGAGAACGTCATTTTAATAAATAGTTCTGTAGGTTAGGCCTACATTGTGACGCCCCAACTATATCATCGGTCTCAACTTAAAGGGTTCATAAAGTGAATTTGATTTTGTGGAACTTTCTACTCCTCTTTGTATAGAAACGATTTGACATCACTTTTTCGGTTAATTTGATTGAAAAGTGCACTTCTTTAAACATTTAAAAGCGTCCATGCTTTTCTGGACAACTGAGGGCGCTGTTGATGTGATGTCATTTGAAAACAATTGTGAGAAAAGTTTGCTTATTGGCGTACTGCATGAACTGACACAACAACGAATCGACAAAGACAGTTGGGACCGTCCCAACTCAAAGGGCCCATGCAATGTATCTTTTTTTAAATGTAATCCGTGCAAAGTGCACTTTTGTGTCCAATTAGCCTGGTTTTCAATTTTCGTGTTGCCATTTTCATGGTACCTTTTGGGGGGTTTTATGCTAAATGCAAATTTCCATATTCATGAGCAGAAGCGAGATTTCATTTCAGACAGAAGCACAAATGTCGGGATGGGGCCAAGTTCAGTTTGGGACGGTCCCAGCTTTAGCTAACTTAAGGGACCGTCCCAACTTAAGTTTTTCAGTTGGATCCACGTCGGTACGGTTTGCACCCCCAAAATGGCGGCAAAACAGCGTCCCCATTAGCTCAATTATGACCCATTGGTGTGGCATCATTAATACTAGCACCCTCCACACCTTCTCATGATTTTAATCCTGATCCAAACTTACGTTATTGCCATCAACATCGTAGGCGATTCTGACCGACCTTCCGCTGAATTCCTGGTGAGTGGCCCGGATGCCGGTATCGAAGACCCAAATTTCCACATTTTGACCATGGTCTTTCAAAACAAAACAAAACAGGCATATTATAATTATCAATGGTTTCACTTGCGAAACCAGAGAAATCAAGGGTGTAACTTTTCATGCGGTGGCGGTGTTTCCTTGTTATTGACCTTAGATCTATTCCTCAATTCGTGAGGAATTATGTCCCTCGCGACTTGGGGGTTGCACAAATTATGACAGCAGAACTGACGATTGTGATTTCTTGTGATTTCTGATTTCTACCCACTTTGCGGCTTTGTGGAGGCCGAGTGCCTGGGGAAAACTTCCCAGCTATACCTTCTAAACACGGAGTGGTTTGTTGGCAATTTTGTTGTCGAATACCCCTCCCCCTTTTAAATTGGTCTAGCGACGCCCGCGCGTCGGATACTTATCAATAAATTATCGTGTTCACCTTTGGACACCGTCTTATTGCACAAATTGTAGCGAAAGCTCAGAAACTGGCCATTCCTATCACAGTCAACATGCCACCATTTTCTCATTAACCTCTCTGGAGGTGAGATACTAGTATAAGGCAATAAATTTGACATAAAAATATAATGTTTGAGTTAATTATTAAGTTACAATCAGTATTGGGCATTACTTGGAGGATTGTACTGTCCATCAAGCGGAAGGTTTCTCTGGTCGATGCGGTCTAGCGCCCACTGACCCGTTGAGCCGCGCTGGTCCAATCGATGAACACGTTGTCCGCTACTGAACAGCTTAGGTAGTCGTATCACACCATTCTCAGAGACATACTCAACCTCTTCAAGAGTGCGTATCTATTGTGAGTTCAAAAACGTGTTTTACCAATAATGTTTTCCCTTCAATTTAAATTAAAAAAAAAACCACATAATAAACTGCCAGTCTCGTTAATTAGGTTTAGGCTTTAAAACAGTGTCAGGCGTTACTTTTATAACCCGACTGATTATGTCATCGCAAAGTGAACCATACGGGTTTGCTGGTTTCCATTTTTCCCCCAGAAAGCTTTGCAGTTTCAATATAAATCGAGCTTGACTGCCATGACGAAAAGGAAGCGTTGCCGTCAGATCCTTTTTTATACTATTACCTAATTAGTTCTTGTGGTGGCGGCAGTGGTAACTAATTCAACTTACGTAATGCAAGGCTTTCCCTGATAACTTGGCAGCGAAGCCGTTGAGTACATCGGTGAACGTTTCCTGAATGGTGACCTCATTCGGTTGAATGTCGAAGTCTCGCGTTAGTTCATCAATCACGTGGTTGATGCTGACGCCACCCTAAGACGTGAGAACAAAAGAAAACCAAAACAAGATGTTACCGGCGAGTCTGGCGTTGCTCGGCTAGCTAGACTGAAACAGTCCCCAACCCCTTTTAAAATCGTGCTTTGAAATAAAAAAAATACAATTGTCTTAGTGCTCCCTTGAAAAATTGATGTTTTTTGTTTTTAATGCAGTTATGGACCCGAGTCGAGTCGTACAGGACAGGTTGTACCCGAGATCATACGGCTGTCGACTTGACCAGCTGCAGCTAACAGAGAACGACTAGACAGACTGGTTTGTTTGGTTACGGCTAGGACAATGTCTTGCCTTAATGAGTTTATAGCTTTTGTGTAAGGCTGCTAGCTTGATAAAGGCTCAGACTTACCTTGAGTTTAATGATGTAGCTGTCAGGTATGGCTGTCTTTGCACGATGCAGTGGTACTTGCTCGGCAAAGCAAGATGCAACCAGCGAGACACAAAACACCAAGTACATAAACATGATGAATCTAAAAAATTAAAACGGACATCGATATTGAGAATTAAGATGTTTGAATGTCACCCGGGCTCACCGATCAACTGTAGCTACTCTTGTGAAGTGAATAATGTTTGGTTATGAAAAGAACTCGTTTCAGTTATAGTAGACTCTGACTGTCATCAGGAGAATCGATTCTTCTCCGAACTATTTCTGTGTTTCAGTACGTTACATGGTGTCAGTGGTCTAACTACCGGGGGGGGGGGAGAAGCACAGCGCCCCGGCGGATGTCTGTGCATCCCTTATTTGAAATCTTGACTTGAAACCAATATGTACCATACTGTTGAAATGATACGTCTCATTTTCCTGTAGTGCCCCTTGAAAATGGATGCGCCCCTATAGGTGCCCCTCCCCCACATTTAGAAGTTTGACTTGAGTTATGGCGCTGCATGGTGTAAGGAGAAGGCATATTGTTAAACTGAAAAAAAAATTGAAGAGAGGTTTGATGCTTCAATGAATCAAAACATATGAACTAAAAAAATATAAAATTTACTACATTAACAGGTATGAAATTGAAATAAATTAAATGCAGTTCAGGAAATATTTCAGTACCATTAACTTCCTATATTGAAATGTTATCAGAAAACAAACACATTAAGCGAAATTAATTGTATCCAACATCATTTTGTAAAACTAAAAAAGGGCGATGAAAACCATAATGTGCAAATTATACTTACATGAGAAAGTAAACGATTTGGTATCGCGACTATCCCGTGCGCTGACTCAGTTGACAGTGTTTTGAGATCTCATAATATTAACCAATGTAATTCTAATTATTATCTAATTAAAAATCATTCTTGCAAGTATCTAATCTCATGGCCTAGAATAATTATCATCACACAATAATAGGTCAGTGTGCGTTGCGTATTGTTTATAATTTTATTTGGATCAAACCATAGTGGTAGGATACCGTGAGCATGGTAGGATAGCCTAAATCATCAAATAAGTGAATTGCAACCGATAATACTTTTGGGAATCTTTGACAGATCTAGACTGGGGACGGAGAAGGCAAACAAAATATCGAGAATCGGAAGTGCTGAATCAAAATGGTGGCGTCCCACGCCCCATCCACCCCAAACCCCTTCTTCCCATTGGCAAATACCGCATTGATTCGCTCTCGTGTGTTTTCCTGCATAATTATACAATTTTCTTTTAATTTCAAATGTTAAAAACACTCATACTCTTTTATTTCCGTGGTTTACTGAACTTGAAGCAGTAGTAAGTCATTCACCGAAAAGGTGACAAGAGTTGTCGCTAAAGTGAAACTGCAACCTTGCTTGAATTTTGTAATAAAGGTTTTTATATTTATAATCTCATCAAGTTTAAATAAATTGTAAATAGTTTCAGATTACAGACTTTGAGAAAGAACCATCTGCACTGGCGGATAAAAAGAACTGAAAAGATATCGTGTGAGTATAATGTGATAATGAGCAGGTCATATTTTTAAAACATTTCTTCGTCGGAAGTAACATGATCTAGGCCTACTTTTCCCGCTCCGCTTTTGAAGTCGCCGAGAGAAGGCAGATAACAGACAAAATGGGGTTATTGGTAGAAGCAGAATTTTTGGTTTGGCAAATTAATGACTTAATTTTTCACGGTCTTTCAAAGAAGTTCCTGTACTTCACGTAACTGAGAGAATTGGCAGACCACAAACTTGCAGTCCACTGTCTGCCCCGTTCTCTTCCTCATCAACATATAGACTGGAGTTTTGAGGCCATACAAGGTTTGACGCAAGTGAGGAATTTTCATTTCTGAGAAAAAAAAATGGATGAAATGATCCCGAAAGTTGCTGTATTTATTTTTGCCACTGAGTTTATGAATCAGTAAAATTGCTGTGTGGACTTCGGGACTGCCGGTGTCATATGAAAATCGGACTCGTATGAAAATCGGACTCTTTTTCCCTTTTATTGGTTAAATCCTCTCACGTGACCGGTCCCTCTCCTAATTATCTATGCATGAGCATGCGCAATACCACCAAAGAGTCCGTATTTCATAAAACCTAAATTCATGCTACACCTGTGCATGCTTTTTAGGGATGGTCATCTTTAGGGGGGAAATCACCCAAAAGTCTTCGGTCAACCCTGCCAAAACTTGAACAGAAAGTAAAAAGAGGGTTATCAAGCTTTAATTTGATAAATGTGTCTTAAAAACCTTGTGAAATGGTTGTACTTTCCCCGCATTTTTAAAATTGGGGGTATTTATCATTGGTCCCTGGCAATTTTATTCTCTGCATATGCACCCACGACAGAGCCGCTGCCGTAATATAGTGTTAGCGCCCTCACGGATTGGTTATTAGTAGCTCTCCGGCACGTTCTATGTACATGGGAGAGGACGCAAATCGAGATTTTAAAATTTGCACAATCAAACGCTTTAGTTTATTTATTTTACCATATAAATCAACTTAATTAAATAAGTCTTAGTGTGTGTTAATTTTCTCTTGTATATTTTGGGTTACTTTGGATACTATTGGAGTATTGGTTTTACGAGTCACTTGATTTTTTTCGCAACCCCTACAACGATACAAATGGAATGCCCTTATGTGAATAACTGCATAAATTAGCATATGTAATATAGGTGCAGTCGATAGGGTGTTCAACCAACCATCACTTCCGGATGTAGACGTGAGCGCTATGACTATGTAGGTCAAGATAAGTCGTTCTGTGTATAAACATTTTTTATCTATTTTTAACCGGATTTTCTGGATGCTGTGTGGCCAGTCATCATGTCTACGACTGCAGCCTCTGATGGCACAATACAGACTCTTAAGATAGTCGTGGTCGGAGGTGGGGGTGTCGGCAAAAGTGCCATCACCATACAGTTCATTCAGGTATACTTGCACAAATTAACTGGGAGTGATTGTAATGCATTAAATATGGTGTGTTCATGTACAACTTAGTACTAGCCCCATAAATATGTCTCAAATATTGGGCTTCCTCTGTATTGTGAGCCACACACTGTGATCATATGCTATGTTGGGAACATTTGATTAGAGGAAATCGGAATCGAGACTGTTTTTTTTCACACTTTGTTTTTGTAGCTGTGAACCGGTCTCGCATTTTTTTCCGTTCTTAACCTACATGTAAGCCGGCAGATCGTATAGCACCGTCATGCATGTATGTTACATTACATGTTCCTTTTCTGTCCCAGCAAACCCGTGCCGTGGTCTGGTGCCGTGGATAGCCCACCACCTCGCAAGCAACACGGCTATAGTTCGAGTCCCAGAGTAACCGATGTTTTTGGAACTGTCCCAAGAAATAAGAATTGTCTTCATTTATTGTTTTAAATCGATATATTTAAGTGTGGAGTATTTCATCTTTTCTGGAGGAATTTTTTTTATAGTGAAAGAAAGTCTGAAATTGTAATATAGGTCTGATTCCCGTCTCTTTAACACAAAGTCACAACGACAGTGTTAGCCCGGAACCAGATTTAGATTTGTCAGGGTAAAAATGTCTAAGTCCCAAGCAACAGTCACTGTGCATGTTCAGTGCCATGCTGGTACAACGCTGAAAACAAACGGGGACTGCTTCACGCCTCAGGGCCAAAATCCACTGCCTTTTTCACTTGATATTCACCATGGAAGATACTTACCTGGTAGAGAAAATCAAGAGGTCAAGTGTACATGACATTTTTTCTTATAAATTTTTTTCCTTTTCCACTGCATTATTTACAATGTTATCCATACTCTCTGTATATATTTTGTTCATTTTCTCGTTTGGAATTGGAAATAAAGTTAAGTAAGACATGTGACCCAGAGAACATTACGGAAATCTGTTTTGGATAAAGTCACTGTACAGGATAACTAAACACCTACAGAAACAGAACTCCATTTTTCCTGGCTAGTATCTTCCATGACGAATATCAAATGAAAAAAACATAGCCCCCATTTTGATTTCCTCAAAATCAACTTTTCTCCACATATATATTCACTGTGTGGGTCACAAGTCCAGTATTTGAGCCACATTATGGGGCTAGTTACAAGAAGGCATGGTGGGCCTATAGGTTGAAAGAAACTGTGTACATTGTGTATGGCATCTTAAAAATGTAGGGCTCTATAGCTAACCAAGATTCTCTTGATGTGCCCACGGTAGTTTGTACGATTAAAAAGCTTTACCTTTCCTCTCCCACAGTCCTATTTTGTGGTAGAGTACGACCCCACCATAGAAGATTCCTACACCAAACAATGTGTCATCGATAGTGTAGTAGCTAAGCTGGACAGTAAGTATGCAAATCTTTGTGAAGCTTTGAATTTCGATTCCTAAATGTGTCTTGAGAAAGAACCATGAGAGTATTTCATCAATGTTTCGGATAGTATACTGATCTGTTTATCCTTGGGATAGTGCCAGACATCAGTATGGTGTCTGAAACGTTGAGAAAATACTCTCTATCATTCTGTCAGAACCAACGTTTCTCCTTAAGAGAGATTGAGTGCTAGAGTGCGACGTCACTACATGTACCGCCCAAAGTAAGGCTTACTTCCTAGACAAGTGTTCACATGTATGTTTAAAGGTAGAGTAGATCATTTGCAGCTATCCATAAAGTAACTGACAAAATTATTCTTCAAAACCTTACTTGGTTTAAAGATAGTAATTGTACTAAACTCCCTGTGAAATTATTCTTTCTGGCATGCTGTCATTTTCAAGAAAATGACAGCATGCCAGTTCCAAAGATATGTCGAGTGGCGCATTTTAAAAAATTTCCGTTAGTAGTTGGTTTGTAACTCGGCGAATCCGTGAATGGGTGCGCAAAAGCGTTGACACGATGCACACACGGGCGTGGGTGCTATTATTCGTCAGTTCAGTGCGTGACATCACGTAGCTGCAATTGGCTGAATGAGAACGTGTCCCGGATGCTGATTTCGGGCGCAATTCAAAACGTGACTCGGCAACTTTGAATTGAAATCGAGATCCTAGAACATTGTTTTCTCAGAATATACAGCATTTACAGAGCTACGTGTAAAACTTCATCAAATTAGGTAGTTGTTAAACACCCGTCTTTACATTTTGAGCACTTTTGATGCTTCAAACAAAAAATTCTGATTGTTTCCATTGATTTCCATCATGCAAAATTTTAACAACAAAAAATGTCTTTGGTGGTTTATGATACATTTTGTTAAGTTGCTTCACGCATGTTGATTCCGTGGGAAAATCCCTTCCTGAGTAATTCTTCATTCATGAGAAATCCCTTGCACACAGTACACACACTTCAATTATACATGTATCCTGTGGATTCAATGTATTCTGTCTCCTGTACTTGAATACTGTTAAGCAAACATTTGCTTTACAATTGTATCAACCTCATTGAATTGAAGAGATCAAGCAAACATGTTATTCATCAATTCCTTTCCCTTAATCCCATTACATGTATAAGGCTTTTCATCATTTCATCCACTTTCAAACATTAGCTTTGAATGTTCTATGAAAAAAAAAAAAAAACAGGATTCCTCTGGGTTTTGTTTCTGAGAATTAATCATTTCCCATCATAACACATGAACTGTTGTGATTAAAAAGTACACATATAGGATGGCATAGAGCCAAAATGCTGCATGTGTTTTTTTTCATATTTTATTTTTTATTTCATTTAAGGAGGTGACGTCTATGTGTTTAAACGTTTAAATGAAACAAATTCTAAATGCATTTACAAATATTCCAAAACTTTAAAGAAACCTGAATTATAAACAAGAAACCTACTGAACAATCACACGATCTTCCCTTGATAAACATACATAGCACAAATAATTCACAATGTTTTCGACCCTTTTTAGTTTACAAAACCTTAGAAGCACCACAGCACTTGCTCGATTATATTCGGGGTGCATGTAGTCATTTTGCAATGACTGCCAGCTGTTATAATGTCATTCATTGTTGATTTATCATGGCAATCGTGCCGGTCTGCAGACAAAACGGGCAGGTGTCAGCCTTTGTGAAATAGCCAAATGTTTGAACTTTTAATAAAAGAAAATAAACTAGAAGATAAGAGGTGCCCAGCCATGATGAACAGCGCCCTCATAGTTTAAACGGTATTTAAATATTTACTGTAAAATTAAACGCAGAGTAACATCCTTAATTTCATTGATGGCTAATGATTAGAATTTGAAAACATTATTTTCCCCAAGCCACACGGATAGGATGAGATTTTTTTTCCAGAGAGCCTTATTATAACGAAAACTTTGCTCCAGGCAAATATTAAAAAATAAAACATTGAAAACCATATTGTATTTGCATGGAATTCAATTTAATGAATCTGTTTGCAAGTGTTGAAAGAAAATACTGGTAAGCCTTGAATTGATCCAATTTCTCTTTTGAAATGTTATAATCCAGAAATAACTGTCAGCGTTTCAACAATTTGAAGAATGTGTCAGATGCATAATTGGCTTGCCCATAGGCAGTAAGAGAGGTCCAAGAGTGTGTGCGCTGTATCTGTGGCTTATTCCATGACTGTATCTGTAGATAGTGTACTGCAGAGATAATCCATGGCAAATGTGCTCTATTGCCATATGTACAGGGTGTCTCCCAAAAAATGTAGCAGTTAAACAACATTTTTTTCTGAGGAAACTAAATCGTTGTTTTTTTGTAAACAATTTACCATGAGATGATAGAGTGTTTCTTTACCCTTCACAGGATTTTTGTTCTGTGTGATTTGGACCTTTTAGTTTAAAAGTTACGGCAAAGCTTGTAAAGACTGTCAAAAATCTGTGTGGGCCACTTTCTTCACCTTGTTGGTATGTGAATGCCTTTCATTAGATACCAAGTGGCCCAACTTGGAATTCAAGTCCTTTCATTTAATTAGCTGTATCTCTGGACTGGGGTGTTCAAATGAGACGGGATAAAGACCATTGTGTAGAGTATTTACTACACCTTCAGACTCTATAGATGAGTTTTGCAAAGAGAGTGCCAGGATTTTTAATCTTTATGGATTGACTGAGTTTTTTGGAGACGCCCTGTATTTGCTTCAATACGTGCAATTTGCATACATAAGTCTAATTGTAACCAAAATTACTAATAACTGTTGTTGGATTTCTGAAATGTTCAAAATTCATTATTTATAAAAAAAATTTAAAATAATAAATATATGCATACTATGTAAGTATACCTATCAGTATATTGTAAATATATACTTAAATTAATGCATCTGATAAACTTTTCAGTTTACGGGTTAGTTCGTTTGTTCACTTTGTCTGCTGTACAACCCACATGCAAAATAGAATTACATGTAGGCCCCTATGTGCCATGCTTTTATATGCCTGTGAAAACTATGAAAACTGTGTTGACCATCCACCTGGCACCCGCAAAACAATTTTGCATATTGACCAACATATAACAGCACATACTTGTATAACTGTATGCCTTTTAATTAATTACAAGTGTCAAGAAATGTTATTTTTATGGCTTGGTTTGTTCACATTGTTGATTTTCTGTGAATGTTCCACATGAAGGAAGCATCGGTTAAAGGTCATGGATATCATTTTCAAACATTCAAAAATCAAACTGTCAAAAAATTGCTTTTTTTTACAATAACTGTCCCAAATGGAGTCAAAATGTATTAACCCTTAAATCCCTAGGCATTTTTGCTAGGATGCAATCTCATTCCTTCAAAATCCTTCTACTGCCTCCGTGTACAAATTAGATACAGCCTCAATCCTCCAAAATCCCCCATTATTTCTTGAATGTGGTCCTTGGAGGAACACCATGCACTGCCTCATCCTGCAAAATCCTCCAGCAATCACTGTCAATATGTTGAGGCAGGGGCAGGGACATCTTGGAGCAGTGCGGGGGATTTCAAGTGTAATAAGATAAAGATTTACCGTAGCACCGTGGGACAAATCTCTTTTGTGAGATGGAGAGGTTCTGAAAAGAACCGGGGAGAAAGTCACTTATTCTTACAAAAATTGTCACATTAAAGGGAAGATACAACATTTGCAAACATCACAAAATGAAATGACCAAATTGTCATGAAATATCTTACTGGACTGTTAGGGAATGACAGTCTTAAGCATACTGTAAAATCGTGGCTCCTAGTGTGATGTCATTTTCAAGAAAAACGGTATTTTTTCCAATGCCAGTCGGCCGACCAGCATTGGAGAAAACTGGCTTTTTCAAAAACTGCTCCTAATTTTTCATAATTAGTTATTCCGCGTTTTCTTTGCAATTGATCACACACCTGTGAAGGGGTACAAGCCTACCAGACTGATTCTCTGACCTTAACAATTCCCCAAAGTCTATAAAATACTCCGTTTCATCTTAAGTGGGGTCAGGGAACCAGACTTTAAGAACATGATCGGTTTGCTTTGCTATAACATACTAATCCTCCAAATCCATTTATTTCTGAAAGTTGCAGCAAAAGCACATGTTGTGCATTCCCTGTAACTCATTTTTCTCACTAACTCATCAGAGATATTTGTCACTCCAAGTCAGTTGGAGAGTGTTCAGTTATTCAGGCCATCTCCAAGTCTCTTGTTCCCAGAGCTGCCCCCCCCCCATGACAGATCCCTCCTGTTATAAACGATAGATTCCAGCACTCTTCTAGGTGTAAAAAATAGCATTGTGCGTGGGTATATGATGTGTTGTTCCATTGTCTGAGGCTGTAGGAAGTCTAGCCATATACAATGCCACTTGTTCTACATGGGAAACGTACATTGTAAATGAAGCAAGTCACCTGACATATAACCTGCACAGGAAATGTTCATATTGTTGTTTTGCACTGTCAAATCGGACGCCCCAAATCTATATGTGCTGATCATGTTGCCATCAACATGATATAGCTGCAACAGATTGTTGCCAAGGCATACATACGTGTGTGTTTCACATAAGGCCAAAACAAAATAGTTCTGCTTCCGATTACATGGGAATTGTTTGTTTTGGGCAATTTTGTGTGTGTGTACGATCACATGGAGGTGTCTGCGTGTAGTCAAGGATAAATTGTAGTAATTGATGGTTTTCGGGGTTTTTATTCCTCATTTTTTTCCCCCAAAACAAAATTATGGTAGGGGCTGTCAAAATAGGGTAGGTACCGTAGGGTAACGGGAGCAGACCTTTTGGGGGGGGGGGGGAGCCTACCGTAATTGCAAGTTCTTAGTGTTTTTTTTATGTAAGTCTTTACATGGGTTTGTTTGTCAAATGCCACACTTTTGTCAAAAGCCATCCAACAAGTGTACAGGCAAGGCATACTGTTCACACTGACAATGGTGTGTACCCTGGTGGCTGTAGATTTTGGAGTTTTTGTCTGGGTTGAGCCTCTCAACCTTGGTCCTGGCCAGGGTTGGGTTTTACCCTGGATGTAGAGTGCTGGACCCTCATAGAAGCCGTGTTGGATTCTTACTAGTTTGAAAGGGGTTCCTTAAACCTCTGTGTTGGACCCAGGTTAAAGTTATAGTCCATCATTTGTAATGTGTGCATTTTGTTCGTTTGAAGCAACAAAAGTGCTCAAAATCTAATGAAGGGTACTGAACAACTAACCTGTTAAAGTTTCAGCTCAGCTTCAGCTGTATATTCTGAGAAAAACGGCATTCTAGGATCTCAATTTCAAATCAAAAGTTGCTGAATCATGTTTTGAATTGCGCCTGAATTCAGCGTCCGAGACTCGTTCTCGCTGAGCCGAATGCAGCTACGCGATGTCGCGCACAGATCTGACGAATTATAGCAACCGGGGGTACGTGTGCGTCGTGCCAATGCTTGCGCGCGCTTCGCCGAATAACAAAACGAACTACTAATTTAAAGTTTCCTACGGTGCGTCTTAAGAAGCACCGTTGGAAAGGCCTTCTTTCGTTGATTACTTCAAAATGACAGCTTGCCAGAAAGAATAATTTCACAGGGAGTTTAGTCCCCTTACTATCTTTCAACCAAGTATGTTTTTCAACAATAAATACGCCAGCTACTATTCGGATAGCTGCAAATGATGGACTATAGCTTTAAACACACAGAGACTTTGGAAAGTGTGAAAGGGCTATGCATATATTATGTGTCGATTTGGTTGACAACCATATGCATAGTCATGCCAAAATATGTTGAACATTTGCACAGTAAATTCAACGTGTACCGGTGTACATGCATGTTACCCTGAAACACGTACATTATTCTTGTAGTTTCTGACAACAGATATTTAGCTTGCTTCATGCTAACATTGTTTATATAGTTTTCTTTTGGTTATGGAATCATATTAAGAAAAACAGAATTGCCTGTGTCGGTTACTTTTTTATGATCAGCTGATCAGTTGTTATTGTTAGCCCTGGTTTGTATTGACAGCATGGAAGCATTTCTATGTTAAAAGAGTTAATGAAAATTGATCTTAGAAGAACCGGGACTTCAGAGGATGGGCGGGGATGGGGGGGGGGAGGGGAGATTGGAGGGGAACGCTTAACAGTTCAACATCCAACTATCTATGTTAGCTTCTAATTTGCTGGTTGTTTTGTCGTCAGTTTTGGATACGGCAGGTCAGGATGAATTCAATGCGATGAGAGAACAGTACATGAGAACTGGGGATGGCTTTCTGCTCGTATTCAGCCTCACCAATAGAACGAGGTACGTATGCGTAAGACCGTTAACAATAGGTATAGTGGTTAGGGTTCGAATCCAGCTGCTAGCCATATGTTATATCCTCGGACAAGTCGCTTTACCCCGGCTTGCCTCTCTCCACCTAGGAGTATAAATGGGTACCGGCATTAGCTAGGGAGTAACCTGCGATGGACCAGCATCCCATCCAGGGGGAACAGAAATATTCTCAGTTGTTTTATGCTACAGAAAGCGGAAATAAACGCCTGCCTAATAGGCCATATTGGCTCGTAACAGCCTTCATGCCAATGGTCTTTAATTACCCTAAATATTGTCCGTTTTAGTGACATTCCTCGCAAATCACACTCCCCCCCCCCAATCTTCCCCACTGCTTCATGTTCATCAGTGTCCATGAACCCACAGCTAGCCACAGAGATACTCTGCGGCTTCATTCAGACTAGCTTGGAACACTCGGCTCTAAGGTTTATAACATAAAATGACGAATTTCCCATGTCATGAGCCTTAGAGCTAGGCTTAAACTGTATGCCATCTTAAAAGGGTAGTTACATTTAGCCCAGCCATTCTCCGCTTAATTTAGTTGAAAATCATTGGTCGCAATTAAATCCTTTCCATGAAGGAAATCAGCACTTCAACCACCACGAACCACAACATCCTCATGGTAGTAATTGAGTAATGATTCATATGGTTTTTTTTTCGGGGTTACTTTTCTGTTCTAGTTTTGAGGAAATCGTCAGATTTCATCGGCAGATTCTGCGAGTAAAGGATCGGGATGAGTATCCTATGATCCTGGTGGCTAACAAGGCAGATTTAATCAACCAACGAGTGGTAAGCAAATGTTTGTATTTGGCAATCCCGTCTGCATTTGAGAGTAGGTAAAAAATTGGATATTTAATTTCAATTTTGCTTTTTTTTGTTTAATCCTTGATCCAACAAAGCAGAAAAGATTGAAATTGCAAGCTTCAATTAAATTCTTGACGTTCATTTTTCAAACCAGGGTTAGTGACATCACTGTTGATGGTTGGGTCAAAGGTCAAGTAAGCAAGGATAAAGGTTATGGGTCATAGGCAAAGTCCATAAAGGCTATGGCCATGGCTTGCAATTACACATGTTCCCATATGTAAGGCTAAAGCCACTTTCCATAGACATGTACATGTACGTTACTGCTGGTCTTAGCCATGTACATGTAAGTCAGATGGGGCCTTTGTCACTCTTTCAATTTCATGGGAGCTAAGCAAATTTAGTCAAGCTTAATCAGTATAAGCAAATGTCACCAAGGCCAACTAAAAAAAAAAGTACAAGTTGACCGGCTGGGTTTGTTCCAAAATGAGGAGGGAGAGGTCCTTTTTATTTTTTATTTTTTAAATTTTTTTCTCCAAGATGGCCGCCAGTAGCTTTTACATTAAAAATGGCCGACAACTGTTCAGTTCAAAATGACTGCCAGCTTTTTATTACAGATTCTACCAGTAATCCAGACACGAAACAGGCGCGATGGAATAGATCATATAAAGTGATTGGTCAATTTTTGGCGAATGTGAATAGATCGGCCAATGAGAGTATTTGTTTGGGTCGCCTCAGACTGTGTGCTATTTGTGGGTTGAAGGTCAAATATCCATTACTTGCGGTCTGGCTCCCTGTCGCAAATTTAGTTAACATGCATACACGTGATGTAGTGGTGCCATACGACAACCGAGGCACCAGTTATTAACCCTCCTTGACCTTTGCACACATACCTTCTATTCCAAGTTATCCTTGCAGTCAAAATCAATCAAGTGACTGTTTTCGACCCTTAAGAATTCCCAGCCCACATAAAGCAGGATCAACTGCTTTGGACTGATTAAGTAACTTGATACAGCTATGCTTTGACTCCAGGAGAGTGATAAAACAGCTGTGACCACAACTTGCCTGCTTGTCTGTTGATCGGGTTTGACTAGACACAGTACTTGATTGACATATATGATCTGACTGTTGGTGGCTAGCCTTTGTTAAAAGTATAGCAGGGGAAGTGGAAGTGAATTTTCGCTGTCTGTGACTGCTTAAATAGCAGGAGGGTTAATTAATTTGTGCAGCGTAAGTGACACATCTTTGATTTATTATCGCATGGGTCAAGATTTTAAGCGAAAATATGCATTTTTGGGGAACAATTATTTTTTAAAGCATGTGGCTTCAAAAAAGGATGCGGGCAGGGATGATCAACTGGTGTTGTTTTACTTGGCCTAATACAAGCTATTTCACTTTCTCTACAGAATCTTGTAAAACCACAAGAGGGAGCCAAAATCAACTTTTGTTGGATTGCTTTCTGTTTTTCTTTTTTTCCCCAGGTATCCGGAGAAGAAGCTCAAGCACTTGGCAAGCAGCTTAAACTTGAAGTCATTGAAGCAAGTGCCAAGACAAGGATGAACGTGGACCAAGCATTTCATCAACTTGTTAGGACAATACGGTAAGAGTACTGGCTAATAAATGAGCATAACGTGCTTATATAGCGCTTTATACCAACGGTCTCAAAGCGCTTCTTCACAATTATTACCCTTGGTCATCAGGCCATGAGACCAGTTTTTGCAGCAGCTCGAAATCAGCGCATTCTGGTCTCTACGTTCACAGGTACCCATTTATACCCCTGGGTGGAGAGAGGCAATTGTAGTAAAGTGTCTTGCCCAAGAACACAAGCACCATGTTCCCTGTCAGGGTTCAAACCCACGTACCCCGGCACGTGAGTCGAACACCGTAACCATTTGAACACGGCACCCCACTAAACAGAAGAAGTATATGGAGTCCCCTAGCATGTCACATCTTGACTGGTCCCCTGACTTCCCTCATGCAGTGTTGCCAAATCTCTTTGTTGATGAGGTTCATATTCATTCAGTTAAACATTGGTTCCATGACCTAAATAAAACTTGCTACCAAAAGCTTTTGAATTTTAAGTATCATGACATTTAGTCCAAAAGAAAAAACAATAAATAGTGTCCTAAAATTGGGCAAAAATAGGGTGGGAGAGTTCCTGTCATTGGTACACTTGAAAAAATCCCCCAAAAATTGTTTTCTTCAATTTTACCAATTATGCATGATAAAGTATGAGCATGTCCTTTCACTTATGCAACTACGTGTTAGTCAGAAAACTTTGTTCTTATTTTTGGGTACATTTTAAATGTGGTCACTGCAAACATCAAACATTACAGAGATTTAGTTTCCTGAGACTTGTAATCTTTAGTTAAAAGGATGATTGCCTGACAACCTCATTTTGCTAACATTCCAACATGCTCTCATGATTTTCATATCATATTTTCTTGTAGAAAATTCCAAGCTGAAGAGAATCCTCCCATGCTGCAACCATCCGGTAAAAGCGAGAAGAAATCCTGCTGCACACTCTTGTAAAATTTGGTAAGATGCGAAGAAGTGGCAATATTCTCAAGATGTTTACTGGATTGCAGATAGGTTCTAGTGTATGTAGAAGGTACTCATGACTTTGCTGAGCATGGTTTGCGTGCTGTGATGATGAATGACCTGTTTCCGTGAAATAAGAGTAAAGTTCCACACCAGATTTTTATGTAATTTGAAATGTTATCATTATTGTTATACAGGGTGAGTCAGAAAAAGTGGAACCCAAACCCTAAAATAAATTTCATATTTAAAAAAACATGTAGCACCAAAAATAATAATGACTGGAAAGCCAATTTCAGAAACTACTATTAGATGCAAAAAAATACTGAAATTGCTCAATTCGTTCAAAGAATATCACCATTTAAACGCAATGACCCTAAAACCTGTTTCGTCCAAAAAAAGCAATTTATTGTGTGCTCTGACTGTTTGGAACAACAAAGAAAATGACACGGAATACTTGTTTCAACAACTGTCAACAACTGTAGTACACAATATTTTTGTTAACGACCCTGCTTAGGCAAACAATATGATTTATATAATCCACTTTTTTTCAAAAGACGGGCCTTCAAAAAGACTTTGTTGAATATGTTTAACTTTTAAACTGAGGTTTTAATCGCTGATGATGTTTGAAGATATCAATTGTGATGACGATTCTTGAAATCGCATTTTTGGACGACAGAGGTTTTCGAGTCATTGCGTTTAAATGGTGATATACTTTGAACGGATTGAGCAATTTAAGTAATTTTTTTTTCATCTAAAAGTAGTCTATGAAATTGGCTTTCCAGTCATTATTATTTTTGGTGCTACATATTTTGTTTGGATTTGCCCTGTACATGTGTCTTCGATCGCACTATGATGTGATGTATCGTGGATAGTTGCCACATCATGTAGTGACGTATCATGTTTACAAAAGTCTGTGTTCTGATCTGTCACTTGTATTACTTTGTTGTGCATCGGACTATATGTCTGTTTCAAAACTGAAGTGAGATCTGACGAGTATAAACCATCTTGAGGCAATTTGTGATGTCCTATACATTTTATCCAAGAAAGATAGACTCCGAATCTGGTATTTACTCCAATGTTTGTTTACATGAGCTCATGTTCTACCTCAGCATCAAAAACTCAGCGTCCAATTTTCGAACTTGACTCTTATTTCTAAGGAGCTGGTCATGAATTAGACCATCTTCTTGCCATATACAATGGGTGATTTTATAGGTGATAAATTTGCGACAATTGTTTGTGCATTCAGTGAATAATGAATGCAACATCTTATAAAGAATTGGATAACAAACTCTTTTGAAAAAAAACTTCTGGAAATTTGAACAATATTTTTTTTAGAATATCGTTGCTGTAATTGGTGTGCTAAAAAAACCTATTGTTGCAATAGACTTTCTGTTAAGCCCCGCCCTATGGTGTTTCAACCAATCACAGCCCTGATTGACCAAGCCAATGTCCAATAAAAGTGTGACAAACGTGCACATCCGCAGGAAACACAGCTGGAACGTTCCATGTGGTGTTTGGGGATGTTGCACTTGATGCACTCGTTGCCCCTATGCCAAGTGGGCAGGGCATGTGACCACACCTGGAGCGGTCCATTGTAAACTCACCTCTCGATACCCAGACTAAGGTCCAGTCATTTTACATATATACTTTTAAGTAGTTTTCTTGTGAAATAATAACGCAAAAGCTATGCAAAATCCTTCCCGCTGATTGTCTGTAACTGCCAAAACTTTGAGTACACACCAGTGTGCTTTGGATTCGCTTGAAGTACTAAACAATTGCTTGTATAAAAACTTTAGCCTAGTTTGGGACGGTGGGTAATATGTTCCCTTAGAACACTTTTAACAGATAATCAAAGCTTTTTTTCAATTCTTTGTACATGAACTGAAACTGTTTGGCCCATCTACACAGTACACATGGCCAGTAGGTGACCAATCAATCATAACCGTATGTACTTATCTATTTTAAATGAAGAACAATGATAACAGTGATATTTCTCATTTTAAAAAGAGGCAGTTCACAACGTTATCCCGTGTTATGCCCATTTGGCCATTCAGATGCTTCACAGGATACTTCCAATATTTGGAGTCCAGATCACCAATTGATAGTTTTACAGGCAACAGTTGTAACACATAAATGCAATTTGTAGCGTTGAGGCAAATAATATGAATAATGTGAGACTGTCTAATGAATGCATTAAAAATGGTCTTCCTGTATGTACCGGTATATAACCATTAAATTACTTTCTAATCGAAACTGTAGATTTTCATTAATTTACTCAAAATGTGGTCATTTTTCTGTGACTCGCATGCCAGGTTTTATTTGCGTGTGGGTTTTCCCCCAAAATATACAGAACTCCAGTTGTTTCTATCCAGTTTCATTTTTGGCCAAATATACACCAAATGTCAAGTCTTTTGAATAGGCTATACGCGCATGTGTTCTCAACCAACATGATATGGCTTACGGTGTACTATGTACATGACATTGTTCGGTCACAGTGTTGTTTTCATGGGAGAAATTTATTGGCAGAAATCATTCAAAAGGTAGAAATATCTTCTTACAATCATGACAATTGATAATGTTTTTATGGTTAAGGTGTATGATTTTCAAATGGCATTAAAATATGCAGTTGTTTAAGAGGTGTAACGCTTTCTAGACAATAGTTATACATTTTTAATTGGTTTCAACTTAAAATTTTAGCATTAAATTGTTCTAGTGAGACAAAACGATTGTTTGTAATTTTGGAAATTAAAATGGAGAATTTAGCTGATGTTCACATTTACATACCTCTGTATGTGAAACGTAAATGCAAGAGATTTGTGTTTTGGTTGGATTCGGTTGTATTTTGAAAAGAAACAGGGCAGTAGCAAGGTACACAATGCAGTCTTCTCTAGTTGAGCATAGTTTTATTTTAAAGGTAATATACAACATTTGCTTTAGCTATAATTTTCATAAATGGATTGATTTGGGGCGTAGTATTTTATAGCAAATATTGTTACACTGACCTGTTTAAAGTTTTGTGTTCATGGATGCTGGGAAAAAAAAAATATGCATTTCTGTTAGTCTGGTTCCCTGACCATACTTCGGACGAAACAGAGCAATTTATAGACGTAGGGGAATAGTCAGGTCAGGGAACCAGACTAGCTGGCTTGCATCATCTGTTCATGGATTGTGTAACTGATTCCAAACTAAATATGGTAAAGTGGGGGCAGTATTTGAAATAAAGTCTTATTTTCCAAAGATGGTCAGCCGACCATCGTTGGAAATTGATAAAAAAATCCACTTTTCTTGAAAATGACAGCACCCCAGGTGCCATGATTTCACTGGATGCTTGAGGCTATTATTCACTTACAGTCAAGTAAGGTATTTCATGATAATTTGGTAGTTTTGTTTTTTGATGTTTGCTAATGTTGTATATTACCTTTAAGCTGACTTTTCAGTTTATCAGATACCAAGTTATTTGATGCCAGGTTGCCAGAACTCTTATTTAAAGTGTTCCTATATATGCAGCCATATGGAATTATATAATGCAACAATAAAATGTTAACATAATGTGCCTTTTTTTTAAAATACATCTTCTGTGAAGCTTCTTTGCTTGTATGGGTTGGGAGAGGGCAACATGCTACTTTTAAGTATATGAGATCTACTCCCCCAAAAAACGGACAAAGCTGATAAATTTTGTTTTCTAGATTTTGGCAGTTTTGAAATCTGGAGGTTCTCAGCTTTCAAATGATCCACCACCCCAAAACCTGACAACCCAAATGTGAGATGAACATGTGTATTGAAAAGCGAGAGGTATAAATTTCTATACTTTTTTTCCGCTAAAGTGACAAAAAAAAATCAAACTTCTTCTTGATGGACTATACTATTTTTGGAAACTGTAAATTTCAAGTTGCTGATTCGAAAAACCTCAGAAACCTCAATTTGACTTCATGTGCCCTTTGTGCAAAAAAAAAACCAACTTCCACAACTTTGTCCGGGTTTCGTGGGAGCAACAACAGCAACTGCTAGGACTCATAATGACATCAGCTCCACCTAATTCTCTACACATGTACTAAAATAATGTTCTTTCTGCAAGCAGCTTCCAAAGCAAAGCATCTTCTGAAACTGGACCAGAAGTTTAGAAAAGGGATACCTTGCAAGTCTGTGGTAATTGAATCTCTCTTACCCATGTTAGAAAAATCCTGAGGTTGTTTTTGTATAAAGCATGTTTATTTTGTATCATTTAAGAGGATTTTCTTGTTCAACTATGCATGGTGCTGGCCTAGGATTTCTACTGTCATATTTTTTTTGCATGTAAGTTGTATAAATGTGACTCTCTACATTTAATAAATACTATATTTTTAAGAATCTGGTGCCAATTTACTGTGTAAGTGAAAGGGACTACTTTTTTTTTTAATGTTTAATAGTTATTTTTGGAGCTTAAACTTGTTAAAACTACGCAGTTCCAGCGTTATGTAATGTCCGCGAAAGAGCTTTTAAGAGCACAGTGAATAAACTTGAAAGTGTTTTTGAAATCTTATACATCCATCATCTAGTAATGGTCAAGGAGATTACAGACTAGGAGTTTTGGATCATTTCTCTGAATCATTCATTAGATATCATGGTTAATTGGCTCTGTCACGGACATTACACTTCCTTTCAAAACGCTGAATTTCCCACATGTAAATGCATTTTTCCGCAAGTTTGCTTTGATGTTGAAGTGGTGTGTATGGATAAAAATTAAAGTTTTAATTTCTTAGTTTTACAATTGATAAGAGACGTTTGCTTCCTTAAAGCGATAGTAAAATTTAATATATGGGTGTATTTTCTTTTGAAGTATGCATCAAATATAAACGTAATATTGAGACATTAAAAATAATAAACTTAAAAAACGGCCAACTTTTAACCAATGAAAATATCATTAGTTTTATCTTTTATACCGGTACGTATGATTGTCATATCAGTTATGACAACCTGTAGATGAATTATTGCCAAATAATGTAAATCAAGTATGTTTACTTCTTAATGTTAGAAATGTCAAAAGTATATGCATTGTGTACGAACAAATTTATAAACTTTTAAGTCATCGGAAAAATATGCTTCCAAATACACATGTAAATGTTATATCGAATTTGCCTTTGTATTTTTGCACTAATTCTAAATCTCTCTTTCTAATGAATTTCCTATGGGGCAAGCTATAAGTTCAGATAGGTGTAGACGAACAAGTATTTGAAGCAACAAATGTTGATAATTTCCGTTGTAAGAATACTTTCAGTCATGTCAGTTGTAGAAACATTTATTATATGAATGTCAGTGCAACTTACATTTGCTGAACCTAAAAAGTAGTGCTGATAGTTTGGCCAGGAATTTAGTTGAATGCCTTTAGGTTTGTTAAATTTTCTAGTTAGCTGCGATTTCTTGGGATAGGGTTTGATAGAAAATGCCATTTTATTTATAAATAAAATAAATAGGTAACAGTGTTGGATTACAAATTGAAATACTTCATATATTCAAGAAAAGTAAACACATCGTTTTTAACATGTAATGGTTGAAATCATGTCATTTATTTCAGGGTCATTTTGTTTTATTTCCTAACCCCTTGAGCAATTTTACAAGAAAGTATCCTGAATCCGCCCAAATCCACCAATTTTGTCATGCATAAAAGTGTTGGTGTCCTGATTCCATCAGAATCCACCAGTGAGTCCATCAGAATCCACCAGTACATATACCTTGTACACACCACGGACCATTTACCAAACATATAGCCAATGAGTTAAACTGTTGAGATCCTGAATCCATCAAAGTCCCACAACTGTCCAATATGGAGGTATCCTGAATACATCATGCAGTACCGCTAGGCTTGCTGTCCTGAATCCATCAAAAATCACCCAACTTTTTCAATATGGAGGTATTCTGAATCCACCGAAATCTTCCAAAACAAGGGTGTGGATTTTGATGGATTCAGGTACGTTTTAGGGTTAAAGGTAATAAACAACGTTTGCTTTTGCTGTAATTTTCAGAAATTGATGGATTTATGGGTTAGCATTTTGTAGCAAATATTGTTACAGTGATCTGTTTAAAGTTTTGTGTTCATAGATGCTGGAAAACCAAGAAAACAAAATGCTGTTCCCTGACCCTACATGTACTACAAACGAAACGGAGCAAATTAAAGACGTCGGGGAATTGTCAGGTCAAGGAACCAGAGTAGTTGACTTGAACCCGTTCATGGATGTGTACACAATTGCAAACAAAATGTGAACTAACTAAATTTGGCAAATTGTTGACAGTAAAATCAAAAAAGTCTTCGACCATCGTCGGAAATTGATACAAAAAGTCCACTTTTCTTGAAAATGACAGCACACCAGGTGTCATGATTTCACAGGATGCTTGAGCCCGTTATTCATTTACAGTCCAATAAGGTATTTCACAATACACTTTTTTTTTGGGGGGGGGGATTAACCCCAAAATAATTTTTTATGATCCAAGTTCGACTCGAGATAATCAGAAATTCCTTTAAATTTTTTTCCCCCCTAAAGTCAAGTTTAATCCCAACAGAAAAGAAGGCAAGGGGTTCCTTATGCCATTTTATTTATACATGTACATGGAGGTTTACTTGAACCGACAACGGGCTGGTAATTTTGGTGCACTTCAAACGAACAAAAAGAATGACACTTGAACGCTTGTAAATGTAACATTTACACATCTTTTTATTACCTTTTGTACATATATGTAGAGCGCTTATTTTTTTGTAAATTTCGCATGGCTAACGTTCATCCTTATGCGACTTTTAACACGTTTCCATTGGAAGAAAGAATCATTCAAAACTTTTTAAGAAAAAAAATAAAATAAATGTCATTTTATTCACCTTGGCAATAAACCAAACCAATAAAGTCAGATATGGATTACTTTTGTAGACCTTATGCATTGACCATAAACTTTAATACCAACTCCATCAAAATCCACCCCTCGTTTTGGGGGATTTTGGCAGATAAGCCATGCGTACCAATCGGAATCCATGAAAATCCACCAGCACCAGTGGTGGATTTCAACGGATTTACCCCTGAAGCATTATGTGAAGCAGAGTGATGGAATGTGATGGACATGGTCTTGTACTTTGCGCTGGGATAGGCACAAGTAAACCTTGGTGCATTCAGTAATAAATTAAAATTAAGAGTATTCTCTGAGATACCCGCAACTTATAAGGTCCGTTCTTTCATGTGCACAGGAAAACAAAGGCTTGCCTGTCCCGAGGGGTAAAATATTCTCGACACCAATTCCAAAATTGCATCACAGTAAGATATTACATACACATGGAACCTTGGTACAATTTGAGGGAAGTCACAGCATTTTGAAGCCACTCGTACCAATCCTCCCAATTAATCGTTTTCTAAAAAGTTTGTCGGCTAGTGCAAAGTGAAAAACGTTTCGGCAACATCAGAGGTGCATTTCACTCAAGCAAATTTTCTCCCAGAAAAACACATGTGCAAACACAGCACGATGTCATATTTTGAGTCTAAAAAACACCCGTTTGCTACGGACGCTGCACTGAACTAGTTATGAGAACTAAGGAGTGTGTTCACGTGAAACATCGACAGTTGCAGTTGTTCAGAACCTGGTCAATGAAAAACTGACATGTACAGCTCGCCTGTCTGGAATCCAATTCTATTTGGGAGGATGCAATTTATGTGAGGTAATTTCAAATACACTTGAACGCAAGTGTGAAACAGTTGTAAGATACACATTCCTGATCTCATATTCGCTCTCATAGTAATCGGTTATGTACAAGCTCATACACTAACACTATCAGCTCCTTATTAGAAGATGTCCAAATGCCCTAGTAGTCATGGGCGTCGCCAGGATTTTTTCTAGAGGGGGGCCAAACATATTTTTCTCAAAAAAATTCCTGTATTTCTCAACATATTCCGAATTTCTCAATTTAAGAGGGGGGCAGGGACATTTTGCCCCCCCCCCAAAAAAAAAACTCATTAAATTTACACCACTATGACTTCGCGTCTCTTTTTCTTTTATTGTTTTCTCTTTTTTTTCTTTCTTTTTGTTTCTTTTTGTTTTGGCTTTAACAGGGGGGGGGGGGGGGGGGCCCTTGCCCCCCCCCCTCGCGACGCCCATGCTAGTAGTGAGTCCAAGAATCTCAATTGAAATCTTACAATACGAAATTAACATTCTAAAGGAAGTATTGTTATTTTTAGTATATGCTTCTCTTATTGTTTATACATGCAAGTCTAGAAAAACAAATACAGGTCTGTATTGTTACACAATAAAACTTCCCATCACATCTCTGGTAGCAATTTTTTTTTCTATATCTAATGGAACAAAACAATTAGTAAATCTAAATCTCTCTAATCACACTTTTTACAAAAATTAGATCAACAAATCGCCCAAATGAAATTTTCATTTATTTTACACTCTTCGAACACTAACCAGCCACAATCGTCTGCATGATTTCGATGGATGCAGTACTGTACAACCAAACACCATCAATTCACTGTGGTGTCCACATTTGTTCAAATAGAATAAATCTGCCAAAGGAGTACCACAGAGTGGATTTGGAAAGGGTTTGAAAATGAACAATTCAGACAAAAGGAACATCAAGAATAGAATACAATGCCCTGAGAAGGAGAATCTGCTTCATCCATTTGAAAAGGAGGGTTAATGATTATGAGGATTATTTAATCAATCTTTGTTCATACAATTATTCATCTTCCCAATTAAGCCCGGTTCATATTCGGCGCGAAAGCAAAAGCGAATCTGTGACGTCATGGCAAGTATTCGTGTTGCGAATTCGCCAAAGTTGAACACATTTCAACTCGGGCGAATTTCGTAGCGAATGTTTCACGACGTCAAATTCGCTTCGCATTGGCATGAACTGGGCTTTATGATTACTCAGCATTTTTGTCACATATAAATATCCAATCAAAAATCCCAAGGTAAATTGCCTTCCAAAATGAAAACAAATGTAGTGATTTTTCAGAAACATATCTCTGACACACGAATGTTGAGTTGAGACTAACTTCATCTACATATACATGTACTTACAACAAAACCTATAAACCCTTTTGTGTACAAATTTAATTGCCTTCATTGGAAATAATAAAACAAAGCACTATGATGTTTGAACCGGTATGAAAACATATTAGGTCATGGTCTCTAATGGGGGCCATTACAAGTCGATGTATTAGCTCACCGTACAAAAAGAGTTCAAACTGGCATGTTAAAACTTTCAATCAAAAGTAAAATGTACAAGCATTTTATTCTCACAAATTACTCTTAATATAACGATGTTCAAAAGGTGATAGACTGTTTTTGGTGTGGCCTTTTTTTATCTACTGGGAAGAATTCATCAGAAATATGTCAGGAATAATTTACTAGGACAATGTATTATTAATAGGACCAGGAACCTGAAGTTACTAGTGTTCTGCTCAGCGTGTTCATCATCCTTAACTTCTGAAACATCTGTTACCTTTACAATGTTGCGTAACAAAGTCAAACACCTCAAAACTACAGATTGCCCCATAACAGTAAGTGAGAACTGCCTCTTGCAATTCAGCGCTTCCTCCCAGCTTTCCATCCGGGAAGAATTTTCATCAATTAGACCCGAACTGCTACTTTGTTAGAGTGTTTGGAGTAAAGGAAAGTGACGGTACCCATTTTTATTCACACCTTCAGTAACGGCGAGTCCCACACAGCTGAGCTGGTTCTCTTCATGTAGCGCGGTTTCTTCTTCGCAAAGATGATGGTAAGATCTGGCGGTAGGAGAGGCCCAAACAATGTCTCCAGGTTGGGTGGTGGATGGTAATATTGCTTGATCAAACCTGCCTTCAAACCAGCTCCTAACAAAACAAGAAACGATAGACTCAAGAGTGTTAGTGACAATCACAATAATGAAGTTTATTACAGCAATGTCAATTTCTCAAGATCCAATTCGTGAGTGACTTCATCAAACATGCGCCGCACTGCTAGTTACCAGCGCCCACTGGCTAAACATGCAACTTTGCACTACTTCAAGTTCCAATGCTACTTAATGTGCAGTGGGCGTGGTTTAAACTGCAGTGATGTCACACTTACGAACCGGATTTAGAAAGTTGGTCAAGTATTGACCTATCGCCGTTTGCGAGTTAGCCACGCCCCTTAGACAACCCTATGGAGTTTTTCTACACTAAGTTTTGTTTGTCTCAGATTTTGCGCGTTCCGCGTCCATTTGTATATCATGTAATTGGACAATATCTCACAAGCTGCGTTGACGCGATTCTTATGCGATTTTACCGCGATAGGTCAATTATGCAACCTAGCCTTTAGTCAAGGCACGCAGAACACCCTCAACACACATATACAAAATTTATTTAGTACTTTTCAGAAAGGCGGTATGTTGATATGTTTGGCCGCCCATACATCAACCATATACCATCTGAAAGAGTGTTTTTCTGATTGTTCTAATGGTGCAGTTTATTCAGTGTTACCATTACAAAAATTTAAGAAAAGTGCTTCAGAAGTATCCAAGCACAATTTGAGGTATGGAGTGCCATTTGGTCATGTGGTGAAATGGCTTGCAGTTCGATAAATGGGACCAGATGAACAAACAGGCATAACTTTCTTATATTTACACATATGGACTTCATTTTTACATCACATAAAAGAGTAAGGTTCAAGGAACAAACTTTACACACAACACCTATGATTTTAATCACTCCTTGGCAGCTAAAATCTGGGTTGAAAAAAGTGAGTTTTCGACTTGTGGTCATTTTGTTCACACTCTAGTGATTTCCGCATGACTGAGCAAACAATTTGGTCCTGGGGAGAGCCAAGTCAATAAACAATGTGGTAATGAAAGGGTTAAATATCAACAACTAATCTGCTTCAATAAACAGGATTTTTCTAGTGTTTGTAACCAGAAAGTTACAGTACGCTCATTCACTCAACAGCAATGCCTATTAATCACTGTGATTGGAGCACAATGAAAGTTGGTGATAGCTAGACTCACCTTGAGCCCAAGATGGTATCGTCTTCTTAGGATGGTCGTCTTCATCCGTGGAATCACCGCTATCCAAGTCATCAATGTTGTAGTTCTCAGATGTGGAAGGCAACGGTACTCTACCCAAAAAAAAAAGACTATCAAGTTTCACCTGTAAATACACTATAGCTTTACCTTACAAACCTACTGTGGACATTCCTTTGTATTCGAGGAGTTAAGAAAAATCGAAGGCAAACATCATTTTACTCGCACTGTGAACACTCTTCAACCCAATTCTTTTTATCATGATTTCCGTGAGTGTTCCTCTTCATTTTACGACAAATAAACCTAACCCGAAAATGCCTCTAAATCTGTTTTCCAGAGAGGGGGAACCTAGTGTGGACGTGTGCAAGTCCACAAAGCGTTCATGCTTCCTGCATCCTGTGGACCTCTTTTGTTCACAGGTCCACAGAGAGTATGTAAGGTTAGAGCATGTACACTCTTGATTATTGTTATTGTATTATAATCCGTTTCTATCAGCATCTTGATTCATGGCAACGTGCGTTGGGAGGTAGCAGTTCTCCGTTCTCTGGCTTTTAGTTTCATGCTCCATCTTCATGATTTTAGTTCCCCCGACTCAACAGACATCATTACAACATTGGTCCACTTTCTGCTATAGAGACACCACATTGTCTAACAAAAGGTTAGCGGTTGCAGTGTTGCCATGGGATTTCAACGTACACGTAGTAGTGTTCTTATGAGTATTGGGCTTTTAGGAAGGCAGAGACAAAGTCAGGATTTTGTAAACTCCCATAGGTCCTTGGTGAATCTGTAATCACAGTAGTATTGAAATATGAGCTGCATATATTCAGGCAGGTGTTATGGGAAACAGGGCGTGGTTGATGGGTGTAGTTGGAGGGTGTGGTTGATGGGTGGTTAGAGGGTGTGGTTGGAGGGTGTGGTTGATAGGTGTGGTTGATGGGTGTGGTTGGAGGGTGTGGTTGATAGGTGTGGTTGATGGGTGTGGTTGGAGGGTGTGGTTGATAGGTGTGGTTGATGGGTGTGGTTGGAGGGTGTGGTTGATAGGTGTGGTTGATGGGTGTGGTTAGAGGGTGTGGTTGATGGGTGTGGTTGGAGGGTGTGGTTGATAGGTGTGGTTGGTGGGTGTGGCAGCAGTTAGCAACAATCACAGGCAATGCACACCTCTGTGGGGTCATATCATAGCTCTTAGGTGAGCCATCTTTAGTGACGGTGGTATTTAGACATGAGCTGCTGGTATTCATGCAGGCGCTGGTGTTGTGTTTCAAGATGGATGCCTTCAATCTCTCATGTTCGGCTTGCTCCTGCTGTTTTTCTCTGAGGTCACGTTCCTTCTGCATGATATCTGCAAGGTGTTTCTGATCCTAACAAGCAGAGAAAAAATGTTGCTGTGAAACTTATATTAAACCTCTTTTAATATAACAGCTTAATTCAGAAAGAGGTTCAAGTTCTTTTTTGATGTTGATTTTTGAAGCACAATCAGCATGAAAAAAGTAGTAGCTTCACAAGTAGAAGACAAACGAAAGGAATCCAAAACTAAACAAGATATCCAAAACTAAACAAGATTTGCTTTCCGTAAACATGTCACAAATAAGCAATCTCATGGATTGGTATGTTACAAGTGCATCAACTATGTCAACGCAATTAAGCCACATACGAAAAGTTCATATTTGTGTATAAATGTAGCGATATCAGCCATTTCTTACCTGTTGTCTCTCTTTTTCTCGAGCTAACCTCTCGGCCTCGATACGTCTTTCTTTCTCCACGGCTTCCTCTCTTGCCCGTCTCTCTTGCTCTCGTTTACGTTCCAGTTCTTCCTTCTTTTCGCGCTCTCTGTATCGCAGAGAAAATGAAAACTGTTGGATTCTTTGTTGTTTCACAAGTTGTCTTGTTTTACAGTTGTCATGCTATAATGCATCTATATCAAATCTTTCTTTTGACTTTTTCTATTTACCCCATCAGTTGTATTCTCATTTTTCTTACGTGTAACGCAAGTTCGCAAAGATAATATTTCAATTTCTATTGGGCTACGTGAAAACAGTGGACACACTGCTTACAGCTGACCTAAACAGTAAGGTTGAATATAATATTGCACATGAGGCTGAAAAGGCAGCAGAGCAATTGTGATTAATTTAGTTTTCCATCTTAATTTTTTTTTTTATTATTGATGCTCCTTTTCATATTTCATATATTTGGCTTGCCTTTTTTAGTAGGAGTTTTCCTTACATTCTCCTTAGGCTACATAATTTATTTGAATGACCTTTCATCATAATTTTTTTCAGCAGATATGTTCAAATAATTTTCTTTTCGTTTAGTGAGTTTTCTCTAGTATTATTTTTTGGTATTTAAGATGTTTTCCTCTTTAGTAGTTCCTTTTTTAAAACTGTTTTCTTCGCATGACGATATTTTTATGTGAAGTATGTCTTAAACCGGCAGATTGTCATGACAACTTCTTCTTTTCAATGATAAACCAATTCAATTCAATTTAAAACCAATTCAATTCAATTTAAAACCAATTCAATTCAATTTAAAAAAAAAGGGGGTTCCTTGCTTTTAACTAAAGGTTGACTGAACATAATTATCAGTCAAATAGTTTTGCCAAGTAGGAACAAGTTATTGCCCAATTGGTTCTCCCCTCATTTCTGATCGGCAAGTAACTACCATTGGCAGAACGCGACCCCAAGTAACCATTAGCTTAAGGCCTTTTCAGACTGCCGTCTCGCCTACCCATGTTGATATCAACACAGGTCCGCCGTAAGCAGAACAGGGTCCCATGGCACAGGGGTATGCAATGCTTACCGTTCACACTTACACAGGTGTCTACTCGGATCAGGTGTAGATTTGAGATTTTCTACCCAGGTAGAGCCTCTCTACCCTGGTCCCTACCACAGTAGGATTTTATCCGTACAAACACTGGACTCGTGTTGAAGCCGTGTTGACTTCTTGCTAGTGTGAAAGGAGTTCCTGAAATCTCCGTGTTGGAACCGGGTCAAACACGGAGATTGTGGACAGTTTGAAAGGCCCTTTAGTTTCAATCCAACTCACCGTTCGTCCTTGAGTAGTTGCATCTCTCGTTCCTTGGCTAGTTCTGCCTCCCTTCGTCTCTGTAACTCCTCTTGTCTCTGTCTCTCCATCTCAGCTCGACGTTGCTCCTGCAGACGTCTTGTTTCATCAATACGACGCTGTCTCTCTTGCTCTTCATACTCCTTCTTACGCTGTATCATCTCCAGATGCTGTCTCTGTTCTTCCTCCTGCCAAACAACAAATACCATTATTACGTCAAAGTACTTCGCTAGTCGCTACGGCTTGCAATTACACATGCTCCAATGGAAGCAACTGGATCCACTTCCCACAGAGACAGGTATTATCGCTGACCAAAACTTATCAAACATTATCGCTTGCAATGTTTAATAGCGTAAACAAAAAGCATTTCTCTTTTTTGACTTCACATTTTGGGTCAAGCATGCCTCCTTGCTAAGTGCCGTAATGGAAGTTTTAGGAAGACATCAACCAAGCATCAAGTTCTATGTTAAAAAAAAAGTTAGAAAAAAAATTAAAAATTCATTATTTATTTCAATTCAACGCAACTCTCAAGCCTGACTATTTCTCAATCCACTCCTTTTTGCCCCATTTCATGTGGGTCTCTAGATCCTGAAATACAATCAATTAAATGAAAGGGTGTAAATTTTAGTTGGTGTGATGTCACAAACTTCAGTGCCTGTTCAATGCTCAACCCAGATTCAGCATGTCCAGGTGAGAGTGGCCCAAGTAAAATGCACACCCTTTCACTTAATAGATTGTATTTCTGGATCTAGGGACCCAAATGGAATGTGGTAAAAAGGAGTGGATTGAGAAATAGTCAGACTTTAATGAAATATATAGTTTCAGCGAAGAAAAAAAAATCATTAAACAGTTTCAATCATTTGTTTTCTGAATGTTGCACTTTTTTGGGGCACAGTCTGTACATGTGTATTTTGAACACTGTTAAACATGATAAAATAATCAGATGTCAATGCGGCATGACAAACGACGTAAGCCATCATACATATCCTACCTGTTCTTGCATCTTGATCATCCTAGCTTGTTCTTCTTGTCTTCGTCTTTCTTCAGCCTCTGCTTTCTTCTTGTTCTGCATCTGTTTCCTCATGATCTCCTCCTGCTTCTTATCCTCAATCTTCCTGGTCGTCTGCTTGCTCATCTGTTGTTGCTTCTGTTCCATCTCTAGTCGTTTCTGCTGCTGAATGGCTGCGCGGCGTTCGCGGGCCTCCGTCACCTTCTTGATTCTCTCCTCGCGTTTTCTAAAGGTGAATATTCATCAATGTTTTATACTGAATGTTCCAGTACCATGACCATGTACAGTACACAGTTCACATCATAACTGCTAACGGTGTACGCTTACATAGTGTGAATATATTGGAGAAAACGCTGACTATGCAAGACTTGTTTCAGAGATGTCAATCAAGCAATAAAAAAACCCACATAACACAAGGCAACTGCTGAAAGTGTCCAGGTCAACACATCAAGTTGAAAACACTCAAACAGTTTTCTTATCCCAAGCGACAAATTGGTGTGATTTTTTTTTCAAAGAAAAAAAAATTACTTCAACCTAGGCAAGTGCAGACGATAATAATAAACCATATTTGGCCTTCAATGAATAAAGTATGACCTACTTTTTCTGCAATTCTCTTTGCTTTTGCTTTTCAGCTTCCAGCTTCCGTCGGATCTCTTCGTCTCGTTTCTGCTTATTCAGAATATTCTTCTTGATTTCCTGCTGACGCTCCTGAGGCGAAAAAAAATTATTGATTGAAGGTTGTAAATTAACAATATTAAACGTTTTACAGAAACATGAATTTAAATTAACTAACTCAAATAGAGAAACTACAACAGACTTCTACAACTGATGACATAACTTTTATTTTAACTTTTTACTTAACACCCGACCTCTCAACAATCAAATTTTCGTTCAAGATCTTACGTACAGATGGCAAAAGAAGGCCAAGTTAAAAAATATAATAGTTTCTTGTCTGGGCTTTTTGTGAAAAAAAAATGAAGGAGGTGGGCGCTTTTTCCCCCCAAGATTTTTCAAGATGCTGGATGGATTCTTCCATTTTCTCGACTCTTTTACCGATACAAAATTGTGTCCAAAGGAGCCATTACCCGTTCAACATAGCTACAATTTTGTAAGAAACAAATAAAAAGACAAGATATCGACGATATACATACAAAAACAATTGTAATGTATGAAAAAAAACTGACGGACAAAATAAATGAACAAAATTAGTTTTCACTGAAAGCTGGAAAGTAGCCAAGAGGTAAAGGAAAGGGTTCTCACAGTTGCTGTTTGCTTCTGTGGTGTGTTTCTCTTGATGAATGAAGATACCATTCCATGGAGATTGCTGATGTATTTGGATTCCTTCTTACCAGACGATAGAAATGTTGCTCTGGGTCGCACAACCTGGCAAAAACAAGACATCTGATAAACCAAAGTTTTCCTACAAAACCTCACATAGTCGGGCACAAATGCTAGATTGCATATAACAGGCATGCAACTGGGAATTTAGAAAAGACGAGGAAATTCCTAACCACACAAGACTTTGTACAGTGTTTTTCAATTTGTAATGGCATTTATGAGAAGTAACAAACGAGGATATCAGCAGATCTGAGGAAAAGTTGCATGCCTGATATAACAAGCATTTCATCTGTTCCCATTCGGTTCAATAAATTACACAAATTACAGGAACCTTCCTCACTCTTGCAAAATCCAACACCATATGGTAAACTCTACACCCAAACTGTTGGACTCTGATTATGGTGGTATGCCTGACCCAATGTAAAGCATAATCAGTTTTTACTAATGCAGTACCCACTCCAACAGAATCAAACACAACATGCAGTTGGATTTTGAAGGGTTGGGGTGGTTTGGGTTAATGCATACGAACTATGAACCGCAAAACATACATTGTTATGGCACAAAGTTGTGAATTGAATTCTTTCAGGTTTTGTGTGTGGAATTGCTTTTACCTGGTTTGGCGGGCATTCCGGTGAAGGTGTCTTGCTAACAATATCTTCATCGGAAGAACTGCGGAGATGAATGGAACTATTGTTAAGAATCATGTATCAATATAGCAATGACATTATTGACATATATTACACACCAAGCTCAGGCAAGAATTTTTCAAGCTGTTTGTGCAAATTTTAATGTCCGACTCCATGTGCGATACTGACCAACAAGTTGGTTTGATGTATCAAAGAGAATGATTTGGAAACTAATTCAGATTCAGAAAGATATCCACAAGGAATAAAAAATTAACACTGATGTCTTAAAAGGATCCACGTCCTCTCAAAATTTCTTCAGACCCTACATACATGTTATCCCAAGTATTGCAGATGCTGTCATCAATGTCGAATCTGTAGATGGGCAATTCAAGTGATAAATGTAACGCCCATGACAGAGCTGTTTTTAAATCTAATACATCCGCCATCTAGTAATGATCAAGGAGATTACAGACTAGGAGTTTTGGGTATTTCCCTGAATCATTCACCCTAACCCTCCAGGGTATTCTGGCTAGAAACCCTGCTAAATGCAGCAACATGTAACGTTTGTCAAAATGACAAGCCTGCCAAGATTCATCAGATCAAAAACATCAAGGCCAAAATGCCTGAGAGCCTGCAGTCACCAACTGCTGCATGATACAATCGTGGCATTGTTCAATGGGACTAGCTCTCATTGTTTCGGAATTGGTATTTTATGCAATGGTGATAGCTCAATGCATTAAGGTCCCACAGACTTTCACACCTGATGCACTGTGTTACGGCAGGGTTAGGGTTAATTAGATATCATGGTGAATTGGCTCCATCATGGACATTACACTTCTTTTCATAAGCAAGAATAAACTTTGTGTTAAGTCTAGCAGTGTTGAGTTTTGGTTGCCAAAACAAAATGTTTAAGGTGTTAGAAGTAACTTCCAAGATATGAAATATGTCCTTGATTGATCAGACCTTACCACGAAGTATCATGAGCATTGTCGTCTGGTGTAGATTCCATTGACTTTGGAGTATCTGAGGATGTGTCTTGCTTCTCGGGAGATGATTCCTGTTGTTTCCCTGCAAGCCTTGAGGCAGCCCTAGTAATCCGCTGTGTTTCTTGGTTGATGGTTAGTGGATGTGTTGACACGCTGGTAGAATATCAACAATAGACAACATGATCAACAAAATAAGATAAGTCTAATTCAAAGGTTCCATTACTCACGTGTGGTCTATGACACCATGTCATATCTATGTGTATGTGTATCCAGAAAAGTATTTACTTGTATAAATTCTGTTACCCTGATTGTCAATTTACCACAAATTTAGGCAACATCAATACCCACAAAAGAAATAACCGAATTCTCAAATTACCTCTTTGGGGTTGTGGTTTTCTCTTCCTTGGGAGAATTTGTAGCATCTTCTTCATGAAGCACCTCCTCCATGACAACATCTTGGGCATCATCTTCACTGTTCTCTTGAAGGACCTGCTCCATGGTAGCTCGTCTCATACTGGCCCTGGTACTGGCTCGGGTACTACGCAGAGATTGGCGTACGGACTTCCTGATGGAGGTTCTATGCTGGTACACAGAAGATCGCTTCTTAGAGCGACTGACTGCGATTGACGAGCGTCGTGTAGACTGAGACAGATTCTTGCGGAGACTCTGACGAGTCATGCGCCCTCTTGATGTAGATTGGTTGAGACTATCGCAAGTGATGTCATTGTGATCCAGGCTATCTTCTGTTATATTATGTTGGTCAAGACTGTCGGTGGTCATATCGCCTTGACTTGGACTCACTTCTCTTGGCTGTTTGGTGTCGTTTTCAGGTGTTTTTATCTTGTTGAGACTGTCCTCTGCAATGCTAAATTGATCAAGGCTATCTTCAACTATGCTCAGTTGCTCTCCTTCCATCTTCACGTCATCTGCAACTTCAGGTACGGAATCTTGTGGCTGCTCAACATCTTGAGATTCACTGACATGTGGTTCCTTTGAGTCCGTTTTGTCTTCATCTTTGATAGGCGTCACTTCATTACTCTTCACAGTTTCAGGAATTGAATTCTGGATGGTAGGACTAGATTTGGGTGAAGGTTGCTTTTGTATCTTCTCTGGGCTTTCCTCTTTCTTTAATTCAGGAACTTTCTCATCAATCTGACTGACAAAAACTTCATCATCAGTTTTCTCTTCCGATGTACCCTCCTGTTTATTCTGAGACTTTCTTGCCACTTCTTCCTCCACCCTCTTCTTCTGCTGTATCTTCTTCACCGGAACCAGTTGCTTGGGCTTCTGGACTGTCTCTCTCAAAACTCGCTGATGTTTTGGAGACTGGAACTCATCATCGGAGCTGGATACCACGTCTGCTATTAGGTGCTCGTGATGGCTGATGAGACGTTTGACGTGGTCTTTGTACCTTGAAGCAGCATTGTTGCGCTTTGGCCGTCCCGTTTTTGTCGTTGTCGTTACAGCAGACTCAGGTCTGGTCACTGTTTCTTGAACTTGTTCTGCTTCCTTCTTGACAGGGGTTGATGAAGAAGCCGTCTCTGTGACTGACTGTGACTTGTTAACTGTTTCACACTCATCAGAGGAGGTGCTATCCGAAACAGTAGAGACCGCTTCGCCACTGTTCAGTCGCAATTTCTTTGATTCCTGTTTGGTTTTTGAGACAGCATTTCGTTTGATACTTGAAAGACTGGATCGATCTTTAGCTTTGATACTTTTGACGCCATCTACAAGATCTGCAGGTGCCACTTCATGGGTGCCTTCCTCAGTGTCCTTTGGTGTCTCCGCAGTCGTGATCACCCCTGAATCTGTGCTTCGTTTAGGCTCGTCTTTCACAGCAGCTTTCTCAGCAACATCGACATCCTCTGAGCAACTGCTTGTATCAGATGAACTGAAACCCTGCATTGCTTCAACATTGTTTTCGCACATCTGGACTTTCTTTGAGGTACGCGATCGAGATCGGCCATTTTGGGTCATGACTGTTGATCGGGCCGAGGCACGGGCACTTCTCCTGACCGGTGCGATTGACTGACGAGATTGACGTGTCTTACCAACAATAGATGCTCTGCTGCTTCTGTTGTAGGACAGAGAGATAAAAAATATGACAAATTAAAAAAAATACCCAAATACATTTTCTAATTACAAATGTTCGATGGCTTTAGCCAATTCAATTTAAAATTGGATTTTTTTTTTTTTTTTTACATATCTAATAACCCCAACCGCCCTGAATCCTTCAAAATCCTCTTTACCAAAGTGGAGAAATGTGGAAGATGGATGGCAAAAGTGCGTTACTGATTTCATAGGATGTACTTTGTCAAGGTCTTGGGCTGGACCTTGTGTTGTTTTTGCTAAGCCATGCATAAATATAGGCCTGGATTATGCTTGAAATCCTCCGTACTGCTCCAGGATGTCACTGGCCAAGCCTCAACATATTGACAGTCACTGCCGCAGGATTTTGCAGGATTTAGGCAGTAGTCACCCCTCCGTGGACCATATCGAAGAAATGAAGCAATTTGCAGGATTGAGGCTATTTTTCCATGAGGCCAATTGGAGGATTTTGCAGGATTGAGGCTACATCCTGGCAAAAGGCCTAGGGAGTTGTACTTCAAATCCTTCCGACATCCTATCCCCAGCTTTTAACTAGTTTGATGGAATCTGGACATGACACTGAGGTTCCACAATTTGTTTTCATTCTTCATATAAATCAATCTTGGGTTTTGCAAAAACAATTCTTAATGTAGCAAAAAATTTTCATTGGGTTTTGAGTACATGATGAACTCTAAGTAATTCTAAACCTAACCCTCCAACTTATCTTTATAAGAGAAAATATTCTACTATAGTCCATGGCTGACCTTTTTCTTCTAACTGGCGGTTGATTCTCAGTTTCTTCATCGTGTATGGCTGATACCCTTCGAATTCGCTGGCGTTTTCTCCTCATGGCCGGGGTCTTAGGAAAGATAGCCATTTCCTCTCTGTTTGCCAAATGTAAAGAAAAAAGAAAAAGTCAATCAGAAGGGCTTCACTTTTAATTTTAAGTTACAAAGACAACGTCCTTTACGACATCATCGCATGAAATGTGAGTTGTGTGATGTCACATTAAAGGTGCATTTTCTAAGGCCTATAGCTGTATCTACATGTATATCTTGGGTGTGCAAACTATCAATCTATAACATGACTTAAACATGTATTAACAAAATGCCGAACCAGCCATGTGTTTGTCCACAAACATATTCTTCTAGCTGTACTTGCACTTATACCTGTGGCATAATGACTTCTAGGCTGTTGTCATATCTTACCTTCCAAACTGTTTCTTTGCGTCTTCCAACACTTCTTGTAGCCATGTCATATTCTCCTCAAACGCTTCATCAAAGCTCTTGATCTTCGCGGTGGTGGCCAGATGAAGGGAGAATCCTGGCAGTTCCCCCATTGTCATTGTAGTTGGTGCTGACATTATCACATGGGAAATAAGGCTGAAAACAAAATCAGACAAAGTATGTTAGTGGCACTATGGACTGTGCAAGAACTGTACCGATGGCGTCTTCGTATGAGCTTCATGAGCCATCAGCAATAATGCGTTCAAGATTGCCTCCAGGTGGTCTTCTCAGTTCTTCAACCCTGAACTAGTTGAAGATGGATCCACAAGCAACTAGAACATATGTACATGTAGTTGGCCCACAGGCTTGTATGGTGATATGAGGTGTTGCATGTATTGGGGTGCTTTCCCGTTGATAAACTGACCTCAACACAGCCGACGTCATCATTTTTATTCATCTTTTTTTAGTCGTATTCTCAAAGCAAAGGATCGACGTAAAACCAAACAAAACTGACAAAAATATGGGGAAAAAGCCGTACACCAGCCAATTCGTACGCGGGACGAAATTAGCTAATTTAAATTGAACGCTATACCGTTGCCAGATTGGACGGAGTCGAGAATCATCGACCACATTACAATTTTATCAGCACTTTACTACTAGTTTTTCAGTTAAATAATTTTAGAATTGGGAAAATTTGTCAAGACATCAACCACCTGTAGGCCAACATGATCGCCAAAAATTTACCCCAAACTGAGTACGAGTTGTCCTGTGACGAGTTGGTAGCGTACGAGTTGGTTCACCACATGTTCGCGTGTGTTCCTTCCTCCATGGCTTATGCGACAAGTTGCCATAGTCGATAGAGGGTAGGATTTTGCACCGCGAGGTTACGGGTTCGCATCTCAGTTTTGCACTCATTTTTTTTTCCTTTTCTAACCTGAGGCTTTTGAGGATTTTTTTTAAAAGGGAAATAAAGTCCGAATTTCATAACGTTCAAATTCACTTTTTTCCTTCTAATTTTATATTTTCTTCTCATGTTTTTATAAAAGTTGCAGTACTACCGTAACGATAGAAAATGGGAAATGCGTTACGGCTGCCGTAACCATAGCCACTGCGTAAAAAAAAAAATGTAGGCTAATACTAGTGCTGCCTTTCTCAGATGTCTAATTTTCGTGAAATTTTATGTTTTTATGAAATTTTGATATGCAAACGTGTACAAACGAATCTGGAAATTTCACGAAAAATAAACATCTGAAAAAGGCAGCACTTTCTGATTTAAATATAGCGTAGTCCAGTAAATTGGCCACTTTTATGGGGCTACGTTGTGTAATGCATTGAAGACGTCGTCCAACCTGGGCTAGCAGTGCAGTTGCCCACCGCACTGTCATGACTGTTCTGCCGGTGCACCCTGCCGGCCGCCTGCGAGCTGCACGCAATGGCGTTGCCCCCCATTATCTCATAGTAGGCCTACTACTACTAGGCCTACACACATTTGGCCTCAACGACAACGAAAGCGGTCCAGAGATCACATCGCCATGGCCATTTTATCCAATTTCACGCCCAATAAATATGTAATTTTCTTTAAATAGGCACTTCTTTATACTAAATCCATGTATCTTTATCATAAATATTTTCAAAACCTTTAATTTGGCTAAAAACGTACCTGCAATTTTCGCGACGAAATGTAACACGGCGACCACAATATCTTACCATTCAAATTTAGTGGGTAGCCATTGACCAATCACAACGCGGTATGTCTATGACGTGCACGACTTTTTATAACGCACGTGCAGTTGGTGTTACGTATGGGCGCCACACAAAAAGAAAATTATGTTTCCGTTGAAATGCACGCAATGACCAAATTTTTTTTAGGGGGTGAAAGGTTGTTGTACAGTTCCGACTTAGTTCCTTCCTTCATGGATATACAACATAATTGTTTCAGCAATTCGTTCCTTTCATTGTTCCAAAAATCAAAAGCTGAATCTTGGAATATTCAGCTTAATAATGATGAGCTTTTGATGATGGCATTACACACGAATGTCACGGGTTACCAATCAGAATAGTCTTGGCTCAAGATTCTAGTGGGCCTGGTTGCGGATCAACCGTTTTGGTGGAGAATCCAGCTAGATGTAGATAGATTGTACAGCTCTGATATAGATGTAGAAGACGTCAGTGGTCTATAGCATTCTTCCTCCGTGTGTAGTCTATAGTGGTTGTTGTTATTGTTGGAGAGCTCACTCACTCTCGTTCGCCCACTAGGAGAGCGCCCTCGCACAACTTTTGTTTACTTTCTCTCACTAAGTTTTAGTGCTACGGCGCTATAGGATCTTTGGTAGGCAGGCTGGTCTACTAGTCTTGGTTCCTGTCCCCATTGTCCTTCGGACTATAAGGGTTGGGCCGGGAAACGGTCGTCTTACTATTGTGCCGTTAGAGGGCGCACTATGCACGATCCACTGTCGATCACTAACGTCTAGATGCAAGACTACCAGGGTAGATCACAAAAAAAAGGGGAACATTTTTTATTTTGCCCTGCCCCTATAGCGCAATGCATCGACAGTTTTTGTTTCATGCCCCAACCATGCCCCAACCAATCCCCAACTGCACTCTAAAAAGGAAAACTAATCGTATCAAACAGTGAACTAGGTTTTCAGTTACTACACAGAGGTGCTTTAAATAGTTTAATGAATCTTCGAATGCATTTTAACATTTTTAACCTACAATTTAGTTATAGGAACAAATTTAATTAATCTCCATAAAACATAATGATTACATATATGCTTTAAAATGGAAGGATGAGGTTAATAATATTTTTCAATCATGTTTATTCAAGTTTTACGAGATTCTTTTTGCTGTTTAGATTTATCACAAGTAGATTCAATTGTAAAAGCAAACCGTAGTGACCAACATCTCTTTTGACATGACGGAAAACCACTGAAAGTTGCCTGAATGTTATGCAAATAATACATAAACAAATGACAGAAAACAATTACTATTTATGTTAATTTGGAATTAACTAGATGACATTTTTTTAACATAGAAAAGTCTGGGAAAGAAACATCCTCTAACGGAATTCTCCAACAAAATCCAAATTCCACAACCAAAACTGTAATTTTAATAAAGAAGGCATAATAACGAACTTGGATATATCCTCCCCTCAAAAAAGGAAAATTTATTTCCATGAAAGCAAACACATGTAGATGATGATATCAAGATAAGATGTGGTCATATAACTTCACAAGTTACACCTGTGTGCGCTTTGGGCCAAACATGTCATCAACTATCTTCCGATCAATGTGTGGACAAATTTCTTTTATGATGAAGATTGAATGCAAAAAAAGCCTCTCAGTGTCCGAGTGTTAACCACCACTTCATATTGATAGATAGGCTCAGCAGCTTATTGGAAATGCATCCATGAGCTGTGCTGTGTATAGTCTACTCATACTCCCAATTATAACACCTCACCAACAGATTCTGTATCTTGATTGGCCGAGAGCGAGTCACATGGCATTTGCTATATTTGGTATCATGCTGTGCACGGCCAGAAGTACTATACCCGTAGCAACCAGAGTACTATGCATAAGAACAGTTATTGTGTGCAAATGCATATACGGGTATTCGCATTGCGAGGTGATCCATGGCGCATTCTATTTTCCCTCGGCTTCGCGTCGGGACAAATAGAATGCTTCATGGATCACCTCGGGAGGCTAGTTTTACTACACCACTCGAAGCAGTCAATATTTGCATACTAGTTGTCTTTCTATGAAATGAACATGATGGTGCTCAATCAATCACAGAAAGGCAAGATCTTAAACTTCAGTTCAATACATGAACCTAGTGATGACTTCAGAATGGAGAGCAACAGCTCTGTCAGTATTCAGTTTACTATAAAAGTAAAACAACTCTTATAGTTGGTTGTGCTCGACTATCTGATGATAACTCAATACAGCAATAGTAAGTAAACACGGATGCAAAATGACAGATGAGCATTTAAGCAGAGTTAAGTTGATAGGCAATCTCTTGTTGTCACATGCCTGTAAGTTATAATATATTGCTTTTGGGCTCAATCTCCTGATGTGCGCACAGCCTACTCCACAAGAACGAAGCCAGGGCAATGGCAATGCTTGGTATACATGAAAGCAACCACAGTCACCCGTGCCATTACCAAAACCTTATTTGACAAAGTACACATCACGTTCGTTTGCCAATGCCCATGTTGAATATAACAAGAGTTTTTTTAAACATTTATTTCATTTTATTTTCACCTCTGCTGCACATCTAGCCCCAAGTTAAACTACTTAGCAGGGAATAATCAGCGTAAATGACAACGTCTATAAGTTTATCCTCCAAAGTACACTTAATGACTTTTACTTTATAATCTTGTTTCGTCAATTATCCAGGAGTGTATTTTTCTCCACGCATATGGTCTACGATTTGGATCCAGCATCTTTCTTCTGACTCAGATTGATCTTATCCCCCAGACTGAGAGCCATGCCTTGGCTCTTGGCTCTGATGCGGATGTGACCAGTGACGGGTGTCTCTGGGGTAGCGCTGGCCGGTTTCTCAATGCTAACGTTAGCCAGGGCGTCTTCACCGAAGATGGACCGGGCATAGAGATTGGCCGCCATGAAGCCGCACTCTCCAGAGATAGCCTGTACGAGATATATCAGATTGATGATGTGTATCACACAATGAAATGATAGGTATGGGAATGTGGGATAAGGTAGTTACTCAGGATATGTAATCAGATGGTAACAGGCTCACAACCTAATCTGTAGTCATGAATTACAGATGGTTAAAGGTTCACATCCAGGTGGGTATTCATTACTTAAAGGTAATATACAACCACTATCATTATTATAAAATATCTTACTTGACCGTAAGTGAATAATAGTCTGAAGCATCCTGTGAAATCATGACACCTGGTGTGCTGTCATTCCAAGGAAAGTGGACTTTTTGTATCTATTTCCAACGACGGTCAGCCGACCATCGTTGGGAAAAAAACTGACTTTTCTCCCCAAATACTGCCCCCAATTTACCAAATTTAATTAGTCCACATTTTGTTTGCAATGGGTTACACATCCAGGAACGGGTGCAAGTCAGCTAGTCTGGTTCCCTGACCTGGCAATAAATTGCTCCGTTTTCTCTGAAATGGGGTCAGGGAACCACTTTACAAGAACAACATTTTTTCCTTGGTATTTCCAGCATCTATGAACACAAAACTTTAAACGGGCCAGTGTAACAATATTTGCTATAAAATACTAACCCCCAAATCCATCTATTTTGTAAAAATTACAGCAAAAAAGCACATGTTTTATATTACCTGTGAGTTCTGAGGGTGACAGGTTCAAACTCAAATGTGTATTCACAATCAAACCAATGAACATTAATAAACTGACTAGTACAGTTTCATAAGTAAATTTGGTCATTTTGTGTCTTGTAATAGGAGGGTAACACTGTCACCTTGACAGGTTCTTCACTGATAGCTCAATTGTTCAGAGTCGTGTCCTCGCCTTATTTTCCAAAACTTCAAACCAAAACCAGAATATGAAGGAATCAGTTGAATAGCAAAGGGTCCAGGGAACTAATCTTAGTCAAACAAATAAAAGGGAATCCATTTTTACCGTACTAACCAAACCAAAGCAAATTAGGAAAAAATATGTGTTCAACGAACGTTAGTCACAAAAACAATAAGGCCGAATAAAAAAAAAAACATGTTTCTTCTGGGTTTTCGAAAAATTTCCTGCAATTGTTGGTGTTTCCACTGTTCAAAGACACTTTTAAAATGAAAGATAAGTTGGACAAGAGAACTGAACATATTTACAGTGTCATTTTAGACTTGTTTTGGTCTACAATTTATTTCCCGATGAATTTGTGGACTTTTTTGGTGTTTTTTTACTGCATTTTTCAAAAATCAAAAAATCAAAAAAAAATCCAGGCGGCCTCCAAAAAGGAAGCGGGCGGGGACGAGAAACATGTTTGTTTTTTTACTTCGCCTAATTTTAATGTCTACCTTTTCTGGTGTGAGGCATCTCATGTTTGTTGATTTGAGGACATGTTTCAGGTACCCATGTAGATCTGTGATGTTGGTGTTGACTGTCACCTAAAAAAACACACAAAAATGCAAACGGGGTTAGGGTGTTCATCATCAAATCGTCAGTGAACAGATCAGCATCACCGACATGTTTTATCAACGCCAAAATACTTTTTCAAATTCAATTTAAGAAAAAGGAACTTTTTCACATGAGAATCGAATCTGATATTGGAATTAAATGATTTCAAAGTCAAGTAAAGAAACCATGAAGAAGCAAGAAGAAAACACAGTTATTTCAAACCCATACAAAAAAGGCCATTTTTATTAAATAGTTATGAGCATACCTTATTTTCCCATTCAAACTCGGCCCACATACTGCGGAATTCTTGATCAGTGCATGTTGCTGGGACGATATAATCCATGATGTCAATGTGAATATCATTCAGGACAACGACATTACGGTCATTTGCAGCACCAGACACATCATAGACTGCAAAAAAAAATATCAAGAAACATCGGCAGTTAAGAAAATTATGATTTCAGAATGTCAAAAACCACATCAATGAATGGGCCTGAATGTACGGTGTACAAGTAAGCCTGTCACTTGTATAGATGGAGCGTCCAAAATCGACATTTTGCACGGCATTCAGAGGAAGCCTGAGCGTCAGATGTCTTTATTTCTTTCTTGCTTACTGCAGTTCCACTCAATCTGAAGTAACACAGGCACGCAACTTGGAAGTAACAAAAAAAGGGAACTCCAATCTTTACAAAACTTTGTACAGTGTTTTTCAATGTTTAATGGCACAAGTGTAAATTGAAAAACAAAGAGATCAGCGAATCCGAGGGAAAAGTTGCACGCCTGGTAACAATTAAGATGCATTGATCATGACCAGGCGCGGATCCAGAGGGGGGGGGGGGGGGGGGGGGGGGGGGGGGGGGGGTGGTTTGGGGGTCGAAACACCACCCCCCCCCCCCCAGCTCTGAGTAAAATTTGGGGTTTTTTGTCACAGAAATACATGAACAATTATGTGACCCCCTGCAAAAATTCCTGGATCCGCTCCTGATAGCATCATTAAAATATATGATCAATATCATATAATAGAGGCCAGAATATAATCCATGCAGAAGTCGATCACTGCAATTCAATGAATAAGATTTGACAGTGTGTCTTTACTATTCCAGTCAAGCATAAGGAAACTAATCATGGAAGGTGCTTTAAAGCTCGCTTAAAACTTGCCGCCATCCCTCCGACTTCTCATCTTTATGAAGAAACATAAAGCTTACCGATGTTACCAAAGATGATTCCATTCTCTGTTGAGGCCACCTTGACGTTAGCTTTGATGTTACAGAAGTCATGAGGAGCCAGTGTGATTGGTTGAGGTTTCTCCACCAGCTTCAAGTCACCTAGAAAAGCAATACATATCAAAACAATTCAAATTCTGGGTTTGCTAAATGTTCCAATGTTCATTAACACTTATCCTCTTAACACTTTATGTGGTGGATTTCGAAGGATATGGGAAGGGTAAGTATGAATTTTGGGGTTAACCGAGTTGAAGGCGATAAGTATGTAAATTAATTTTGGAGCACTCAGCAGGAATGTCTTGTTTTGAGGAGAGACAAAAACATAAAACTCCTCGGATTTATCATATTTGAATGAAATCAAGTGACCTGAAAGCAAATTAATTTATAATTGATTCATTAACTTAATTGGTCTTAAATTTCCCCAGAGATTGAATTTTAACTGCTGGAAGAATTACTCCAGTCTTTTCATAGCCCTAAAAGTCCTGAATCCTCCAAATTCAATTCGATTTTGCACACCCCCTAGGGAGTTAGGGTTAAAGGAGCTGTTCTGTTTATTTTTACTTACCGAGTGTGGCAAGTTCCAAGGAGCATGCTTGCAGTGTATCCGCAGTCTGGTTGACAACCAAGACATCTAACACGATGTCATACTGATTGATGTTGATGTATGCCTCAGCATATACTGGGTCCGAGAAACCTGTCAGCTGGGTCACCTGAGGAATCAAGTCAATTTAAATCAAACCAAATCAATTTGTATCAAATCATGCCAGAGACTGACTGGATGTTGAAATATGCCATGTCATTCACAGGTTCAGAGAAACCTGTCAGCTGGGCCACCTTATAGAAATCCAATCAAAATTAAATCATGTCTGATCCAAATCAAATCTGATCCAAATCAAATCAGATCATGTCAGGTTAAATGTCACAATATTGATGTATGCCTCAAAATACATGGGATCAGAGAATCATGTCCGCTGGATCCTGACGAATCTAATGAAATCTAATTATTGTTTAATCGTGTAGTTGAAAATGTCTGACACTGTGGGTAACCTGATCAGCCAAATCAAATAAAATCAAATGATTTATACCTCAGCATACACAGGGCTCTGAGAATACCTGTGGCCAAGTAATTTGATGAATTCAACCAAATAAATCAAAATAAATTTACATGTCACTGGTTTAGGGATAGGTCTTGGCTGACCAGTTCCACACCAAAGTGCAAAACCAGTTAGCTGGATTCAGCTGGGTGTCTAGAGAGGGCCAGGGGGTCAAGCAGCTGCTTGTGTAGCGTACCTTGCTCAACTTGGATGCACTGATGTCATGTAAGTCTTTCTTGCCTGTGGTTCCCATGGTGGCGAGAGATAAACTCATCGTCAGTTGATCCTGATAACAGAAAAGAAAAAAACAGTGATAAATCCCTACTCACTCCATGCAATCTATGGACGCCATGGCACATTAAGTGGGTAAGTAGAACTCCAAGACACAACATCTACACTTCTGAAATCAGTCAATTTGGGAGGCCCTTTTTAATTTGCATATCTTAATAGCGAGCACAGAAAGACACTAATGCAGTCAAATTTTCACCAACAAACCCAAAGTAATGGCTTGATGGAATTAAGATCTTGGTCAACTTATGCCATTATTAATGTGAGTGTAAAGAACGGACAAATCTTGCCTGGAACTCACTAGGTTAATTCCAGATACATAACCTAATTTCTTTTAATGTCACAACAATGCTTACCTCTGTCCCACCGTTATCGGCCTTCGCCATCAGCTGGAGGAAGTTGATGGGATCATCAGCTTGAACGGAGACTAGCTTCTTGTCTAACCCCTACACGACACAATCATCCAAACAGAAATTCTCATAAAATAACAGGGCAAGGATTTGAACCCACAACCTCTAGAATGCATGTTGGAACTTTCATCAACTGAGTTATCCATTTAATATCTCATGCTGGTTATCGTGATCATTCCTTTCCTTTATTGCACATTTGAGTCTTTTACAATTCAATGACCTGTACTGGCGGCATCACCAAAATGTCAGTTTTTTAGTTTGTGGGGCTCTAGTCAGATGCTATCACGCGTACATGGCATGATTTTTTTTAGTTCAAACATTTATTTCAATGTTGCCATTGTGCATAGAGTGTTACTTTCTCATATAAACAAACATAATAGAAAAACTGGTGTGAGACAAGAGCATAAAACTCATGAATTATAACTAATTATGTGAATATAAATCGAGAAGATGAGCTTTCAGGTTTTTGCAAATATAAAGAAGGAGGGTTGATTTAATGATGATTTTAAGGAGTCATCTAAGCTGTTCCAGTTTAAAGTGTCACGCTGTATAACACTATTTTTGGACAACGTCGTTCTGTTAAATTGGACATAGAAATTGTCCCACTCATGCTACGGGTAGTAAACAAATGAATGCCACAGTTTAATGTAAAGGAGAGTTAAAACAAGGAGGTAATGTATTATTTACAGTACAGGTCATTAAATTGTAAAAGACTCAAATTTGCAATAAAGGAATGGAATGATCATGATAACCAGCATAAGATATTAATCGGACCGCTCGTTTCTGTATGAAATTCAGTAGTTTGTTGCATTTGGATGGTGAACCACCCCAAGTCAAAATTGAATATTTTAAATATGTTACAAGAGATAGCCAAAAAGCAATGATGCTGGCAACAAAACAATTGCTGCAACCAGGGATAACTCAGTGCTGGAGATACAAGTTTGCACGACAAAAATATTTGACAAACAGTAATTAAATGGCATCTTGAAATTCAACAACAACTGTTTGGACTCCCTTCTCTGAGCATGCCCCATTGTCTGATTGATCTCTTTCTTTTTTTTAATTCTCACCTTCTGTTGTTCTTTTTCCTCGGCCTGTTTAGTCAGAATCAGCGTCTGAAGTGAGTTTCGGCAATCGTGAGTGAAGATCTCAGACATGAGCGAATGTCGCTCAGCGAGTACCCTCAGACACATGGCGATACGATCTAGATCATCATCTGTGATGTTCTGAAACCAATTAAATTGACAAACATGAAGTTATCACTTCAATTATGCATGTAACGCACCAAAGTTCCACCAATAATCTGCACAATTGTGACTTATCGAAGTTATAAGCAATGTTTGTAAAGCAAGATACCTATAATTGCAAAAAACAAATGTTCTGAAGGAATGCTGAGAAATTTTGAATTTGGACAATTACATGGACAAGTCTGACAACAGTGTGTCAAACATTCTTCATTTTACTTACATTTTTGGCAAGTCCAGACTTTCCAAGATGAATGACCGTTGCCATGATTAGCATAGACTCTGCCAAGAAAGTCTGAAAATGAAATAAAAATAACAAAAGAGGAAACAATCAAAGCCCTTCTTAAGTTTTGTATTTTCAATTTTTGTTTTAATTATTGCATGCCAATTTTGCACAAGGTTCACATACACATTTTGTTCTAGGAAGGTTAATATCAATTAGTGCAACATCAAAGTATCAGCTCTATGCTCTGAATGCACAGGCAACAGAGTCTACTCAACAGTTACTGCTTGAAACCAAAACTTTCTACAACTACAACAAATAAATAATCACTGTTCAGGATAAATGTCATTATCTCCACATATGCATTGAAAAGCAGGGTATACGATCATGTTACAATTAACTTCATCAATGTGAACGTACATTTTGCCTCTTGACATTCGTGTTGAGACCAATGAAACGGAGAGCTAATTTAGTCAGCACAGTGGCCAGAGAGGCTCCAACGAAGAAATCTCCATCCATCAAGAAACCACGCAACGGAGGTCTGGAAAACAGAAATATTTACGATTATTATCCTAACAATGAAGTCACTCACACTAACAATACGTAACGCCATGTTTGCTTCAATTAGATGATAATCGCAAGGACTATCAACATAAATATTCTTGTGGGTATTCTCCTTGCAGATGCCCAACAGCAAAATAAACAGCACAGCCAAATCAATGAATATCTTAGAGGGTTAAACTTTTGTTATGTATGGGACACAGCGTACGCGAATTCTTGGACTTGACCAATATTATCCATACACACACTTAAAGACTTGACCTCATATATAACAGCAGGCAACGACTTCACAATGATTTCACTTACAGCTTTGTGATGTGACCACTCCTTCTCTGTGGTCTACTGGCCAACTGCTAGAGTATACATGCACACAGGGCCTGCACTGCCGCTTGCAAATATTTAAATTGACTCTTTGTTAGAGTTATTCAAGGAGAGATGCTGATCTGATACTCTAGCTATTCTCTGACTCGTTGCCCACCTTGTTTCTACTTCTTTCTTGGGAGCAGCTGAACTGAGCGCGCTCTGTGTGGCATAGGTTCCCATCTCTGTCAACTGACGCTTCTGACTGGAGATAACGATAGACTCCTCTGCAAGAAAAGAACATTAGGCAAACATGGAAATGAAGTGTTCCAGATTTGGCCACCCATCTTACCTACCCATCTTACCCACCCATCTTTGGTTTGCGTACGTTTGTTGCAGTGCTGGTGACCAAGTTTAAGCAACCTACCTTTGTTACCAGACCAGAAAAGTCATGATCTAATTTGATTGACATGCAGGAAGGTTTCATAAATACAGTGAAACGCCGCTATAACGAACATCGCGTGATCCACAGAAATTGTCCGTAATAGTGATCGTTCGGTATAGCGATTCTAAGCTGCCGGTGCTCCAGTACTCACTTTACAATAAACAGCGCCCTTCAGAACTTCAAGCTGCACGCCCTGGTATTCTGGTAGTTACTGAAAGATGACTCTGAACACGTGCTGACTATTGAATTATGTAATTACACAGTTTTTGAGCTTACTGCCAACAACAATGGGTGGCTTTTCCCTTCTATTTCTTGGGGAAATAATAACCACTCGTGCTTTTCTATTGACATTTTCAACAACAATGTTCAGCATGTTTTGTACACAAAAATCGAGGCCAAGGACGATGTTCGGTATAGCAGTGTTCGGTATAGCAACATTCCAAGAAGACCAACAAGCTTTTTGACTGTCTAACTTGACAGCGAGTAACAGACCAATTGTAGTCCATTTCCTTTGTTGAAATGTATCTTGAAATTGTAAATTTTATTTTTCCAAGAAAAAGAATGCTACCCTATTCCAAATGACTGCAAAGTGAAATTTCTCCACTCTCTTTTTACAACCCCAAAAGGTTAACATTCACATTTGAGTCAAACAAATTTCCAGCAATGGCAAGCCTAATATTACACCAAATAATGAAGATCCTTCCATCAATGATCACTCCCACTTACCCTCAGTGTCCTCTCCTGCTGCTTTCCTCATTTCATCATCAACGATAGGAATCTCACCCAGGGAGTTACGGATCTCGTTCATCAAGCTCTGTATCTCATCGCTGGTGGTGCAGTATTCACCGAGAATCCACAGTGCTGCACGGTGGATCCTACAGACAAAATGGAGATGGGATCCGTGAACGTAAATACAGGCATAAGTAGGGTTGGTCAAGAAGTAAACTGGCAAAAATGACAGCGATGAAGAGGACTAACCCTAACTCCCTAGGCCTTTTTGCTAGGATGTAGCCTCAATCCTGAAAAATCCTCCAATTGGCCTAAGGCAAAATAGCATATAGCCTCAATCCTGCAAATTCCTCCATTATTTCTTGAATATGGTCCGTAGAGGGGTGACCACTGCCTGAATCCTGCAAAATCCTGCGGCAGTGAATGTCAATATGTTGAGGCTTGGCCTGTGACATCCTGGAGCAGTACAGAGGATTTCAAGCATAATCCAGGCCTATCCGGTTCGTTAGTAAAAACGTCATACACGCACGCGCACCACTGATTACTAGCGCCCATTGGCTACAAACACTCGAGCTGCGTTAACTTCCGGTTCCAATCGTGCAGAAAGTGCTGGAGGTGACGTCACACTAACGAACCGGATGTTTATGCATATGCTGAACAAAAACTTCACAAGGTCCGGCCCAAGACCTTGACAAAGTGCATCCTACGAAATCAGTAAACGCATTTTTGCCATGTAACCTCAATCCTCCAAATTCCTCCACTTTGGCAAAGAGGATTTTGAAGGATTTAGGGCGGTTAGGGTTAGGCTAAAGGTGGATTTTAGGTGCATCAGGCAGACAAACTTCTTTCAAACTTATACAGTCGACTCTCGTTAATACAAGGTCCGTGGGACTTCTGACAATACCTCGTAATATCCGAAACCTCGTCTTAAGCGACGAGCATTTTTCGCGAACTCGCCGACATGCATCATGGATCGTTTATGTAGCTAATGCAAAGGCCACAGTCTTGTTGAAATCCATTTGCCTTCAAAAAGTTAAATCATGTTCTCCATGAAATTAAAATGAAGTCACGACAGTATGGTAACAGTAAAACTTGTATGGTAATTGAGAAGAATAACGAAAAAACAATAAACTGACTTTCAACCCAACAAAGGGGCAAGCGGAATTGTTCTTTTCTGAAATTGATTCCTCTAATTTTGGTAAGTGCATTTTTTTTTTGGGTGGGGGGGGGATTTTATTGTTTCCAGGATTTTATTTTCAATCACAATAAACATGGAAGGCCTACCGCGATGGTGCGTTTCGAGCGGGATTGAATGCGAATCCGCCGTAAACTTGAAGATTCCCCTTTGACAGCATGGAACAACCGCCCCTTGTTGGCCTTCCTCGTTCGGGCGGCACCATAAAGAAACCCCGTGATCACGCGGGAATCGCAAAGGCCTACTGTCTGCCTTGTTCGTTCGGCTTTTGCATACATGTAAACAAACCCTGATGACATTTCTTTGCATGATTACATACAGCCTGATTTCATGTCTTTCTTTACCTGACTGTCCGAATGGAAGCAAAGACCTCTAGGAGTTTGGTGACAATGAGAGGTTTGAGTTGATCAAAACGCTGGATGGCCTCACGGACGAAGACAAGAACGTCGGCAGCGGCCAACTCATTGGTGTCACTCAGGAATTCCATCAACTGTACAAAATAATCAATACACAAATGCATGAGTGGTAATGAGTTGCTGAAATACCAGAGAATTTTTACATTCTGTAACAGTGGTAAAAAAACAATGTTAATGTGGTATCTTATTTAAAAAATATTCATGTCTTTGGTTTAGTATAATCGCTTTTGCTAAATTTTCACGGGGAAAAAATATAGGCCTACAGAGTGCCTTTTTTAATGGAAGTCAACCATTACAAGTCTGAAAAACACCCACAAACAAAAGAAACAAAAAGAAAACACGATTCACCAATTCAGAAGAAAAGGCTATATATTCCTATTAACCCTCCTTTTGTTTGCTCAGTCACAGACAGTCAAAAATTCAATCCTGTTCCCCTGCCATGCCTTTTACACAGGCTAGTCACCAACAGTCAGATCATATTAGTCAAATTCCATCAACAGACAAAAACAGGTAGCTGAAAGTCACAGCTGGCTTATCAATCACCTACAGTCAAAGCATGACATATATCAGGTTTCATAACAATCACAGCCAGTCAATCCTGCTTTATGAAGGCAGGGAGCACTCAACTGTTAAAAACGGTCACTTGATTGATTTTGACGGCTGGGTTGGCTTTGTTGAAAATGCCAGATGAAAGAAAGCAAGCATGATTTTCACAAAGATGTCACGAACGGAAAAAAGCTACTTCCATAACTCAATTATATGTAACACAAAAAGTTAGCAATACATACCAATGGGATAACCTGAGCAGCAACGTCTGGGAACTTGACGCTACATGAATGCAGAGTTCTGACTAGAAGCTGTCGGTACTTCCCCGTGTCTTCATGCTCGCCCACATTGTGTGTCTTACTAACTTCCTTCTTCAGCACAAGAACCATCTAAAAATATCAACAAAGCCAAAAAGTTGCAACTCAGAAAAAACAAGTCAGGTGTGTTTACAAACACAAATGCCCCGCAATGGTGACAGTCCCATGACATAACACCACTCTAACATCAACTTACATGTACCTTGGTCACATGGAACATTCATTGACAGCATTAGTGTCTTCTGTAGGTTTTATATGAATTAATCCCTAATCCCTATAATCTCAGAATAAATACATGATTTCTATTGTTTTAGCCACTGTGAACTTGACCCTCGACCTTTTGGCCCCAAATTCGATAGGCTTCTTAGGATTACCAAGAACAATCCACAAACCAAATTTGAAGTTCATATGTTAAGTATTTCTCAAGTTATCGCGCTGACAAGATTTCTATTGTTTTAGCCACTGTGAACTTGACCCTTGACCTTTTGGCCCCAAATGCAAAAGGCTTCTTAGGATTGCCAAGAACAATCCACAAACCAAATTTGAAGTTCACATGTAAAGTATTTCTCAAGTTATCGCGCTGACAAGATTTCTATTGTTTTAGCCACTGTGAACTTGACCTTAGGCCTTTTGGCCCCAAATGCAAAAGGCTTCTTAGGATTACCAAAAACAATCCACAAACCAAATTTGAAGTTCACATGTAAAGTATTTCTCAAGTTATCGCGCTGACAAGATTTATATTGTTTTAGCCACTGTGAACTTGACCTTTGGCCTTTTGGCCCCAAATGCCAAAGGCTTCTTAGGATTACCAAGAACAATCCACAAACCAAATTTGAAGTTCATATGTTAATTATTTCTCAAGTTATCGCGCTGACAAGATTTCTATTGTTTTAGCCACTGTGAACTTGACCTTTGGCCTTTTGGCCCCAAATGCAAAAGGCTTCTTAGGATTACCAAGAACAATCCACAAACCAAATTTGAAGTTCATATGTTAAGTATTTCTCAAGTTATCGCGCTGACAAGATTTGTCCGGACACACACACACACCCACCCACCCACACACCCACCCACACACCCACCCACGGAAGGACAAGGCGGAAACAGTATGCCCCTTCGGCTTCGCCGTGGGGCATAAAAATCCTATGGCTTGTTCCTAAAAAGGAGGGCATCTGAAAGATATCTTTCCCTCTACATATGCAACTTGTTCAATCCAACGGAATCCAAGAACTGGAACAAAAAGTCTTTTTTACAAACTGGACAGATCAACAGCATCCAACAGATCTTGCCTGCTGTTAGGCTGGGTCTGAATTGTTTGGTTACGGCTGGGCAGTAGTACACGCATCTATGGGAAGTGACTTTAGCTGCTGTATTTGCAAGCCACAGACAAGAAACCACGACACAGCCTTACATCTTTTTGAATTAAATTGCATTGGGCTCAAGTCCAGTCAACAGTTTTTGTGCTCACATTCATCTAAAAATGTCCAGATAAATAGTGTTCACTAACCCAAACAACTCGAGTCAGCGATGAAAGCATACGATAAAACCATGTTACTGGATACAGGGCCATGTGCTATATCTTAAATGATACGGTCTCTGTCCCTTTTACAATCTTTCTTGGTATTTTTTAAGACTCTAGCAGTCACATCAAATAATTTACAGATTTTACAAGACACAAGGTCAACGCACCTCCTCAACATTCCTAGATGACACCAGATCCATGGCCAGATCTAGAGTTTTACGACGGACCTCCAGATCAGATGAGGACAGCACACGCAGGATATCCATGACAAGTTCCTGTGTTTGACGGAGAGAACTCACATTATCCACAATGATTCGTAACAAGTCAGATTCATGAAGTTGTACTTTTCTGACCTTCTTATGTTCAACGTTTGGATGCCAATCTAACTAGAATTAAACAGCTAAAGCCTGAAAACCAGATTTATTACAGCAAACCCCAACAGGATTCTCTGAATATTATCTGTTTTCGTAATGACATTTATTACAAACTCCATCAGTGCAAGGAAGCATCTCAAACCTCAGTATGCTTGAAATGTCTTGCTTTGTTGCAACATATCTGTTCACATTTGAAATACATTGCACATCCTTTCCTTAGTGACAGTAGTTTTGGAATGCTGTTTCTATGTGGGAATATTCGTCGCAAAGTGCTCAAAAATGAAAAGGAATAACACCTCTTTCAGATTGACATTTCAGAGTCAAGCTGAACTTTATAGTATTAGGAGCAACTGAGGTCTACCCAAATAGAATTTGGTTTCAAACAAGCCACCTTTATGCCTCAATCTTCCCTTGACAGGAATCTAGAATTATTATGAACAACTGCAACAGTTAATCTTTCAACAAAGTCACTCCCGACTGATTCAAAAATCAAATGTTTCATGTACTTAATTCAAATCTTTGGAATAATTTGGTTCAGTGCGATTCTCAAACACCAGTCTATACAAGTGCAAGCTCTTCAAACGTTGACCAATGACAACACACCACTAACCTGCAGGACTTTCTCATGCGCTGGGTCTTCCCGGAGTGAGACCAGTCGATCCAATACAATCAACTTGACATTGTTGTCGCTCTCTTTGATGATCAAATCAATGTAGCAAGACGCTGCGGCCTACAAATCAACAAATATTGGATATCAGTTGATCATAAACCATTTCACAACACTGAAAAGAGCAACACCAAATATTAAAATTTACATCTCACTGAAGTAAAACTACACGCCATCAAAACATCTGAACTATTAAACTTAATCAAGACCCAAATCGATGTTTCATCAAGACTCCTGTTCCTAAATCCTTGGCTGGTTCCTACATACCTTGATAGCAGTAGGAGCACTAGACAGTGTGACCAGGGTACCAGCTGCTTCGTAGCGTACCGCAGGGCTAGAAGACTGCAGCAGGTTGTAGATGCAACGGATGAAGCGAGCTCTCTCGGACGGATTGGCATGGCACACCTTTACAATGCAAACATTTCAAAAATCAATTAACCCTAGCCCTCCTCAATTCTCCAAACTCAACTGGCTGGTTTTTAGACAATTTTAGAGGGTTGAGGCTGAATGCAAGTTGAAGTTTTGGATGATTTTGGAGGATTATTAAAGGGCACATGGTAATTTAGTGTGGGCTGATTTTAGAGGATTGGGGCTGCATGTTTGTATGAACAAGAGGATTTTGGAGGATTGAGGCTGAATGCATTTTGAGAGGCAGGGCTGTTGGAGGACTTTGAAGGATTGAGACAGTGGGTAGTCTTAATTTGAACATAAGTGCATAAGAGCACGTCACTGCTCGGTCCAGCGTTTTTAATTTCCACACTTTGTACTGCATTATTTCTGATAATGTTGTATTGCTCAGGTTAAAGCCACTGATTTTCTCTTTCACAAATGTCACAAAATTGCCAAAAGCTGTACACTGTGCTTTCTGAAACTACATGTTTTGTATCTCTTTTTGTGCACATATTGTAGGGTTTACAAAAACCTGAATTCCTTGCTCAAAAGTATGTTCCGTTTACTGGAGAAGTGGAAAATCAGTGGACCTAGTATGGGGTTGACAACATGACAACTGATTTCAGTTTTGACAATACTTACCTTGTAAACCAGCTCCACAATCACAAGCTGTAAGATGTCCCCAAATGACGTAATCTGGTCAATGCAGGTACTCAGGTAGTCCAAGGCACGGTCCTGATCCACATGGATCAACATCATGAAGGCATTGCGCTTACAGGATGCATCTTGCTCCTGCTCAAGGAATGTGTGGATCAGCTCAGGAGCATCCGGGATCAGGAAGTCAAAGTTCCTTTGGGGAAAAATGATAAACAAGGAAAATAAGGAAATATAAAACGGGGGATTGCAATTTTTTCTGCTCTAGAAATGTGTGGATCAGCTCTGGAGCTTCCAGGATAAGGACGTCAAAGTTAGGAAGGAAAAAGCCCCAAAATAAGGAAAATAAGGAATTGTGAAAGGGGACTGCATCTTGCTCCTCCTCAAGGAATGTATGGATCAGCTCAGGAATACCCAGGATCAGGAAGCAAAAGTTCCTATGAGGAATGAAATGGTAAATCGGGAAAAGGGGATTGCATTTTGGTCCTGTTCAAGGAATGAATGGATCAGTTCAGGAGCATCTGGGATCAGGAAGTCAAAGTTCCTTGGAGAAAAAAAAAGTGGAAAATACGAAATTATTAAGAAGGAATGCATTTTTTATTTTCCTGAAGGAATGGTTTAGCTCCGAAGAAGGGGGTCATATTCCAAAGGAAACATCAAACTTCGGCTTGGATGCTGTTATTTGCATACGATGAGACCATTATCATGTTGCGGCCATCTTGATTTTTTTCCCTTTCAAATCAACGTAACCAAAGCGAGGCTGGAAGGAAAAATAGTCTGGTTCCTTTTTGCACAACAAACATTATCATTCAGTACTGTTATTGGATACAGGGAACATTACTGAAAGGACGGCAGCATGATAAAAGTCTATGGCTAATCAGTTTAGATACAATTTTGCTCCAAAAAATGTCTGAAAAATGCAGACATGTAATAAATCTTATATCAAAGTGAGTTAATTCAATGACAAAAATCATCTTACCGGTTTGTTTTATAGGTGAAAAGACAAAAAACTATTAAATCAAGTGGTTCTCTGGTTCAAAACTGTCAAAACAGTCCACTCATATTAGACACCATTTGGTTTGTAAACAAAGAGCACAATACAAATACTATGTTTCAACAAATTTTGCAGGACAAAAACAAAAGCCTCATTTATTTGGATCTTACTTGTAAATGGTGAAGATGGCCATGACTGCGTTACGTCGTACGTAACTATGACGATGCTCTAAGCAGAGACGGATGGCAGGCATGAGCGGCTCAAGGAGTTCCGGCTCCTTGAGCTTGCAGAGGAAGCGGAGAGTAGAGCCACGGATGAACTCATTGGGATGCTGCAGATCCTTCCTGTACGCATCGCAGACGAGGATCATCTCCTGAAGCAACTTGCCGTCTGGGTGGGTCTTGGGAACAATCTCCCAGAAGATTAGCAGAAGCTTCTTGATGGTGTGGTCCTAAACAGAGAGGTCCATATGAAGATGGTGTAATACCTTAGATGAATGAGTGAAGATGTCTGAGTGATCTTATGCCATGTACGTTGGCAGGGGAAAAAGCACTTTACCAAGGGGAACCCTAACCTTCCTCAATCCTCAAAAGTCCTCCGGGCAGTTTTGAAGGATTTTGGAGGATTGAGGCTGACTGCAACATACAATTTGGGAGGATTGTGGAGGATTGAGGGCACATGGACATTCAGTATCAGTTGATTTTGGAGGATTGAGGCTGAATGCATTTTGAGAGGCAGGGCTGTTGGAGGATTGTGAACGATTGAGGCAGTGGGTGTCTTTCATTTGAACATAAGCGCAACATTTTTTGAGAAGTTTGAAGGATTGAGGGTGGTTCCTAGCAAATAGGGCCAAGGGAGCTGGGGTTAAAAGATCTGGAGGGATGATTCGAAAGGACTTAAGGGTTAAGGCAATGAATAGACACCTTGTATTGATTGATAACAGGTCTCTGTTCCTCTGTGATACCCACGAGTAGACACTTTGTACTTTCATCATAACTACTTTTAATTCACTGTAAGGTCACTGTGGCCGCATAAGACACTTGACTGTTGCGTGTGGTAGGCAAGCGGTGGTTACTGTATGACCTTGCAGTCCGTTTTGACCTTTGACCGGGCTTATTACCGTCATGGGAAGCAGGAATCTGATGACCGACATCAGCAATCCCGGCATCTTCTCTCCATTCAGTATCATATATATCAGTTTCTTCAAGGATTCGGTCCTGGTTTTGGTGTCGCCATTTTCTGAGGAAAAACAATCAATTATACACCTGTCACAATCAGTCATACTAAAACATCAGCGCTGGTCTAGGGCATCATATGCACTTTCCCTTGACAAACACATCTATTTACTTAACCAAAACTGACTACAGTGTATTTACTTAGCCAAAAGTTACAATGCCAAAATTGTAACAATATACTTAATTCCTTCATGTTTTCCACTTCAGTGCACAGCACTTATTTGTACTTCATGTACATGTACATGTAAAGCCATTAACATTACTAAGGTCACATTGTGAGAATCGTGGACAAAGCATACATTGTATCTATTATAATTATGAAAAACAAACAATGGAATTGAAGAAGGATTTTTAGTATTGCTGTAGGCATGCTGAACAAGAATTAGAACACATAAAATGATGACAGGCCAGCTATTTTTCAACACTGGAAACAAATGTCGAATTTCAAAAACCCTTTAAGTGTCATCTTACCAATGTCATTCTTGAGTGTCATTTCATTTGGTGGTTCAACGTCCATGTTGAAATTGATCAATGTGTAGCAAGGCTGCTCTGAGGATGCCATCTTGATGATGAGTTTGTCTCAACAGCTTCTTGTCATAGGAGGAAAAAGATATTCTTGTCATAGGACTGGAAGAAAAAGACAGTGGAACAAAGGCCAAGTTACTCAGCTCAGACTTTCAATGTCATTCTATTAGGCCAAGGCCTAGTCTGAGTAACTTGGACCCCACTTATTGCCTTTTTTCGTGCATGGAATAAACCACACCACCGGCGGATTTGTTTATATCAATTTGAAAAGGAAGTGTTACACAACACAAATGACTGGGAAAGAGTGTTGCATCCTGATGCTTCTTTCGAAACAGAAAAAAAAGACATTTTTTTTTTGCTTACCTTGTACCTCAGAGAGTATAGGCCCTACTTTCATGTAAGAACTGTAAGGAATATGTTGGCAAAGTCTTTAAGAGAGATTTGTAGGTGAATGTGTGGCCAACTTAGTAAATGTTTGCATGTCACTGCATGTTGACGCCCTCAACCGAAGCGTGACATGTACAAATTGTTCATTTTTACAAAAACGGCTATATTTGGCTATTTTTTTAATTCTCTGCATTTTCGCCACCTGGATTGGTGACTAATTTAAAGTGCCCTGTGATTGGTCAGGTGACCAATCAAAGTGCCCTGTGATTGGTCTGTCTGGTGCTTGCCAGGAAACAGTGTAGCCAGAGTCATGCACAAGTCTACTTTTCCTGAATTCAAAATGGCAGCCTCAAACAAGGCGTTTGTGACAAGGATGTATCCCGAATTGAAGGTGAAATTTTTGTTTCTCTTTTCTTCCCACAGGTATGTAAACTTAACCACCACCATTTGTATTTTCACCTCCCACTGAAGACTACAGGGGCGCATAAGGCAGTTTGAAGACTGTTTTGGGGGTGAAATCTGACGATTTTGATTGGGGGTATGAGTGAAAATGGTCAAAAATAATTATTAGTAACCGCAATAGGGCCATCGATCTCGGACTCTACTATCGCCCGACCATGTCCAAATGTTAAAAAAGCGATCCATAGAGTCCTAGTTACTCGGACTAGGGAAGTAATTGCAGAATACCCTGCCACGTGGAAATTACCCCCTAAAAATAAATGGCTACGCAGTCCGGTCGGAAAATGTTGCAGAATTACAATACACGGGGAGGATTTGAGCGGTGGAGGGTCTAAAGAGGGCGCTATTTCCCCGTAATAAGAAATGCGGCCAGCAGGGACAACGTGAATTGGGTAATCCTTACCTTTAGGACCCCTTTCCTGTATAACTTTATAAGGTTAAAAGACTCACCAAAGCAGCTGACTAAATGACAATCAAAAGTGAAATTCTGATGTTTCTTGGCACATTTGAACATTTGGCAATGACACCTCTTGAATATCAGCAGGTTTAATTTTGTAGAGAGAGGGCAGGGCTTTAATTTATGAGGGGTTAAAGACGACGATGACAAACAAAATATATTAAAAAGGCAAGATGGCGAACTGCAAAAAAAGGTCGGAAAGTCACATTTTCTTTGAAAGTGCTTTCAAAATTATAACTAACATGAGTTTGTCTACTCCTAGAACTATGAGGCTCCACAAACATCGCTGGATTTTGTCGGTTTTTTGGCTAAAATGATGAAAAATATGCCCTTTCCGCACCGAGCCAACCTGACACTTGAAATGTGCACGCATATGATCGAGCGATGATTTTCGGTTCGCTCGGAGCCGAGTGGCCGCGGGGGGTACGGTACAAGCACTTGTACGCATGCGCATACTATCATTTCGCTTGTACTGTACCTTACCCCCTGCGGCGCACTCCGAGCGAACCGAAAATCATCGCTCGATCATATGCGTGCCAGGGTTCGACCTTAGCGGTGGTCCGCTGGCGGTGCACGTTTCAAGTGTCAGGTTGGCTCAGTGCGGAAAGGGCATATTTTTCATCATTTTAGCCAAAAAACGACAAAATCCAGCGACGTTTGTTCAGCGCATATTTTGTGAGTATGTCATGAGGTGTAGTACGGAGTTTCGGGGCAAACTGTGCAGCGGTTCTGTGGGAAATTTCTGCATTTTGATGGACGTTTTTGTACTTAATTAGTGTTTTGTGCTGACAACAATTTTGCGGGGTTCTTAATCTATGAGGCTCCACTACGTGGAGCCTCATAGTTCTAGGAGTAGAGTTTGTCTGAAGAAAAAAGACTTCTTTACTAGCCTGCAAAAGTCACTTTGGTACTGGACAGTCATCTGCAAAAGTCAGTTTTGAACAGAACTCGTACAAAATAGAGGTGTCCTAAAAGTAAGGATTACCGTGAATTGAATGGGGAGCAGGGGTTAAATAAATCTAAGTCCAAAGTAGGTGCCGGGAAGTGGATACGCAGATCTACGGGTGGACTTTAGCATGTTTAGTGGACGCGCACGCGTGTGGTTTCGGTTTAGCATTCTAAGCGTGACTCCGTATCCGCGTATCCGGATACGAGATGGGATAGGTGAGTGGCGGGGTATTCTACAACTGTGCCGGACTAGTAATGCACCCTAAATATATAGTCAGTATGCTAAACATGCTAAAGCAAAAATAAACTACAAACAAAGCCTTACTCCTAGAACTACTACTAAACGTATTTTAATAACAATGGGATTTTCATTTGTCAGTAATAGTAGTTCTTTGATACAAGTTTCATGTGGGTATCTGTCGTCATTAATTTGTTTTTAATTTAGAACGTGTACGCTTCAGCCGTCTCCACCTTGCGTGTGTTCAAAGCCCATACTGTCGTACGGCGCGGATCGGAGCACGTATTATTACACGAAACAGTGTTGATAAAGCGCGACTTGTTTTTCTTCGATCGAGCAACGACGGTGATGTCACGTCAGACGCCCTCATTCGGCAAACCGGTGCAAGGATTGAGCCTCACGGCGAACACATTGAGCTGTAAGTTTTCAGACTATTTTGCTGTTTTTCTTCAAAATTTTCGCTGTTTGGGAACAATGTAAGGGGTCTGATGGAATGTCATGAATGTGTAGATCAATCCAGGGTAACTGTCTCTCTCATTTGTCATGTTTGTATTCTCTTTACCGTTTTTTTTGGGGGTCTTTTTGTCCTCGCGTGGGTATGTGACTATGTAGCGCTGTCACGCCCCAACTATCGCATCGGTCCCAACTATAGTTGGGCCTGTCCCAACTGTAGTTCCACAGTTGGGCTGGCCCAACTATAGTTGGGCCTGTCCCAACTATAGTTGGGACGGTCCCAACTGTAAGTTCCACATTGGGCTGGCCCATCTATAGTTGGGCCACTCCGATCTTTTTATTTTGCGGTGTCCCAACTATAGTTTACATTGATGTACAACTGTAAAACGTTCCCTACAGCTCTGATACACGTCTGACTTTACTGGGGACCACTGAAATTAGTTATTGATGGGGCGAATCTATAGTTGGGCCACTCCAATCTTTTTATTTTGCGGTCCCAACTATAGTGTACATTGTTGTACGATTATAAAACATTCCCTACAACTCTAATACACATCTGACTTTACTTGGGACCAATGAAATTATCTATGGGTGGGGACCATCTGTAGTTGGGCCACCGCAATATTTTTATTTGGCGGTCCCAACTATAGTTTACATTGATGTACGACGACTATAAAACATTCCCAACAGCTCTGTTACATACTGTCCGACTTTACTTGGGACCTTTGACATTAGCTATGGGTGGGGCCCATCTATAGTTGGCCGGCCATGGCAATCTTTGAATTTTGCAAAATGTTGCTGGACAATCAACCCAGCAGCTGGACAACTCATCCAACTAGGCAGTACCACGTGACCGGCCAGCCTTGCGGCATGCATGCACGACGAATACACGGTGCCAGCGCCGCGGAACAGATCTATGAAGCATCCGGCGCAACTCCAGTCCTAACTATAGTTGGGCCGACCCAACTGCCGCACTATAGTTGGGACAGTCCCAACTATAGTTGGGACCGATGCGATAGTTGGGGCGTGACAGCCCCACTAGTGTGGCCGCGGTATGCTGCGCTGAACCTCTGGCCACACACCGTGGTACTGCGCACTACTGAGGGCGTTTTCATAAAAATTACAGGCAGTTTCTTCCATATGGTTGTATTCTATGATGTCCCATCTATCACTTCTGTCACCGTCGTTGCTCGATCGATCGCGAAGAAAAACAAGTCGCGCTTTATCAACGACTGTTTCGTGTAATGATACGTGCTCCGATCCGCGCCGTACGACAGTATGGGCTTTGAACACACCCAAGGTGGAGACGGCTGAAGCGTACACGTTCTAAACAAATTAATGACGTCTCCACCCTGGGTGTGTTCAAAGCCCATACTGTCGTACGGCGCGGATCGGAACACGTATCATTACACAAAACAGTCGTTGATAAAGCGCCACTTGTTTTTCTTCGCGATCGATCGAGCAACGACGGTGACGTCACGTCAGACGCCCTCAGCGACAAGCTAATTCAAGAACTGAACCTCCATGCAAACACATTGAACTGTAAGTTTTCAGACTATTTTCCTGTTTTTTTCCAAAATGTTCGCTGTTTGGGAACAATATAAGGGGTCTCATGGGATGTCAAGAATGTATAGATCAATCCAGGATAACTGTCTCTCTCATTTGTAATCTCTTTACCGGTTTTTTGGGGGTCTTTTTGTCCTCGTGTGGGTTTGTGACTATGCTACTGTGATGGTGCTACCAAAGTATGGTGAATCGGTGGAGCGCTAGTATGGAGGGGTACCCGTAATTCAGCGCTCCACTCAGTAGAGCTAACCGCGGCCACACTAGTGGGGCTAGTGACTATGTAGCCCCACTAGTGTGGCCGTCGGTATGCTGCGCTGAACCTCTAGCCACACACCGTGGTACCGCGCGCTACTGAGGACGAAGTTTCATAAAATCTGCAGTCCGTTTCTTACATTCTCAGTTTCTTACTTTCTTATGGTTGTATTCTATGATGTTTCACCTATCACTTCTGGGATGCTTAGGTCTAATGATGTTCCATTTTCCGAGATATTCTTCAATCTTTCTGGAGCCCATATGCACTCGTGAAATGTCTGGTGATGGCAGCCATTTTGAATGGGACAAGAGATGACCTCAAGCTGTGACGTCGCGTTTATGCAAATTGCTTGTCGAGCGCGCGAGGGCGCGAGTTGCAAATGCGACGGCTGTTTCCTGTACCATGCATTTATCGTCAGGGGGCCACCTGCACCGATCTCTATTCAGGATCTACGGCACATGAAACAGCCGTCGCATTTGCAACTCGCGCCCTCGCGCGCTCGACAAGTATTTTGCATAGACGCGACGTCACAGCTTGAGGTCATCTCTTGTCCCATTCAAAATGGCTGCCATCACCAGACATTTCACGAGTGCATATGGGCTCCAGAAAGATTGAAGAATATCTCGGAAAATGGAACATCATTAGACCTAAGCATCCCAGAAGTGATAGGTGAAACATCATAGAATACAACCATAAGAAAGTAAGAAACTGAGAATGTAAGAAACGGACCGCAGATTTTATGAAACTTCGTCCTCAGTAGCGCGCGGTACCACGGTGTGTGGCTAGAGGTTCAGCGCAGCATACCGACGGCCACACTAGTGGGGCTAGTGACTATGCTACTGTGACGCCGTCACCAAAGTATGCCAAATCGGTGGAGCGTTTGTATGGAGGGGTACCCGTAATTCAACGCTCCACTCAGAAGAGCTACCTCCAGCTCCGCCCATACATGTAGGCATATGCCTACTGTCGGAAATACCATACCTACTAGTACTAACCCAGTAACATTAACAATACACGCACTTCACTCTTCAGTATTCACGCAATATTATTGAATCATGCATTCATCAAATTCCTACCTATGCAAATAATTCTTAAAATATCTCTTTTTTAAGAAAGTAGTGTACCTTACAGCACTTAGTTTTGAAGTCAACAAATTGTACGGTTTTCCACTGCCGACTGTTCCCCGGTTTCGAGTCTCAGATTTGACACGTTGGCTTCCGGAACTAATTACTCCGCTAGTGTGTTTATAGAGGGCGCTGTTCCATTTTATGTTTCTGCTCCTCTCCTCGATCCGGCTTCGCTCGTCACAACGTCCTACGGTCAACAACGACAGTTTTATTTTTCGTCAGAGCGGAGCGGAGGGGGTGGGGGACTGACGACGACACGTGATTTTTGATGTCACCACCCTTTGCAACCTTAGGCTTATATATATTATACATTCCCGTCTTGGTAAAGTGCGAGCCGGTAGCCAAGTCGGTAGAGTGCCGTTCTCGGATCATCAATCTTGGGGTTGAGAAAAAATTCCTTGGTCACGGTGACAACCTCGTGGTGACATCCTGGGGCTCGAACCCCCAACCCCCAAATTGATCACGACACTCTACCGACTTTGCTACCCGCTGGCACTTACCAAGCAGGGAATTTATAATATAATTATGTAAACCCCCGGCTGCTATCGTAAATGTCACGTGTTGTCGTCAGTCCCTTTCCCACCCCAGAGCTCTGAGGAAAGAAAGAAATTTCGTTTTGTAACATCCTGTGGCCTCAAACCCCCCAACCCCAAAATTGATGATCTGAGAACGGCATTCTACCGAATGGGCTACACGCTCGCACTTGCCAAGCCGGGAATTTTTAATATAAACCTCCGGTTGCAAAGGGTGTGAAGTCCAAAGTCAAGTTGTCGTCAGTCCCCGGCCCCACCGATAACAGGTTTTTTTTTCAAATAAGTTAATTTAAGGAAATTTCGTTTTGAATAAAAATGCCTATGACAAACAAAATAAGATAATTTGATGGTAAAGAAACAAAAGCCCAAAACGGCAGACAACGTCTATGAAACGATATTGAATCATTTTGCGGTACATGAATTGCTCAACTTTGACTGTGACATTTCAAGTTTATTACCAATTATTAATGCAAGTGATGAATGGCCTTCTATACACATGACCTTTGTTTGTCTCTGGGATCTAATCTTCTGATTTTTTTACCCTTACAAATCTTGCCAAAAATTTAAGAAATTGCTCGGCAGATAACTTCCCCCTACCACCTAAATAATGTGAGAGCTAAAAAGACTATTTTTTTGGGCAAAGCACACATCAAACCTGCATTAAACCTTGCCTGCTGGTCATCAGTAGTGCAATCACGGGCGGCGGAACTTGCCCTCCCCCCTAAATTTACCCAAAAGTGTCCCTCTTGCGGACATACATTTGCGCCCCCTCGAGCATAAGTGTGCCCCCTCGAGATGAAAACAAAACTGGCCCTAACATTGCGGATAACTTGTTTTCAGTAACCATTTCCCAAAATGGTATATAGATGTAGTTCTGACATGAACGAGGAATATGAAAACCAAGCCCCCACAACCCTTACAATGCGCTCTCCCAAATGGGCACATAATGGGTACGTAGTTTGCATAATGGCCCCCTTATGAAGAGCGTCCCCTATTTTGGCAGATGATACCAAGTGTTGGATGATGGTAGGCCAAGTGTTTGGTGGAAAAAAAACGTGTCGACATTTCAGCACGGATGTGCCCCCCCCCCAAAAAAAAAATGCTGGATACGCTGCTTCACCGACGGAAGATGCCATTTTCAAGTGCCCCTTTTTGGTGATGCCCCCGTCGCAGTTTTTGAAAACCGTTCCACTGCCGCTGAGTGCAAGGGGCATGGGGCACGCCTCCATCGCCCACCACGCCCCCCTCTCTCCCCCTCCTTTACGCTACTGCTGCTGGTTGCACTGAGGAACGTGTTTGCAAACAAAATAACACCCTTAATAACTTCAATCGGAACGGTGCAATAATGTGATTGCCTTCTGGTTGTCATTATTCACATTAACGCATATACTGCAATCCAAGTAGGTCTATATGGTGCATATTTACTTCACACTCATTTTTTTTTGGAATTGAATGATATATTTCCGTGCTCTTTAAAACATTCTAACGAATTTTCAATCTGTATGATATAATGTACAAAGACCTTTTTTCATAACCCCCCTCCACCCCCACCACCAAATAAAGTTTGTGTATTATGGGTAGATGTGTCTTGGGAATTGTTGTCGGCCGCCAAAACACGTAATTCAAAATTAAATGTAGGCCTACTTGTAAGTAACGAACATTGGTCGGATTTCTTCGCAAGATTCCTCATTTTAAAATGAATAACTTTTGTATTGCTTCTTTAGAACAAAAAGTCAAATGATTACTGCATTATGAAATAAATATGGAGGCGGTAGAACTGGGGGGGGGGGGGCATACGAACGGTATTTAGCGTATAGATTTAATACGTGCGTGGGTGCATTCAGTTATTCCTTCTTTATAGACCTTTATCGTGCTGCCACCATTTCAGTCATGTTCCCTGAATCATAACGAAGGATAATGAATTTTGCGTGAAAAGGAACCAGACTATTTTCCTTCCAGCCTCGTTTTGGTTACGTTGATTCGAATGGGAAAAGCCAAGATGGCTGCAACATGATAATTGCCTACATGTATTAAACCGACACATCGTTCCTATTTTCTGTGCATCTTGGAAACGGACCAAATATAGCTGCCATTATTAATTCGTAGAAATAGGTTTCACTTTTCTCTTTGATCTTGTAATGGGCTGACAAACACAACTTTCTGTGTACTAACAGTAACGGGACAAGATTTTCTTCCCTCACCAGCAGCATATGTGTTCTCATCTGACTGTCCGTGTACATCAAGAGGCACATAAAGTGGCCTCCTTCTTGCTAGCGACTCAAAGGTTCCTATGCTACTATTATCAATCTGTAAGACTTTCACGGCCGGTCTGAGTTCATCGCCACGCTCGGAGTTTCGCTCTGATACGTCACTGATGGTATATGCCATCTGCAGACGATCTGGTGTCGACGGTTTTTCGTAGGTTCGTATGGACTGCAATGTTTCACGTGATTTTGTAAACTCTGTAGCGTCATCCCCGTCCCCACCCTGTAGCCAAGACACACGTCTTCCTTTACCGCTCATCCTCCTGTTCGTTGGAACCACAACATGTACGTATTCTTTATTCATCGTCTCCTCTTTGCCAAGAGTTTCCCCGAACGTATCAAGGAGTCTTTTGGGGTGTAACTCGGTACCGTAAGTGTTCGCGTGAGAGACAGCGTCCAAGGGATCTTCTGGTATAACACGGAGAGTTTTCGACGCGGAATTATCTTGATAGTTTTTATCACTTTCTTGCTTCTTGTCCGCATCTTGGTTTTCGGGTATCACGTTGGAAATCGACCTGGCGATCGGCTCTATTCCACCGTCCTGACTTTGTATCATACGGTACCGATCGTCCGCTGGCGTCGTCGGAGGCTGTCTGGGGAAACTCCGCGATGGACAGAAACTTTCTCTACTCTCCGTGCCACTGATGCGTCTCACGTAACTCTCCGGAGGTAAGTCTAGAATTTCACCTTCTCTAGATATCGACTGCCTCCCCTGAAGAGAGTACATTCTCCCCTCTCGGTTCCGCCCGTCTGTGCCTTTTCGTACCTTGAACTTTAACTTGAAATCATCTGGGCTGGCTGACGCGGGCACATCATTGGACGGAAAGAGAAGCGTGCGCATATCATTTGACAGGCTGGTCTTGTTCTGTCTCGGAGAATTTCCATGAGCTTTTCCTACTTTTGACTGAAGTGAGTTCATTCTAGCAATCATGTTATCCCTTTCCTGATCCACTCTTGAGCCATACATGGGATACAGGACTCGGAGTTCCTCTCGGTCCTGTGTGAGAAAATTGTCTGGTAATGAATCGCCTACATCAATCTTAAGGGTTCGTACTTTTAATAGTCCACCTCTAGCGTACAAGTTCTGCAATTCTGGCGGGAAAATTGCGTGGGGTTCTTTCGCGTAAATGCCGGTGTAGCTAGAGCTCGCGAGCGTGTTGGCCATAGTTGCTTCGCAGTTGGCACTATTTGGCTCATGAGTCCCCGATGATTGGTCACTTGTGTGTCTGGTATCCTGCCTCTTAGATCTGTCAGGAATGGCTTGCTCCATGCTCGACGTTCGTGCACGTTTATCTCGACCATTCTCCATTCTAAAACTTGGAGCGAGGCTTGAGACTCGTTTCAGGAACTCGGAGTATGGGATTTTACCGGTTCGTACCGCCGAGTTAAGTTGCAGCAGCAGTGACCTTCGCTCAGCCTCGTCATAAGAGGTTTGAACTGAGTCAACATTAAGGCGCGGTGATTGGTTTATCTGTACCAAAGTACAAGTTGGGGCGAGTTCTGGTAGATGATCCGTTGTTTCTTTAGTCCTCTCTTCACTACGCGTAAACGCTTCCAGCGATGGACTTGACATAGCGGTTTCGTGTAAACCTGCCTCAGAACCCTGAGCGTTGTAAACATCAAGATCTCTGGGTGAATTGGAACGTGTCACAGCATATATCGCATCATCAGTTGCTCTTCCTCCAAGACTTTGCTGTCCTTCACGCACAGCTCCAATCCTGGAATTAACTGACGGTGTCTTGGGAGGTGAGCGACAGTCCTGCATGTTAGCACTCTGCCCGTCGAAAAGCTTCGTATCATAACGTGCAGCTCTGGACTGACGTTGCTTGGAAACATCCTGTACAATCTTCCAGTTGTTTCCATTGACATCCATGACGTCTATGATGTTTGGAAGTTTCAACTCCTCTTTTTCCTTCTCCGTGACAAACGCCCCACCCAACGGTTTTGCTCCCGGCGTTCCCCGTTTCGCGAACGGTCCAAGTTTCTTTCCACTCTCTCGATCAAGGTAAACCTTCAAAGGGGAATTATTAGCAGCTAGGATGTCTTTGGCTGTGCTCTTGACAGCATCTTCGATCGGGGGAAGTGATAATATACCTTGGTCGGGTTTTCCTGTCGGCACGGTGGAAGGAGGAGCAAACATTGCAGGGTTGCTGATCGAGCGTAACTCGTCCGCTGTGTACGTCTTGCCGTTGCAGGTGCAGTTCTGCTTATGGAGTGCTCGGTTCACGCTGTTGGTTAACTGATGGAGAAAAATCCCCGTCTCCAATCGTGTCGATGTTTCCATAGGTAAAGGTGTGGGTTTAGTTTCTTCGAGACTGTCCAGCCATTGCTTTGAAATTGCCTCCTGGATGCTGCGAAAATAACATGAAAACGTAAGAAACATTAATGATGAAAGTTTAATATACAGGGTGAGTAAAAAAAAAGCGGAACCCAAACCCCAACAATTATATTTCGTATTTAAAAATATATGTAGCACCAAAAATAATGACTGGAAAGCCAATTTCATAAGGTACTTTTAAATGAAGAAGTGACTGAAATTGGTCAATCCGTTCAGAGAATATCACCATTTACACACAATGACCCTAAAACCTGTCTCGTCCAAAAAAATGCGATTTTAAGAATCGTCGTCGCAATTGTCTTCAAACATCACCAGCGATAAAATCTCAGTTTAAACGTTGAAAATATTCAACAGAATCTCTTTGACTGAGGTATGTCCTTTGAAAAAAGTAGATTTTATAAATCATATTGTTTGCCTAACCAGGGTTGTTAATAAAGATATTGTGTACTACATACAGTAGTATTCTGTGTCATTTTCTTTGTTGTTCCAAACAGTTAAAACACACAATGAATTCCCCTTTTTTTTTTTTAGACGAGACAGGTTTTAGGGTCATTGTGTTTAAATGGTGATCATCTTTAAACGGATTGAGCAATTTCAGTAAATTTTTTTCATTTAAAACTAGCTTATGAAATTGGCTTTCCGTCATTATTATTTTTGGTGCTACATATTGTTCTAAATATGAAATAGGCCTATATTTTATGGGGTTTGGGTTCCGCTTTTTTTGCTCACCCTGTATAATCAATTTAAGACAAGAAGATCATATTGAATGACGACAGGTAAAATGTTCTAGCCTCTTGTTGAAAACCTTTGTAGTGCCAACAGATTTGGTGACTATTAAAAGATGGAATTTTTGCGTCGGGGTGATATAAATCAAATTAGGTTTTGCCCTTCACCCTTCAGATTTGGTGACACTGTTCGTACACCACATGATTATGCACCCTTTATCACTTCAAGGAAAAGTGTCCGTGCTCCTGCAGTTACCCATGGAGAAGTCTGGAATGATAAATTGCTCAGATTGACGAGATATTTGTGGAAGGGGGGTTTTGCGAGAAGGAAAATGAAACTTGTAATCAGATTTGCACGATTTCCGAACCACCTTTTTTCAACATAATGTCTGGAGCTACAGGCTTGCGTAAATACTCACTCCATGATTTAAAAAACCTGTACCAAATTGTCGAATAAATCCGTTTTCTATTTCTGATCAAGTTTAGTCTTACCTGTCAGGGGGCAGGTCACGACTGGGAGACTCTGCCTCCATCACGTCTTCCTCATTACTGGATGATGCAGTCATCATGGATAAACCACAAACTGGCTTGCTATCAAAGTTTCGCTGTCAACTGTTGAAGCCAAAGTTGATTCGGAAGTGAAGTTTTCACTTGACACTAAGGTTCTCACAACATTTTACACTGCTGTAAACGTAGGCCTACACCGAACGTTCGATGTACAAAAACAAGTATGTGCGATTCTGGATGTTTGTTGGTCCGTTTCCCTTGCTTCGAGTGGTCGTTCCATGAAACGTGTCTGGGTATTAAGGCCCGGGCGACACCCAATCGATTGAAATAACACAAGTTTCTCGTGTCATCCGGTTTGTTTGCATTTCACTGGTGTCCCATAGAAAATGACGAGTCTTTGTTCAGTGTTGAATGTGTGTGAAGTGAACCAGTCAGACGTTGCACCCATACCCAGACAACGGGGGTGAGGCGATGGGTTGATAGAGGGTGCATAATCTATCGGTTGGGTGATCATTGGGTAAGCCAGTCAACTGAATCACATGTTGCACTTTTTTTCGCGAAAATGTAGCGTAAATTTGTTAATTGATTTATCTGATGTGAAATTAACTTTCAGTGTTTTAATAGTGAGCTGTCCAACCATATAATTGCCTTTTTATGGATAATCAAATTGAATCATTTGAAAGATCACTGACACTACCTCTAGGCTCTAATAGATAAAGTGATGTAGTAATGAGAGAAATCCAAATAAAATCTTTCTTGCGAATGCCAGATACAAGTTTGATGACCGGAGATATTTATTCCGAAGTACTTTATTACATTGGAGGGGGGGGGGGGCGGCACAGGGCAAGATAAGGTTATACGGATCAATATGTGAGCAACCGCTTATTAGGGTTGCCATCATGATTATTCTTTCATGACAGTTATATTCAACAGGTTTAATAATTGAAGGTTCTTCAGGCTCCTTCACTAAGGGTCGTTGTCTCTTTATGTTGGCGTTGTAATCCTCCTACTACAGCGGATCAAAAGGAGTTTTGTCATCAAAGAGAGCATATTGGAAGGTCCTTGCTGCATTATTCACGCACCACCAGGCCCGTCCGGAGTTAACAAATGATGCATTGATCGGTTTTGGATTGATGAATGGACTGGTTGCTTGTCAGGTCGTTAGCGCATGGCTTATTGATCTGATTGTCGATTCTCCTTGAAGGGGCAAAGGTCACTTTGAGTTTCCACAGAGTAGTATGTTGATTTATAAAAATTCGATATCTCCTAAATTAAATTCTCATCATCCTGTTCAGTTATGGAAGTTAAACACACTGGCAAAGAACCAAGTTTAAATTTTCTCCTAATAATGACATTCATGAGAGTACATTTGGTCGCACCATTCAAACTACATGTATTAACTCTCATTGCTCATGTCATCCTGCAAACTACAAATCTCATCTTACCGACATCTAAACGAAAGAGTGGTTTGACTTTATTCTTGACAAACACAAAATAACATCAGATACAAATGTATTAAAATTAAAATGGAAATTCAATTTTTATTCATGATTTCTTTTTACAATATATATGTCACAGTTTGACACTGTTTTTAAGCCTGATAAAGTTATAAAGAATATATGGTCCAAATAAACATATAATTGCTGAATTCATGAAGTCTTTAAATGTGGTATGTTTGTCATTTAATCACACAATTCACTTCACCCATTCGAAGACATTCCTTTTAAAACTTTTGAGACGTTGGTGGCAAAAAACACACCGGTCCTTTCTCCATTGATTGCGTCATATTGAGCATGCGCGCTTTAGCTTAAACATGACGTAAAACAATTGAAAAAGACCGGTGTGTTTGCTGCCACCAACGTTTCAAAAGTCTCCCATTCAATATATAAGCCTAATAAAAGCCGTAACAACAATCCTTTAATTTTGATAAAATTTATATGAAACTACATTAACCACCATTACAAGCTTTTGAATGAAACAAACATTATCATTGGTAGAGAAAAACAAATATACTGAAACTTAAAACAAAAAACATCAAAACATATTTCTTCAAACTGTATTTACAAAATTCGTACCAATTTTGATTTTAAAAACCACATAAACTCTCAAGTATTCACTAGTTGTGAAATTGGTTCTTTGCATTCGACATCAACTTTAAAAGAATACATTTATCTTTCAAAATTGTGAAGAGGTTTATATCATTCACATACTGTGTATCAAACAGACTTCCACGATCCTTCCTGAGCAGAAACTGCAGTAACTTTAACTCTTTTTCTTTTTCTTTTTTTTATTCAGATTGAAGGCACCACATGCAGTTTTCAATGTGCACTGATATTCAGCTTTGAATAGGGGAGAAATATCACCACATTTTACTTGGCACTCCTGTAATTTTAGCTTTCAAATGTGTAAGGCATCCTGGCAATATGAGACGGAATTGGGCACAGGCGGTAGTGGAGACAAATGCAAAAAAATGGGGGTAATTTTTTTCCAACTGTCAGATGTACTGATATTTGTAATCTTTGATAAATCTACTACACATATTTAAAAAAAAAATAGTATAAAACTTGAATAAAATAGTTTTAAAGGGGGGGGGGGGAGGCATTTTACTTGCACGACTACAAAACTTGAAACTTCAAAGTCCTTTTTCTCAGTATTTTACGTTTTTGACACTTTAAACAACCATAACTAAGTCAAAGAAATGTCCGAATAAGGGGAACTTTATTCTCTTTCCTAATACCCACCAACCCTCATTTTGACATCTGCCCAGTTCTGTCTCATTTTTCCAGAATGCCTAACATATTTCATATACATCTTTCGAAGATGCCAGTTCTGCAGATGATTCAAAGTTAACTTTGGAACATTCAGCATACATCGCTTGCGAATGGTCCATAAATATTTAAGACTCATTTCAGAAACCAAACTTTGTACTGAAGGCTGCAAACCAAAGATGGAAGTACCTCTAGGCCATAGCAAATTCATATGCCGCTGCATATCTACCAGTTACTCCATGGAAGACTTGTCTCTCAATGTCACCCAACAATGAGCTGGCACCTAGACGGAAAAGGTCAGGGGTCAACCAATCATTCCCTAGCTCTTCCTTCATCAGAGCCAACCATGTGCAGGAATCCTTAGCTGTGCGTATGCCACCAGCTGGTTTGAAACCCACCTGGAATCAGAATGGCAAAAAAAGAAAGAATAGTACTAATGAATATGTATAATCCTACCGCACTGTTGCATAGCTGCCAACTTTTCAAAATCTCAATTAGTAATCAACCCGCGCGGTCATTTTCAACTGCTCGTTTTATCAAAAGCTTTACCAACATCGAGTACAGGTACATGGTTTACATGTACACATGCATGTGCATACCCTTCTTGTTGTGAATAATAATGTACTGTAGGCCAAAAGATTATCGCGACATTTCGCCAGAAGTTTTTGGTCAAAAACGATACTTTACAAGTATTTTTTTTTCGTTAGGTAGAAAATGGGAAATTCGTAATGTTTTAGTGGCAAATCGTATTTTTGTAATTTAACAAACAATTCGTAATAATTTCGAAAAATTTGTAATAGTTGGCAGCTATGCTGTTGTCGATCCGGTTCGTTAGTGACTTCATCATACACACACGCACCACTGATTACAAGCGCCCATTGGCTGAACATCCAAGTTGCGTTAACTTCCGGTTCCATTCTTGCTATGCTACACTGTGTGAAGTGCGCGTGGCTAAGTTGAGATGACGTCACACTAACCGGATTCATTTATTTATTAGGGTGGAGCATAAAATCATTTCTAGTATGCAAGAACCTTGAGCATTCTTTTTCTTGCGAGCTCTAGGACAGACCTGAGTAAACACTGCTTACAGAAATTATGTCAGAAAAAGCAAAGTGTAATTTTAAAATTTCAAAAACTTTTAGTGATCTCACCTTGTATCCTGTCTTCTTGTAGTAATCTCGGATAGCTCTAACCATAACCAAACCAACAGGCAGTATGGCATTCACTCCCTCTTTGCCGGTTGATGTTTTGATGAAATCGGAGCCTTTAAGCAAAAAAAATTATCAAGGTATTTCAATGAGACTTCAAGGGTTTTGCATGGTGGACATGATCAATGAATGGGAGGTTTGCGGTACCACCATGTGAATGATATCTCTTAGTGAGTTGTGTGGTTCGGAGAAGAACCAGTTGGTTTATAACTGGCTTGTTTGCTGTGGTAAAGCCAGTAAAACCAACAGGTTCTTCTCAGAAACACACAACTCACAAAGAGATATCATTCATATGGTGTTACTGCAAACCTCCGATTCATTAAATTAATTCAACATGAAGCAGGTCAGGGTTTTTGAAAACATCTTAGCCTCTCACCAAGCATGTGCCATGCAAGAACTGAAAACTGCGACTGTTGCAAATGCAAGCCAAATGGACTAACTAACAGAAGATTTTATTCATATTTTCAGCTGTAATTGTTATTGCACAACTCTGAACACTAGTTTGAAATGGTGTCACACACATATGATTTAAAGAAGTCACACTCCAATTATTTAGAAAAGGGCATGTTTTAGCGTGAACGAGGGCACTCTAATCACGCCATTTGCTGGGTACAAACGCAAGAGAAATCCGTTTAACGAAGCAGTTGAATCACTTCCGTTTACACTCCCCAAAATATGGCTTGATCAGAGATTTGTCACACTGTTATCCTTAGCCGAGTCCTCTTCGCTTTACCTGCCATCATAGCCACTAGGCTTGCCTTGTACACATTCACCAATGAGCCTAGTTCACCAGTGGCTAAGATAGTCTTCATATGAGCTGGTCCGCAAGCATCACGGAAGGCTCTGACTTCCTCATACACACCTGAGAAGGGAAAACGACACAAAAGATTTTGAACTCACTAACTTGCCATTACTACAACCTTCTTTTGAACATCAAAAGTACATCTTATCTTAATCTAAAAACAACAATGTGAATTCAAGAAAAGGTTAGATTTCAGCTAAATAAAGTAAGGTTTTGTTGCTACTAAGGTTGCAACCACCATTGACAACAGTCTCTACGATCATGGCTATGAGCTCCGTGCATGACCAAGAGAGGGCGCATTTTGCCTAGCAACAGTACCTTCTTTGGTGGGACATGCACTTCACTGGTTCACGCAGAGTCTTCCATATTTATTTAATGTACCTAATACCCAGGAATACGTGTAGACTGGCGGAAACCAGTCTTTAGGGGCGAGATACTTTGCATACACACTCCCATTGCATGCAGAGTGTGTGGACTGCAGTACGGTTGTGGTGTCACGAGCAAGATGGCGCCCGATTAAAACAAATTTAACGTCTTCCCACCGGCCGCTCTCTTTTCAACCCGTGAGGGGGTACTTCTGCACAAGGCAGAAAGTGACAATAACACTAAGATACTAAAGCAGGAGCTGTAATCATATAATTTTAAAGAGGCCATGCAATGTAATTTTTCCATTCAATCCTTGGAAATGCACATTCATGTCCCATTTAATATTATTTTCAATTTTCATTATTTTTGCCATTTTTAATGGGAATTTTGGTGCTTTTTCAGTTTTTATGCTTATGCAAATTTGCATGTTCTTGAGCAAAAGTGTGATGTCATTTCAGGCAGAAAGTTTAATGTTACAGCTATTTCAGCATCAAAACTTGCAACAATTTTGTGTATTTTTTTGCTATCGTAAATTTTCTTTTCTTTGGTGTTTCGTTGTTTCATTACACTATATTAGGCCATTGAGCATAGTTTTCACAGACACTGAACAGTGTCTTCCTGAAATGACATCACAGCAATAGCGCCCTCATTTGTCAAGAAAAGCATGGACAATTTGAAATGTTTAAAAAGTGCTCTTTTGACTAAAATGAACCAAAAAAGGGATATCAAATAGTTTTCATACATTTACGAGTAGAAAGTTGCACAAAATATGAGCCCAAGTAAACTTTAAGTTATCACGAGTCATTTTAATAATCTCAAGCCAGGCCAAGCAATACAAATGCGTTTTGAAAACGGATCTCCTGTGTTATTGATCACCCATTGGTGCTTGCGTTCTGATTTGAGATTGCACTCAGATATCAGTCATGTGAGACAGACGTATTCTGTGAATCCTCCGCAAAAATCGTCACCACTCGGACCAGAAAAACCTTCTCTGGCCCTCTGATTGATATGTCAACCAGGAATCCACACTCTTCCTACTACCAAGAACATTAGCAGCCGTGAATCTGCGAATTTCGGCAAGAAAATGCCGAGGAAAGACAAAAAATATCAGCTGCTGTCGAAGAATCGGATGATTCAGGCATCGCGCCATTGAAATCATGTGACCTGGTCAACCAACCATCAGATCCAACATCCGGATCCGGCGACACCAATGCCATCGCAGCACTTCGACGGGAAATCAGAGGGCTGGCAGCCGATTTAAATTCCAAGATGGACAAAGCAATCCTCAACCAAGAGACACGTCTGAATAGAATCACAGGTGTTGAGAACAAACAAAAGGAAATGGAAGAGTCACTGGGCTTATCTTCCAAATCAATGGAAGAAATGCAAGCAAAGCACGAGTCCATGTCAGAGAGGATCTCCCGGCTGACCATCGAAATGCAGACCGCGAAGATGAACATAACAAACCTGAAAGAAGCTACCTTCAAGCTTGTGCGGCATTCTCGCAGCTACAATCTTCGCTTCAGTGGAATCCCAGAATCACGTTCTGAGAATGCTGCATTTCCCTACAACGAGGTGAAAAAGATTCTCACCGATAAATTTGGAATGCCAGAGGCCAGAGATACTGTTGTACAAACCTCCAAACCTAAATAAGGACTTGAAGTGTGTTTATGAGCATAAATGTAAAAAGAAAAAATGACTGTTCAATTGAATACCTTTCCAGTTTCCTGCCAAGGCATAGGCTCTGTTGATGACAATGTCGATTTCTCTCGCTCCATCCTCTACGGCCATTTTGATTTCCTCAACTCTTGTCTTGAAATGTGTCTGGCCGGCAGGAAAACCAGTAGCAACTAAGTACGTGAAACAAGGGACAAATACTGTCAGCAACAAACAAAATAAATCCATCATAAGGATGATTTTCAGACTCGGGAACTACAGGCTTGCACAATAGCCGTACCTTTACACGAGAACATCAACAACAAGTTTAATGAATGTTGCGGCTTGCCCTTGACTGATGTCATAAAATCAGCATTATGCAGCAGTCATGTCTGAGAGCTTGCAACCAAAATGCACAAATTGCTTTTAAATCTTTCAGTGCCCGTGAAATGTGAAAAGTTTAACCCTAAAGTGCCCAACTTCGAGTCTTTGTAATTGTTTAAAATTCTGTAAAAAAAATAGTAAATAAGTTTTACTCACTAAATTTGTTGTTGTTGCTCTCTGGTATATCCTTGGTATATTGGAAAGTCAATAGAAGTCACATACATGTACATAGTGATACACCCTGAAACACTGTCCTGCACACAGGGGAATTCCGCACTTTTTGCAGAATATACGAGTGTCAGTGCTGCGCCCTCTCGCAAGAACTCAAATGAAACAAATAAATACGGGTCGTACCTGAATGAAAATGATATTATTAGAAAGATATGTATGCTATCCAGTCATTATATAGAGATCAGTGGGTGTGAACCTGACATAACAGCCTGAATCGGGTGTCAGTTACCTGATGCTACAGGGATGTGAGATGCTCCCAGTCTTTTCAGCGTTTTGACTGCATCAGCGACTCTAGCCGGGTACACACAGATTGCTCCGACTGTCAGACCTATACAATTATCAAAATATAACAATACGAAACTTGAATTGTTTGTTATACATGTGTTTCATGCAATTAACCTTTTTTTTGTTTTGAGAATGACACTCAACTTCTACCTTGAAAAGATTGTATCATTTCACAAATATGATTTCAAACATTATCACAAATTATTTCAATTCATTCTTCTCACTAAAATTGTGTTTGTCTGTGAATAGCAGACAAATAAATGCTGCATCTTGAATTTTAAAAAGTTTCTAAAAATCATTTAGAAACAATAGTCCATTAAACAAAGTTTTTATATCTTTCCAGCCAATAAACACTAACCTCTGTCTTGCATGCCAACAGCTTCAAGAAGGTCAGTCCTGATTGGTTGCTTTGCCTTGAAACAAAGTCTCTCCACATTGGTCTCTGTGTCGTCACCTGACAAGGTTGTCAGGTCAATGCAGGTCATCGCCTTTAGCAACCATGCAATCTGCAGGGAAAAGGTTATTAATGTGCAATCATTAACTCTTAATACAGGGTGGTCCAATTTGTTCTGACACTTCTCAGAGGCAGATTTCACAAAATTGAAGAGACATGTAGAAATTGTTTTAAGATATTACTAAACTGCAAGTTCTTGGTTGTATTTGGTGCAACAGGCATTGAAAATAAAGTGCAAAGTGAGAAAAAACGGCAATTCACAGAAAAACAGTAATAAAATAGTTTGTCTACATCTATGTCAGTCATGTCGACCTAATCAGGTGTACAATTACTGCAGTTATTTGTGTGTGCAGTGCTATTGTGTTGAACACACTAGACTTGCATGTGGACAAAACTGCTTTTTGACCATCTTTCTTTAAACCAATGCCACTTCTTAATTTAGGCTTTATTTTCACTGTTGTTTTCACCATATACATGTACCACAAAGAAACAATTTTAACGTGTCTCCCCAATGCCAAAAAATCTGCGTCTTGATATTTACCTCCCAATCAGGCAAGATTTTTCATGTTTTATTGGGTATGATTATGAAATTCATACCCAATAAAGCATGTGCTTTGAGGCTGGGCCAATACAATAGCATTCAAACATATAATAATTAAAAAACTGCCGTAATTAAATGAAAATTGTATTAGCTCTGCTCTGCATACAAGACGTTTCATTTTCTTAGCATTATAACTTAAAGTTTAATTATCTGTTTGTAGCTTTAACCCTTTAGTTACCTGAGTATTTTTCTTGACCCCTCTTCTCACTTTCAATTCCTCTGCTCTCCTGAAGCATGCTGGTTTATTCACTCGCACACTTTCAACCCATTCAAGATCTAAAATGAAAATTTGGACCAAATGTTTTTAAAAAAAATGCAAAATAAACAATTTCATGTAAAGCAACAGAAATATTTGGTGTGAGAGGAAAACAAACCCGCAAAGACGCATAGGAAAAAGCATGAAATAACAGAAAGTCATCACTTGGTGCAATTAGACTAAAAAGTTTAACTTTCTTTGAACTATTTTCAAGTTTTTAATGTTTTTTTGTGTTTTTTTAAATACTTCTGAACAAGGAGCGATTTTCATTTCATGTCAACTTTTCTTTAAATAACAACTTTTATAACTTTTTAGGCCGGTAGGCCTACTTATGCTAGCCAGGCCTACCTACAATATAGCCCCATAAATGTGGCCAATTTACTGGACTACCTCTGTAAATAAAGGCCACACTTGGAACATGTACCCGAACATGTAGAACTTTATCAAATTTTGATTTTCACATTTAGGCTTTGTTTGTAGATTTATTTTGCTTTAGAAGTATACTCACCCTCTTTATAGGATAGTAAAAAAAGTGCTACATTTTTCAGATGTCTATTTTGCGTGTAATTTCATATTGAAATTTTGATACGCAATTATGTGCAAACGAATCTAGAAATTACATGAATAACAGACGTCTGAAAAATGCAGCACTTTTTTTTATCCTATATAGTGAGTGTCAGTATGCTTCTAAAGCAAAAAAACCCAAAAAAACCTACTAACAAAGCCTAAATGTGAAAATCAAAATTTGACAAAGTTCTACATGTTCGGGTACATGTTCCAAGTGTGGCCTTTGTTTACGGACCGGAGGTAGTCCAGTAAATTGGCCACATTTATGGGGCTACCTACAATACAACTTACAAAGTCAAGGCCAGCAAACATGATATAGCCTTAAATTTTAAATTGTTGTGTGAGAACGGAAAGTAAATAAAGAACAAACTACCATGCCATCCATGGAACTCTCTAATATTAAGTCCATGGACATTACGCCATGGATGATGATGGAGTCACCTTTTTTTATTATTTGGAAAGATTCCCATGTCTTGCCATCACTTCGTCACCGTTTTCACGAAGAGGCCAATTTAGTATTTCACTGTCTGAACAAACATTCGAGATAATCGCGTTTAAAGTTGGTCCTTTTTTCATTTGACAATTTGAAACTGAAAGATGCTTAAAATATGCAAGATTTAGGTATCTGAGGAAAGAGGAGCTTCTAATCTTCCTAAATGTAGCAAACTTTAAGAAAAATAGGTGATTAGTTTTGCAGAATTAACCAATTAAGAGAAGTGGCTGTTCGTGAAAACGAAATAAAAGACCAATTAGCAAATTCACCCCTTTGTAAAAACGCTAAAGTGACTACTCGCAGATTTCGCCCTTCTGCGGTCTGAGTCAATGCATTTTTTGTACAGCACGCGCAGATTCTGCCCCACTGCGCATGCGCCTTGAAATTCCCCCATTCATGAAAACGTTTTTATTGCACGCGCATGGAATTCGCCCTTTCGTGATATACGCGCTATTGTATTACAAATACAATGTATTTATTTACTGAAAATTTATTAATACCATAGAGTGCGGAAATTCGCCCCTTCGTGAAAATTCAAAACGGCACTTTTGGCAAATTCGCCCATTCGCTAATTAGGTTAATTACGATTTTAATTAATTTTTTGAAAGTAGGCCTATAGCCTCACCGGAAAAAATTCCATACTCGGACGTCACTTTTTCAATTAATTTTCTAGCGCCAAAAGTTACATCTTTTTATGGTTATTCCTCCACTTTCCCTCCTCTACTCTCACCCTCTCCTTTCCTTAATTTCTTTTTATTAATCAGTCAGTTGCTTCATCGGGATTCGAACCTCTGACGCTTGCTTGATACACGAGACTCTTAACCGCTAGGCCGCGCACGATCGCTGTTGCAATAATCAATCTTTGGACGTATTTGAAGTATCCATTGAAATAAACTAAATATTCATGAGAAAATAAATATTCATAATGACGTATTGCACTATCATTGGCAGGCTCATGCGACGTCATGGTTGTTGATGTCACGTGTATAACGAACAGCTGTCTTTCAGCCACTACAATCAGTTTTGACCGGCTGCTTCAAGTTAGTTCTGCACGACGTATGCATCCAAAATGTGATCTAAAAACACATTTTTAGTAATTTTTTTTCACCTTAACACAGCTTCCTGGATCCCTCTTGATTCAAAGAACAAGGTGAGGTGACAATTAATATGTTTGGCAGCAGATAAATTGACATCCGAGTATGGAACTTTTCCCGCCTCACCAGGTTGTAGATATTAATATCTTTATTCATTTTCACCAAAAAACAAATTTCGATATGGGAATCTTTCCTATTATTAACAACACACCACTTGGGGCGACTTTGTTTACGGATAGCGTTAACTGTGCAACGCAGGGGGGCGAATCAGGCCTACCGCGAGTAACGCCTTCCTACATGCGGAATACTAGGAACGCAGGAAAGTCAAACAATTTTATCCTCTGAAACAAAGAAATTTCACTCAATAAATGCAGAGTAACTTCATTCACATTGTATATGTACCCATGTGGCAAAATGTACCACATTTTATCTTACAGGTTGCTAATAAAATGGAAAAGTTTTACTAGAGTTTACCAAGTTCGGTTCCAGGATTGCGCGCCGCCATCTTGTTCAGTTGACGAGATTTGTGGAATTTCTCGAGAAAGGTAAGTGTCAAAGTTGTAATTTAGCGCCCTAATATGACACCAGTAATGGCTAATACATGGCGTACATTTTTGATATTTAGTCATAAATTAAATTAATTTCGAATTTTTTTCACATAGAGAAATTAAGTCTAAAGAAAGTATTTCCCAAATCTCGCGAGAGTTATGATCCACAACAACATACACAGCACCAGAGCGCAGTCCAATGCAGTCAGCAGACATGTCAGAAGAATGTTGCCGTTGTTGACAGACATAAGTGAAATGTGATGACCATAGCATAATTCTTGCTGGGAAGTTAAAGTTCTTGAAAACTAATTTAGTAATTATATTTGGAGGTGAGACATTAAGTGATTAACATACAGTCAGCTTAAATTTTGGGGAAAATGTTGCAACCTGACGCCACTTCAGCGGTTGTGTACAAAGTCTATGGAGAGTCAAGAAAATTTTCTAAGTTCTAACTTAAGTTATAAGTAAAGTATTTCCTAACGAAATTGGAAATGTTTCTCAGTCCCAGATTCATGTCTTATCATCATTTTTGCAGTGACTGACCGTCATTGAGATGATTATGAAGACAAAAGAGGCGTCAGGTTGCAACATTTTTTCCCACATTCCATATCATTTATGTTGGGCGTGTTCGGTCGATCTGCATGATTGGAAGATCGCGTTGTGCTTTGGTCGATCATGACGGTATCAGTCGATGTCGCTACCACAAGTCAAAGTCAAACACCTTTTCTTTCTAATTCATGGCTCTGGAAGATTTTTTTCTTTAAAAGTCATGAAAGTAGGTTAGAAAATCAGAGATATCCTAAGGAATCGACCGATCGCGTAATGTGATCGACTGATCACGCAAATTGACCGATCACGCAGATTGACCTATCTTGCCCAACATCAACATGGTCCGTGGTCTATGTACACATGACATGCCAGACACATCAAAATAAAAGCTTGCACACTGCAGTGTGCTTTGTTTGTTGTTTTAACTTAAAAATTAGAAAGAACACAAGCATGTAACCTTAATTCGGCAAAATCCTCCAACTGCCTCCATCATGTCCATGTAAAATAGCATACAGCCTCAATCCTGCAAAATCCTCAGTTATTTCTTGAATGTGGTCCTTGGAGGGGTGAGCACTGCCTCAGTCATGTCAGTCCTGCAAAATCCTTTGGCGATCATTGTCAACATGTTCGACAGAGCCAGTGACATCCTGGAGCAGTGCAGAGGATTTCAAGTATAATCTAAGCCTCAATTTATGCACTGCTGAGCATAAACATCACAAGGTCCGGCCCAAGACCTTGACACAGTGCATCCTCTAAAATCAGCAACACACTTTTGCCATATAGCCTCCATCCTTCAAAATCCTCAATTTTGCAAAGAGGAGTTTGGAGGATTTGGGAAGGTTAGGGTTAACATTACTACTACTAACTAGTCTTGAGTATTAACTTGGAACCCTCATTGTTAAAAAAAGCAAAAGATGAGCAACATGAGCAATGGGTCCATGTTTAAATAATACTCTGACTTAGTTGCATAACTAAGGGGGTGGGGGAGGTGCATTCAGAGGCATGCCACCCCCACCCCTCCTGCTAAAGGCCTGCGCTCCCCACCCACCCTGCTATAGGCCTGTGCTCCACCCACCCTGCTAAAGGCCTGTGCTCCCCACCCACCCTGATAAAAGCCTGTGCTCCACCCACCCTGCTAACGGCCTGTGCTCCCCACCCACCCTGCTAAAGGCATGCTCCCCACCCACCCTGCTAAAGGCCTGTGCTCCACCCACCCTGCTAACGGCCTGTGCTCCATCCACCCTGCTAAAGGCCTGTGCTCCACCCACCCTGCTAAAGGCCTGTGCTCCACCCACCCTGTTAACGGCCTGTGCTCCACCCACCCTGCTAAAGGCCTGTGCTCCACCCACCCTGCTAAAGGCCTGTGCTCCACCCACCCTGCTAAAGGCCTGTGCTCCACCCACCCTGCTAAAGGCCTGTGCTCCACCCACCCTGCTAAAGGCCTGTGCTCCATCCACCCTGCTAAAGGCCTGTGCTCCCCACCCACCCTGATAACGGCCTGTGCTCCACCCACCCTGCTAAAGGCCTGTGCTCCCCACCCACTCTGCTAAAGGCCTGTGCTCCACCCATTCTGCTAAAGGCCTGTGCTCCACCCACCCTGCTAACGGCCTGTGCTCCATCCACCCTGCTACAGGCCTGTGCTCCACCCACCCTGCTAACGGCCTGTGCTCCACCCACCCTGCTAAAAGCCTGTGCTCCACCCACCCTGCTAACGGCCTGTGCTCCCCACCCACCCTGCTAAAGGCATGCTCCCCACCCACCCTGCTAAAGGCCTGTGCTCCACCCACCCTGCTAACGGCCTGTGCTCCATCCACCCTGCTACAGGCCTGTGCTCCATCCACACTGCTAAAGGCCTGTGCTCCACTCACCCTGCTAACGGCCTGTGCTCCATCCACCCTGCTAAAGGCCTGTGCTCCACCCACCCTGCTAAAGGCCTGTGCTCCACCCACCCTGCTAACGGCCTGTGCTCTATCCACCCTGCTAAAGGCCTGTGCTCCACCCACCCTGCTAAAGGCCTGTGCTCCACCCACCCTGCTAAAGGCCTGTGCTCCATCCACCCTGCTAAAGGCCTGTGCTCCACCCACCCTGCTAACGGCCTGTGCTCCATCCACCCTGCTAAAGGCCTGTGCTCCACCCACCCTGCTAAAGGCCTGTGCTCCATCCACCCTGCTAAAGGCCTGTGCTCCACCCACCCTGCTAAAGGCATGCTCCCCACCCACCCTGCTAAAGGCCTGTGCTCCACCCACCCTGCTAAAGGCCTGTGCTCCATCCACCCTGCTAAAGGCCTGTGCTCCACCCACCCTGCTAAAGGCATGCTCCCCACCCACCCTGCTAAAGGCCTGTGCTCCACCCACCCTGCTAAAGGCCTGTGCTCCACCCACCCTGCTAAAGGCCTGTGCTCCATCCACCCTGCTAAAGGCCTGTGCTCCACCCACCCTGCTAACAGCCTGTGCTCCACCCACCCTGCTAAAGGCCTGTGCTCCCCACCCACTCTGTAAATGATCTGAATGGTAAAGGGAAATAATGTGGCACTTCATTGGTTGTGTATAAAGTATATAAAGAGTTGAGTGCATTTTCAAAGTATTTTCTGACAACATTTGGAAACGTTTCTCAGTCCCAGATTCATGTTTTTTGTTCAACATTTTTGCAATGACTGACATTCATTGAGATAATATCTGATGATTTCAGGATATCATCGGATGCAACATTCTTTCCTGGTAAAGAAATGTAAGCTTGTCTTACTGACTTTCATGTAAATCTTGATTTTCTTTGTTGAACAGGAGAATTTCATCCAAACAACAAATATGAGAGAGAGTCAGTATCGGTGGGTCTTGTACCTCCAATACTTCCTCATATTTGTTGATTTATTCGTCAATTCTTTTGTGGATCTCCTTCGGCTTGACAATGTCACCCAACTTGTTTTATTTATGTAAGTATCACCACAAAGCTGTTTGCACTTGTTATCAGGAAGATTTAAAAGTTCGTAAAATATGAATTATAATTGAGATTATCTTAACTATAATTGTTACTGCGATAGTTGAGAATGTCCAACTTCCAAACTATAGTTCAGGCAGTTTTGCTGTAGTTGGGGATTAACAGCGTTGAAATGAATTTAAATCTTAGCCACTGAAATGATATGTAAACCATTTTATTGAAGAATATATATCTTTGCCTCTTCTTGTGCAGAATCCAAGACATTTGCCTCATCTTTGCGACGATCGTTGTATTCTTGATGTTCTTCAACACCTATGTATTTCAAGCTGGGCTAGTGGGATACCTTGTGCATAAGTTCAAGTTCACCATTGCCATACTTTTTCTGTATTTCATTCTCTGTCTGGGCCTGCATATTTGGACAATGGTAAGTAAAATTAGTCTGAAAATTTTTCTTATTTTCATATCCACTTCAAATTTATTCTTTGATAATTTTTTTTTTTTAAATTTATGACATATTTAAATTGTGGTCATGCTTGCCAATTTGTGCCAGGAATCAATGCATGGTAAGGCCAAAAAAAAAAAACCCCAATAGTTCCACGTCCGGTTACCCTACCTCCCATTTTGGCAGCCCCTACCCTAATTTGTTTTTGTAAAAAATGAGGAAAAACAAAAATCATCAATTACTACCTTTTACCCTTGAGTACACGCAGACATCTCAAAATGATCGAACACAGAAAAAATTGCCGTCCCCCCCAAAAAAAATTCCCTACCTACCTACCCTATTTCAAATGCCATTTTTTTGGGCTGGGGTGCCTAATTTGTAAAAGCTTAAGTATTAAATAAATAGAGTGAAATAAAATTCAAGAATTGATTATAAAACACTTCTTTAACTTATTTTAATAAAACGATTAATCAATGAATTTCAACGACATAGTTTACTTGGTATTGTCTTAAATTAAGCCAACTTTTGTAATTAAAAGCCATAACATAATAATAATAAACTTGAAATGAAAGTTTGATCTGTTGCAATGCTTTCTTTGCAGACATTAAGATGGGGAAACATTGATGCTTATATCTGGAACGAGGGCTTCCAAGCTCTGTATGTCTTCCAGAGAGTAGGTAGGTAGCATCCATTGTGTGTGGGAGGAATGGAAGGTCTCGTGGTCTTAGAATTTCTAAAGAAAAAAACAACAAATCCTGGAAAAAGGATTACCAGAATTACCAGAATGCCAATTGACTACTTTCAATTTCTTGCCACCTGGCCCAAATTGTATTTATTTGTACAAAGGTACATTGCCCCGTGGTATTACTGGATAAAATAATTGTGTTCATAAACGTGACTTTTTATCGCAAGAAGTCAGGATTATTAAAATTCACTAGACACCCATGCCTGTAGATATCTCTCAAATGACGTCACTACCTACTGGTTGCCACGTGCATCAGCATTGTGGAAGTCAAATTTTTGTGACACGCATCGGCTAGGTGCTGTATTTAAAAAAAAAAATTGAGAACTCTTTGCACACTGCGCGCACGTGTACCTGATGGCGTTGAATATGAAGTTGTAATTTCCTACAAAGATCGTTGTCTACGAACCAGGGATAACATATACGTCCCTCCCACAGAGGTCTCACAAAGTGCCGTCTACCAAACTTGCTGAGTTTGTTATGTAATGATGGTAGTACTTTTCGCTTTTTGTAACGTTGTCCCTCTCATTATTTATATGTAGGTGCTGTATTCTACTATTACTACTACAAACGGACAGCTCTTCGATTAGGTGACCCAAGATTCTACAGGGACTCGGCCTGGTTAAGGAGACAGTTTGGAAAAGTTTGGTAGAGTCGGGCTTGCTCACCGTATTTCTTTCATCTCCTGAAATTGTGAATATGCAAATAGTACATTTTGTGAGTTTTTTAATTTATTTATTGTTTTAGAACTAACTACCTGAGATTACTGATTTTATTCAATGTTGTATTCATGAGTGTTACCAAAGAAGAAATCAAACATGTCGGGTTTTGCCTCTGTTGATCCAGATATTCAGTTTATAGATTAAGCCATGTCTGAATCGCATGGCTACCGGCCAAAATAACATGCACACCTATGGAAGCCACTATCTAGCGGCTGGAGTCACTTCCCATAGACTCGTGTAATATTGCTGGCTATAGCCATGTGATTATGGCACGGCCTTACTGTTGGTTCTTTGTATATATAGCGTCCTCAATAAGTGCTGACATTGGCTCTGCTTGCAAGTAGACCAAAAAGCGCCCTCAGTGAATCATGCATATAGCCAATGAAGAATTGACAGCCAAAAGATTGATATATACAGAGTGAGGAATGAACAAAGGCTACTCGATATGGCTCTGTATATGTATATTACTTCAAGGGTTTTGTTGTAGAGTCCATTACAAGTCCATCACAAATCATTCAGTAAATATGACTCGAAGCTTTGCATGGCGGATGAGATAAAGTAGAAAGATTGCGGGTAACACCATCATGTTGTCGAGACCATCACAAGACAGACACAAGAGCAGCACAAGACCATTCAGAAGACCAGCCACAAATAACAGGGCACGAACAATGACAAAGGAATGCCTGTGTTGCAGTTCATTGGAATAGCTTGTGACTTGAATTGAGACTGGAGGTCTTGTGATGGTCTTGTGATGGTCTTGTGATGGTCTTGTGATGGTCTTGCAGGGTCTCGACTACAACACCGACACCATGTGGAAAGTGATCTCTTCCTGGAAGAAGTGTGGTTCTGAAAAGAACCGGTTGGTTGAGTGTAGAACTCGAGGTTTTGGACAGTGTGCTCTGTCCGTCCTCAGGAGGGTGAGTGGTGGGATGTGGATGATGCTGGAGGTTTTACGGCTGTGCGTGTGCAGTGGGGTGTGACTGGATGCTTGAACTGTGATAATGACACTACAGTTGTCATTGTTCATCCACTTGTGACAGGAAATGTGAAAGGACACGTAATTTACCTATGCTGGACTTGTGATAGACTCAGCTTCAACGATGGTTGCTTTATTGTTCATTATACAAATATTGAGTGGCTCAGAGTGAAATGGGAGGAATATTATCACTCGGTAAAAGCTGGACTTTTCCATTTCACGAGGCAAAGCCAGTGAACTGGAAAAGTCCAGATTTTACCAAGCGATAATATTTCTCCCATTTCACAATTTAAAGCCACTCAATATTTGTTTTATGTAACTGACATATAGATCCTTGCCATTTGATATATTTGAACTTTTATTTCAACATAAAATTGGTGGAAAATGTATTTCTCTCTTCCAAACCACCCCTTCATAAAAATGGTTGAACCCAACTCTGTAGTGCTGGCTCTTTGGAACAATACGCGCAACGCTGAATGTGCACACCAGCATGCATTTGCACACAAATACTGCGTCGTGGAACAAGAATGATCCGAACTGTTGAATAGTATTTCCCATTCCCCATGGGAGAATGGGACTTTTTGAGCCCCAGCATGAATGGGAGCAATAACGAATGTCACATGATTTGAGTTCCACCAATCAAATGACAAGGATCTGTATGTCAGTTATATAAGATCAAATAACACCTTAAAGGGTGCATGAATGGAATCTTTCTTTCTTCTGGACAACTGAGGGCGCTGTTGCTGTGACGTCATTTCAAAAATACACTTTTCAGCTTTAAACTCGGTTCAAATTGTGAGAAAGTTTCCTCATAAGTTTGCTGCCATTGACAAAACAATCAATCACCAAAGAAAATAAAATTTATGAGGGCTTTATATCCAAAATTCTGGCAACTTTGGTGTTGAAATAGCTGTAACATTGAGGCTTCTGCCTGAAACGACATCACACCTCGCTCATGAATATGGAAATTTGCATTAGTATGAAAAAACACAAAGGCAACAAAACACCCTTGAAAATGGCAAAACGAAAATTGAAAACAGGGATAAATGGGACAAGGAAGCATTTCCAAGGATTGCATTTCAAACAAGTACCAAGTGGTACAACCCAGGGCGGTCGACCAACGTGTGAAGACGGCTTTAATTCGGTACCGTCCGTGCATCCGAATGGGGCGTCAACTAATACAATGTATACAAAAATATGCAATCAGACAAATGTGCATCAGTGTTTTCAAACAGGTCTTCGAATGCAAAGCTGTAATACTCCAGTTGCATGAATACAATACGACTGAGTAAACTGCCCACCAACCACCCATCCACTCACCAACCAGCCAGCCAGCCAGCCAACGGCGTGTTTCACACCCGCCGGGGGGTGTGGTTGGTTGTTCATCATGGACATGGTTGTTCATCATTGGACAATATGAAGTTGTCCCACTGTGCTTCAAGTATGTGAAGATTCACACTATGCATGTCAGTCGTCATACTACATGCACAAGAGTCTACATGCAGGTTGCATGTACATTGTGACCCTTGTTATCTCGCAGAGTTAAATGCAGAGAATATGAATGTAAAATATGAAACTAACATCTATCTTTGTCTTCAACACATATCTGTTCTATTCACCACCAAGTTTGCCATTTATAGGCTAATATAATTAAAACTGTCTAGTCATTAGTGTTGGCAATTTTTACGAAGCCTTGAGTCTACCCTGCTTTGTATGTATTCAGAGTTTTGTGTGCTGTTTTTACATTACATGTAGTACAGTGAAATGTTGACAAGTCAAACTCTGATAACTCAAAACAACTGTTAAGTCAAACAAAAAATCCATTACCTTCAGTAGTATAACAATAATATACAACCTGCTTAATTCAAAATTCGGCTTCAGTCAAATTTTGAACCTGTTCCCTTGAGGTTTGACTTATCATATTTTGTATCGTAAAGTATTGCATTTCAACAAAGTTTGTAAACTTGAAATTAAAAAGTTTGAGCAGGAACAATGCATCTGTTGTGTGCATGGAAAGTATGAAGTCTGTGTCACTGCACCTAATTTGTAAATTTTAGGTTTAATAATATTAATTACACTACATCCCGCCATATAGGCGCGTGTGTAAGTTTCAGTGTATAAAAAGTGATCAGAAATGGTACCCCTGGCATTGAATGAGACCGACCGATCGATCGATCGACCAACAAGTGATATGTAGACAAGGGCGAATCCAGAACACAATTTTTTGGGGGGCCAAAACAAGTTTTGGTCACCCCAAAAAGTGGGTCAAAAAAAATTAGGGCCCCGAAAAATTTTTGGATTCTAGATGCTCTGTGGTGCGATCTGAGGCAATTTCTGACCACTTTAACCAATGGTTTTTTTTAGGAAAAGATGGTGGTGTACTCATTGCCTGCCTTTATTGCGATGTCACATAAAAAAAGAAAATGGTTTTTTTTGGGGGGGGGGGGGGCATGGCCCCCTTTGGCCCCCCCTGGATCCGCCCTTGTATGTAGAAGCTCCTGCCAGAGCTTCAAAACGACTTTGCTTTTTCAATTCAACGCCGATAGCTACACGAGACGAATTTCACAAATTTAGGACGAATCGGTATGCTAAAATATGAATTATGCAGAGCCTTAAATGAAATCTAGTGGTGGATTTTCGAAATTCAAATTGAGAAATGCGCTTGGCGGGGGCAAAATTCAAGTATCGAAAAAGGGAATTTGTGTGATACAAGTACAATAATCAGGAAAAACTTATTAAGCGAGGGCGTTATATGCATTGGTAGGATGGGAGGTTGGGGGGGGGGGGTGTAATGCGCCTATCGGCTGCCTACCCACCACCACCCTGGGCTACCTCTCCTATGCCCAAAGCCAACTACATGTAGTTAGGGCCCCTACAATCCCGGCCAAAATGGTTGGGACACTTGGAAACAACCTTAGCCTCCAACGGTCACTAACTCCCCCGCTTCTCCGGTCAATGTTGTTCTCTTCAGGGGATTGAGCACACACCGCGCAATGAGAGACAACAGTGACCGGGGGGTTGGGGGCCCAGTGAGATTTGGCCAGGATTGTCTGAATTTTTTTTCATTTTTCAAAATATGCATGACATGCCGTTTGGGGAGCTGTTTTCTTGAGTTTTGTTTCCAAAATATGAAATGGCGTCCGAAGGATGAATGAAAGAACACAGATAAAAATTACTGATAGTAATACAAAAATGGAAATTTAATGTTCGAATTCTTTAGAATCACAACTTTATAGTTGCGTGCATCGTAACGGTTCACCATGACGGTTCACCATGCCATTTTGGCCGAAATGAGAGATTAAAACAAATTGAAGAAGATGATACGTTGCTTGTGAATCCTAATACGGCTTTCACGTCGAACACAATCGGTATTTTGTAAAAATATCGGCCAAAATGACATGGTGCGCAGTCATGGTGAATCGTGTGCATTGACCACCAGCGCGCGCGTGTGTGTATTATTATTTGAGCGCGTACTACGCGCAATATCCAATTCCAATATCAAGGCTATTGTACATTCAGACAATCCCGGCCAAAATGGTTGGGACACTTCCTGAGCCTGCCATGGTCACCAACTCCCCCACTCCCTTGGTCAATGTTGTTCTCTTCAGGGGATGGAGCACACACCGCGCAATGAGAGACAACATTGACCGGGGGCCGGGGGGTTGGGGGCCCAGTGAGATTTGGCCAGGATTGTAGTTCCATCACCCTCCCCTTCTTAGGCACCACTTCTCATCACATCCAATGCATCCTCCAAAAGCATGGAATTCGAGTCTTCCACGCAGCCCCTCTGAAGATGCAGAACCTGCTGACTTCACACAAGGATCGGTGTGACCCAGAATGCAGGCCAGGGGTGTACAAGATTCCATGTCAATGTGGCAAAGTGTATATCGGCGAGACTGGCAGGGACCGTCTCCCCACCAGACTCAATGAACTCAAAGCCCATGGCAGGAAGGGAGACTGTCATGCGCGAACCCTGTGCCTAGTTTGGCGCGACCGAATAATTTCACAACAGGCCGTTAACCAACCCTTAATATCGACCTCGGATACTATTTTTCTTTCATTTTTTTTCTTCAAAAAATTGACTTTGGAGATATTCTGCTTGTCCTGAATGTGGTTTTGTGTTAAAATTTAAAAGTTGCCTGCTATTATAGGGTGCACACCGGTAAATCGATCCGCCAAGCTCATGAATAAAAGTTATACCCTCAAAATATTCTATATTAGAGAGTTCTGAGCGCCGTAAAATTGGGGAATTGAAGAGATATGGTAATGAACCTCTGGCCCGGACTTGGGGCTTCCAATTCTGAGCATTTTGGATGCTATTGGGCTCGAAAGTGGCGCTATTTTGCCATGTTGTGGAGGGATCGTTTTTCAAAATGGCTACTTTTCCGCTTTGGGGAAAATAGGGGTCGTCTTCTTTGGGTGAAAATATCTCGAAAAGTCAATGGTCAACCCACCAAAATTGAAAAGAAAACGAAAGATGACATTTTGATTATCATTTTTCTGTGCAGCTTGAATACCTGTGTGAGTTTTGAGTATTTTTAAAAGAATTGTGAAGTATGGGCATTTAGCACTAGTGTCTATGGGAGTTTATTTGCAGGTATGCATCCGTATTACACGTACATGTGTGTGCATGTATTGCAGAGCATGTGCATACATGTGGTGCAAAAGTTAGCTAGCGGGTTGCTGCATCACTTGAAA